ATGAAGGTTAATTATGGTGGCAAATATAAAACATAGGAAATGTTAGTATAGATGTTACATGCTGCATTAATTTCCACATCATAAAATCATACTCACACACTTCCGAAAGAAAAAAAATGTAAGATATCAGAAATGGGATTTTATATTAATGTAGCTGCCATTGATTTCTTTGGCAGCCATATTGATAAGATGCAATGGTAGAGATGTTGATTCTAGCACACATGGAAAGGTCTCCTGCCTTGAACATTCTCAAGACTGGTCACAACTGGTCAACAATCACAAGTACCAGGGTTACAACCACTGAAGTACAAGATTTAGGGAAGTTATGTAACCATGGAAACAGAAGAAGGAAATCGGCAGGAAATCTGTATTTCCTTTTATGTGTGTCTCAAGGCACTCAGAGAAATGTGCCTTTAGGAACATGACTAATTTTTATCCATCTGCAAACATGTTGAGTACCATTTCACTGTGAGATCACCACTATAAGATCTCATTTTCACTATGATACCATTTCACTATGAGATCTCCTTTTCACTGTGAGATCACCATTTCACTATGAGATCTCCTTTTCACTGTGAGATCACCATGTCACCATGAGATCTCTTTTTCACTGTGAGATCACCATTTCACTGAGATCTCCTTTTCACTGTAACTGATAGTGATACCCCAATTAACTTCTGAATCACAGAATAATGTTCCCGAATCATACTCTCCATTAAGCATGTCTGTACATTTTTATACAAGTTTACCACGTTTATTTTTGTGAAAGAACATTTATCACTGTATTCAAATAATTGACACTTCTGCTGACAAATATGATTTTTAAAACCCTTAATTGAAACTGGAAATCTGATCCCCACAATGAAAGGAGTTGACATGCAGCTAGACTTGGTTGGTTTGTTGTGTAATGTCGCACTCAGCAATATTCCAGCTATATGATGGGGGGCTTGTAAGTAATCGAGTTGGACCAGACAATCCAGTAATCAACAGCATGAGCAACTGGGATACGATGCCATGTGACAACCAAGTCAGCAAGACTGACCACCCAATCCCGTTAGTCGCCTCTTACGACAAGCATGGGTTACAGAAGAGCATGGAGCTAGCCTAAAGCGTAGTCTCTGAAAAAATACATAAATTAGAAGAATCAAGTAATTCCTTTTATATTTAAAAGGAGCCCCTGTAGGATGGGAGATTCAGAACTTCAGGAAATCTTCATTTTGGTCATTGCAGAAAGGGTTGGGTGGAAGGGAATATAATGCGATTCAGGGACTTAGAGCCACACTAACGTGGAGCTTAAAGTTGAATTCGGTGTTGCTGTACTATGATAGCCACACGCATAAACATATTAAATTATTTCCCCTTATATATGAGTGGCTGTGTGCATGAATACATCTGTCTATCTGCCTACTTATACAAGAGATCGAGGGTTCGATCCCCGACCGTGTCATACCAAAAGACGCTAAAATATGGTACTTATTGGTCCCTGCCTGGCGCTCGGCATTAATGGGTACAACAAGGACTGGTCGGCTCGGAGTCAGTATAATGTGTCTGAGTGGGGTATTCATGCTTCACTGCGGCATGGTATCTCAGTGGGCTAGCACTATAAAACCAGCTTAAGTTTGGGCTAGTACAAGCAGCCGCACATACACATACACACGCATGCACGTCGTCATATGAGCGAAATATTCTCAAGCACGACGTTAAACCCAATTTCACCTCACCTCACTTCTACAAGACTAATGTCACGGCTCCCACATTTCTGTGAAAAAAAAATCCATGATTTTTCAAGACAAATATTGCTTTTTCCAGACACAAGAATATATGTCCTAGGGTATTTTGATACCTTTAAACATATATCACTGTGTCTGAAATAAAATAATATCTTAAATATGGCCTAACATCTCCCCTTACAGCTGTCCATTCAGACCTCTGTATGATGACATAATAAAAATGACACATCAAGTGTAGCAATTTTTCTTTTACTCTTTAACTATCTTTATTGCAGGTCTTGCAGCTCTGAAGGCGAGGGGTGCTAAACCCATATAACCATTAAACATTGAATACATCTTATTGTTTAGAATTTGATTACCACATGTATTTATGCAAGTATTCACATATATGCCAGATAAACATGCTGACGGCTGCCATAGCCCTTGTAGTACTGTTAAGATAAACAGTTTTGTTAGATAAAAGACCTACAAAATTTCAATGATTTTCCAATGATTTCATCCATTTTTTAAAATTCCTTGATTTTTCCAGGACTGGAAAATGGAGTGTTAAATTTCCAGGTTTTCCAGGTCTTGTGGGAACCCTTAATGTTGGGTTTGCAGTACAGAACCACTGAGACATTGCTACCCAACTCCAATACCGACTCGAGCCCAACTAGTCCTTGCCTTATTTTCTTTGTGCCGAAAGTCAGGCAGGGTAACAAGAAGTAGTTTCTGTTATCGATGACCAAAACTTTTGTTTAGGCATTTCCAGCGACTGATATTCAATGCTATGTCTGCGTCACATGTTTAAAACTTAGAATTAAAAATATTTAAACTTTTATTTGGATAAAATTTCAATTTCAAAATGGAAAGGTTTTACTAGACGAAAAATATTTACTCCTCCATGAAGCAATATTGAGAATTTGCCCTGCACATCCTATGCAAACAATAAACATGGTTGGCCGATGCATTAATACCAATTCAGTTGTGTCCTTGGTAGCTTGAACTGACATTTCACAGTTCCATATGCAAATTCATTCCATAATTCTCTAGATTTGCTTCAAACAGGAAGATGCCTATTTACAAATTACAATTAAAGCAACACTTCAGAAATACATAATATTCAATTTGTTCGTGGTGGTCATACTCACTCTCCCAGTTTCATGTCTGGAAACCCCTGAATAAACAGTGCGTCTTGGACTGATGAAGGCAAAGCCACAGCAAAATCAAGCAATGGTGATTTGTATGACAGTAACACTGTCAGTTCTTTATCATTGCACCAAGAAATATTCCAGCCTATATGACAGTGGTCTGCCTAAAAACATTTGGAGCAGATAATCTAGTGATTGACATCAGGAGACAAAAAAACATGAGGCCAAACAACATGCATGTAACCAAGCCAGACAACTTGATCTATTTTGAGACCAATCACAATTATTGGTTCAATGGGGCCTTTAATCGTAACCCGGTTCTATAAGAGTAAAAATGACTGAAAAGAACAAAAGGCTTTGACATTCAGTTTCACATTCTTGCATTGCATGTGATGTAAAAACAACCTCTCAGATAAATATAATTATTTGCTCATGCTATCACCCACTAGCCTGTCTGACCAGGCTGCCACAAAATACATATTTAATGTTCATGTTATGTAAAACAACAATGACTCATATTAGAAAACATCACTTTTCAAGGTTGTCACATGATCAGGAGTCAGACTGTATAATTCATATATACACAAATACACTAATATGAAAAAGTCTACAATTTTAGTTGAAATATATAAATCTTAAGAAAGTATATATTAATAATATGTTTCAGATAGTTCTGTAAAATGAGAGAACTATAATAAGCTTATTAATCATATATTTTATGTTGTTTTTTTTAACCAAAACAGAACTTTAAACATTTAAATTATTTGAAAAATGCATCTGGTTTCAAATTGGCTTGTTGGATGTGAATATATTTTCCAATAATGATGATCAAATCATTTACCTGAAACCTGTAACTTCATGTGATAAATTAGTTCACCTAAAATATTTATTACATGTCAAATCTAAAAACAAGCTCACTTAAAAAAATCATCTGATATGGCATTTTATAAACAAAGAGATTTCTTCCATATATGCTTTAGTTTAAAACATACACATCATTTGCAACAAAGAATTGTCAGCATTAACTATAATTAAAGTTATCAAAAGGTAAACTGTAGCTTTTACTACCGAAATTTCCATTACTTGTGATTGTACGAAAATGACTGACTTAAATAACAGAAAGCATCCACATTGTATGGAGTTGATGGGTATATTGTGAAAAGCGCCTGATCCATCTGTGAAATTCATACCGTGTATGACGAAAGGGACATGTGACATAACAAGCACGGCAATGGCGGAAATATACCCGCAATGTGAAAGTTGAGAAAATTACTTTAATAAACAACAAAATCTGTATCAAAACTGCAGACAAAAGTTGCTTTTTAAGCCTTACATTGTTTCAAGCAGTAATTTGAGAAGATTTCATTTTTGTACCAATTTAAATTGCAGGAATATTCCTTACAAGAGACATAGGGTTTTGCAGCCTCGTTTTGGATAACAACATTATGCGTCGGCAAAAACTGACTTTGCAGTGCTCTGAGCTAAATAAAATTAATCAAAACAAACTGACACCTTCTTGTCTATCATTGAATTGTCTCGCAATGGATTGGAGGAACACCTTTACTCACTTTCACTCTTTCAGAAATGTGACTAACACTATTTTTTCCTTAAACTCACTATATGATCTATCCCTACGTGCGCAAACCTGTGGATAAACTTATCACAGTAAGATATGGAAACAGCGTAAATGTGAATATTTTGATGGAATAAAACCAACCAAACACGACAAAAGTTTAGAACAAGTAGTTTTCTAAATTTGGAAATACGTGTCTTTTCCCAATAATTCATTTACGCCGAGAAAAACAAAATTTTCCTACCCTTCCTTGACTTTCCCAAACGCCATTTAACAGGATCAAAATTGCGAGGGAGTTTAACGGAACAGCCAACAAGATGATTGGTCGGCTTGGATAATCCAAGGCTAATTTCCCACGTGCACCTGTTGCCATCTGTGAAGCTAAATCACGAAGCTAGGGGAGACAAATGCTGCAACCGTGGCCAGGTTCTTGTGAAAGTTACTTGTAAATTCTGGCATAAATGGCAATAAAAATAAAATTAGTCAACGATGTGGTTATATTATCATATGATAACACAGTATGAAATACAATACAGCTCATGTCGTCAATCTCAAATGAAAATTCCTTTCGTTTTCCCAGGATTCTGCCCTGTTTATGCGTGACGTCACAGTGTTGTTGTTGTTTTGGTCGAGCAGCTGAAGTACAAGGGGAAAAGAAGGTAACCTGGCCAATCATGTCGTAACACTGTAGTCTTACACGTCTGCCTCGTCCAGATTTAGGTGTCGTACCAAAGGAAAGGTTGCGTTTAGTTACATGTTGACGGCGTACTGGTGCACGCCATTAGCTCAGCAGCGAAGTGTAGGTCGGTCGCCCGCTGCTCAGACGACAGAACGAGATTTCATCGACTGTCAGACATGAGTCGAGCGAAGGCGAGCTGCACGCTAGATCGCAATTGACTCGTTTAGCGGACAGGAAGCAGAAACAGTCATTCAACTCTGTTGCAAGACAATAACTAGTTTGTGCAAATAAGTTCACAATCAAACATATCTAAATGTCTGTCAGTGGCGACCTCGAAGACACAGGGAAATTAGGCTTACATCAGAAAAACAAATATTGGTTTAGACCTTGTTCAGACTGTACAAAATGTCGCGGACAGAAATGGCTTGACAAGTCGCAATGACTGCTTTATTTTTTTTCAAGTGCATAATTTTAGGTTCAAGTCAGAAGTTAGTTCTGGTATGCACTTTTGCAAGATTTGTATATATTTGACATAACTTTAAATTGCTCCCTAGACATGGTGAGAAGGAGTTATGTGAATGGGGTTTGTCACCTGTAAAATATGTTCCCAACATGTTTGTTTCAATCTTAAGATGATACAGCTCAAATAATAAGTTGCATCATGAGAAATTTGGAAATATTCATTTCTGTAGTCAACTGATATTCCTTCTACTTCTGAAATAATGACTACATGACTCACCTTGACATTGTCATAATATTATGTCAAAGGGTCTTGGTCAGTTACATCTTAACTTTTCTTCTCCAAAATAATGAGAGCAATTGTTTGAAATGATTTTCATGTAAAAAAATTCTTTTGGGCAAAAGAAGGAGTTACTAGTTGTTAAAAGTTCAGTTTAACTGTCTGTTTGCCAGGGGTTACTATCACCAAGTTTGTCTGTCAACTTTTATGTTGTCTAGTGAATTGTGGTGTCGTTGCACTGAAAGTATTGTTTTTTCTCATAAGATACAATGATACTTTTGAAAATACTTCAATTTCATTGAAAATGATTGTTAAAATTGCTCCCTTTATCATGATTAGAACTAATGATTTTCAAGAAAACAATTTTGTTCAAGCTGCATTCATACTATCCAGAAAAAAAAGGTTTCTCAAAACAGTTTGAGGATCCCTGTAGCTCATGTATGCTGAAGGTTGATAGTTATTATCAGAGTTACCATTACACTTGAAAGTGACAGGTGATTATTTTTGGGAATGTCTTTTGTATGAACATATAATTCTTTGGTCCTGCTCTTTGGTAATTCAGACAATGTCACTGAAACTAATTCACCCTTATTACCAAAGTAAACATAAATGTCAAGGGTACTTTTCATTACCCTAATATTAATAATACTAGTAGGTTTTAGGGCCTACCTGTATTCTATTGCAAAAACAAATCAAGGAAACCCATTTTCCCCAAAAGTTTTAAAAATGTTGCTTTTGTTTGGTATCATTGAATGCCTGGGCAACTGTCAAACCAGTATAACCATGGTAAAGGGATTAAAGGAAATTAGATATACTCCAGATACTAATAGAATCTTCTAATTTTAGCAGAGGTTTATTTATATGACATAAGGGACCGTTCATAATTTATGGCCAGGGTGGATAATGACGATTTTTATGGATAAGCATGTATACAGTATAATGTGAATTGAATGGACAACAACAACAACAAACATCCCCCAACCCTCCACGCCACAACATACATTTATGTTCAAAGTAAGTGACCATGTCATTTACAAAATCAGTTAGCGGTTTGATCTGCTGTCCATATCATAAGATTAAAAAAAGTACTTGTTGATAGCAGGTGCTTGGTATTAAGAAGAACAAGGACTGTCAGTCTCATAGTCAGAGCATGTTATCTCAGTGAAATAGAAAAAACACCTTTTTTTTCACATTTATATCTACAATTTTGGTAGTTAATATGTGAAAGTGTGAAATATCTGTTAAACTAAATTCGGCCTAACAGTCTCAGTGGGAGGGAGATAGGAAACGTCAAAGAAGGATGTTATTGAGGAGAGATTAGTGCAGAAATGAGCAATGCGAGTCCAATGCGACTTTTTTAGAACAGACCATGGCTTTATGCAAATTAGTATGCGATGATATTGTATTACAAATGACACTTTTTAAGTGCCCATTTTGAAATTAGACTTAGTTTCATTGTAAACGATAGCAGACGTAAAGAATAATAACATTTAATACTGAAACTATGATACCATTGAGTCTCACTATCACTATAAAAAGAAACAGGTAGGAGGGGTCGTCTCAAAAGCAAAACCAGGACGGGTGTTGCAGACGGTGGTTGGGGTCAAGCTGGGGGATAGATATATCAGCTATAAAAACTATAAGATAAGGTAATCAATAGAGACATATTCGATACACATGAAAAAGCACAAAATATTTTGAGATGATCCCTTGTGCCTGTGGGCAGCACGTGTATTTCATGCCAAGTAAGTCGAGGGTCCGTCGTCATACCTGGCTGAGCGACGTAATTGCCATCTATAGTCTGATCTATTGTTTTCAGCTGCTATTCATATTTTTCTAAGTTTTGTCCGATTTTACAAGCAAACATGCTTTTGTGGATATCCTATTACGTCTCCCACTGAACGCCCAGTTAGGCCGATGTAGGTTATTTTGACAAATGCTATTTGCAATTGTGCAAATTTTAGGGATACAGAGTAACAGCCTAAAAACAGTTATTTTCTATTTCCGACAGTACTTTAGTACGCGGTGCAGCACACAAATGCAGTTAAGACAATGTTGAATGCAACATTGATCCCTCCCATTCCCATAATATGAGAGGCAATATTTTGTTGATAATCTTTGTAAAGACTGATGGCAGAAAGGTTGATGATTAATGTAGAAATACTTGTCATATAACCACACAATTAAAATGATTGTATTTATTTTATCACTTCAAATATAGTTGGGTTGTTTTGATATCACATCAACAGTAACTGGAATGTTTCGACAAGGAATGTCAAATGCTGGTGATGACAAAATCCTACCTTATGCAAAGACCGATATAGTTATTGACAATTCCTAACAGTATGTGCCTGGCGAATCCTGTAGCATTTCATTTTACATTACCAGTTGCACTCAACATGCTCTGGCAAGTGGTAAAAATAGGACTGATGACATAGGATGGGAGTTTTTGCTCATTTTAGTCAGTATATAAAACACTGAGAAAAATAAGGTAAGTGGATTTTGATGGATGGCCCGAATATTTGAGAAAAAGGTCCAGTTTTGATAAGTTTAATAACCGTCCTTGGTCGCTCGTTTGATATATACACGGAACAAAAATTAAGGGAATCCACAAATAAATTTTAAAATGATGAAGAAAGAAATGGTGTAGATTTCAGTCTTTATCATGTTTATAATTAGCATAAAATCCCATCAATGCAAGTGTTATTGATAGTTACAATACATTCCTGTGGCAGATATGTAGTTGTTGCACACTCAATGCAGAAATGAATCTGTTCCTCAAAGCAAGGTTGCGTTCATATTGATATTAACCCTCCTCTACCCACCCTAATCTTAATCCACACTCATTTGCTGATATCGTTCCACGAGTCAGGATGTAATAATAATATTAAAAATTTGAATTCTTATATTCGCTAAACTCCACATCAAAGTGTGCTCAAAGCGCTAACAGAGTTTTATAGTTCATTATTACCCTGGATAACCCAAGCTGCCTGTTAGACGCTAGAAGACTATAATCACATGACTTATCCCACTGGGTACCCATTTTCTGCTGGGTGAACAATTTTGAACAAACTCACTCACTTGTATGGAAACTGCAATTCTATGTTTAGTCAGCTTCAGTGATACCTATCGTGAGCAATTTGTCATGTTCAGTGACCCTTGTGGCTGTGATGATGATTGGCGTAAGAAAGTAAAAATGTATCACAGTACATGTCTGTTAGAGCGAGTTAACTATCAACATTTGGTAAATGTGTTTCTTGCAGCACAGTGGTCTTATCATTCTTTAACTGACTCATGAAGATGTGGGGTAGAATAGGTCTTCAGCAACCCATGCTTGCCACAAAAGGCGACTATGCTTATCGTAAGAGGCGACTAACGGGATTGGGTGGTCAGGCTTGCTGACTTGGTTGACACATGTCATCGGTTCCCAATTGCGCAGATCGATGTTCATGATGTTGATCACTGGATTGTCTGGTCCAGACTCGATTATTTAGACTGCCACCATATAGCTGGAATATTGCTGAGTGCGGCGTAAAACTAAACTCACTCACTCACTCACTCATTCTTTAACTGAAATGATAGCGACCCCTTAGATATTGTTCTTTGTATACAAGAAAGCTTTTCTGTATCAATCTACTTCTTAAAATTGTTTCTGTGTACAGTCATGTGTGTGGTTTATTTGGATTTTTCTTTGGAGCAGGTCAACTACAGTTATGTAAGGAGTTCTTTCTGATCAGTTTCAGTTTAATGTAACAGTGTAGCAGATCAGTCACTACCTACATCCATCAGCATGGGTGGCGCCGTCAGCACTGGTGCGGATAACAATGAACTAGTGGACAACCTGGTGGAAGCCGACTACATCAAGAGTCCTCTTGTGGAGAAGGTGTTCCGTGCTGTTGACAGAGCGGATTACTACGTTGACGGGCACCGAGACAGCGCATACAAGGACCTGGCATGGAAACATGGCCACCTGCACCTGTCGGCACCATGCATCTACTCCGAAGTCCTGGAGTCACTGCAGGTGAAGGAGGGCCTCTCCTTCCTCAACCTGGGCAGTGGCACTGGCTACCTCAGTACCATGACCGGACTCATCCTAGGTAAGGTCCCATCCTGTATGGTGTACCTGTACAAACCCATGGTCCTTCCACCCTCTTATGTGGTGCTTGTGTTCAGGCTAGGTGTGACTTCAGGTGTGGAGATGTACTTCCCGTATGCCCCGTCCAGTCATCTCCTCATTCAGCCCCCATTCACACATGTACTGCATTATGCTTGGGGCCCTATGTTGCTGTTATGTACTTCCCCCACCCCAAGTTAGCCCCAAGTCACACCCCATTCACCCATGTTCTGCGTTGTGTTCCTGGCTGTCTGGTGTTGTTACGTAGTTCCCCCAAGCCCACTCGCCTCCATTCTCCCATGTGCTAGTTGTGTTGAGGGACATTCCCCCACCCCACTCTCCCCCTACTCACCCACCACATGTACACACACATCCCTCACACCCCTACTCTCCAATGTGCTGTGTTGTGTTCAGGTATGTAGGTGTAGAGCTGTACTTGCCCAGCCCTGCCCACCTCCACTCACCCCTACTCACCCATATGTTGTGTTCTGTTCTGTTTAGGTATGTATGGTGTAGAGCTGTACATGCCCAGCCCTGCCCACCTCCACTCACCCCTACTCACCCATATGTTGTGTTCTGTTCTGTTCTGTTCAGGGCTGTATGGTGTAGAGCTGTACATGCCCAGCCCTGCCCACCTCCACTTACCCCTACTCACCCATATGTTGTGTTCTGTTCTGTTTAGGTATGTATGGTGTAGAGCTGTACATGCCCAGCCCTGCCCACCTCCACTCACCCCTACTCACCCATATGTTGTGTTCTGTTCTGTTCAGGGCTGTATGGTGTAGAGCTGTACTTGCCCAGCCCTGCCCACCTCCCACCTCCACCCCACCCCTACTCACCCATATGTTGTGTTCTGTTCTGTTTAGGTATGTATGGTCCCTGCCCACCTCCACTCACCCCTACTCACCCATATGTTGTGTTCTGTTCTGTTTAGGTATGTATGGTGTAGAGCTGTACATGCCCAGCCCTGCCCACCTCCACTCACCCCTACTCACCCATATGTTGTGTTCTGTTCTATTCAGGGCTGTATGGTGTAGAGCTGTACATGCCCAGCCCTGCCCACCTCCACTTACCCCTACTCACCCATATGCTGTGTTCTGTTCTGTTCAGGTATGTATGGTGTAGAGCTGTACATGCCCAGCCCTGCCTACCTCCACTTACCCCTACTCACCCATATGCTGTGTTCTGTTCTGTTCAGGTATGTATGGTGTAGAGCTGTACATGCCCAGCCCTGCCCACCTCCACTCACCCCTACTCACCCATATGTTGTGTTCTGTTCTGTTCAGGGCTGTATGGTGTAGAGCTGTACATGCCCTACACCCGCCCACCAGTTACTCACCCCCCGCTCACCCCCTTTTCATCACCCACTCACAGCTACTCACCCATGTATTGTGTTGTGTTCAGTGCCTTATGTTGTAGAACTGTATTTGCCCTACCCATGCTCTGCCATTTAGCTGGGATACTGCTGAGTGAGATGTTAAACAACAAATCAAACCCTACCCTTGCTGACCCCCTTCACTGACCCCCTTCTCACCACCCACTCACCCCCTTCTCATCGCCCAATCACCCCTACTCACCCATGCGCTGTGTTGTGTTCAGGGCCTTATGGTGTGAACCATGGTGTTGAGCTGTACGAGGATGTGGTGGAATATGCACGGGAGAGGCTGGAGGAGTTTAAGAAGAGCTGTGATACCTTTGACGAGTTTGACTTCTGCGAGCCGCTGTTTGTGGTTGGGAACTGCCTCCAGATCAACTCCTGCTGCCGTCAGTATGACCGTGTATACTGTGGAGCAGCCTGCCCAAAGGAACATGAGAACTACATGAAGAATCTCATCAACGTCGGAGGGGTGCTAGTCATGCCCCTCAACGATCAGGTAGGTCGGAGGTCTCACTCACATGAACAGAAGTTGCTGTGAACATCGTCCTTTACTAGTACTTTCTCTATTGAAGCTAATTAAGATACTGTGAACTCAGATGTATTCTTCTACTCAACTAGTGAAAAATATGGGAGACATATGTAAATTCAGATTGAAATGGTACTCAATGATAAGGTGGCCAGTGGTCCCAAAGACCTGTGATTGTCCGGGTTAGAACTGGTCTTCAGTAACCCATGCTTGTCGTAAGAGGCAACTAACATGATTGGGTGGTCAGACTCGCTGACTTGGTTGACACGTTATAGGTTCCCAATAGCGCAGATTGATTCTCATGTTGTTGATCACTGGATTGTCAGGTCCAGACTTGATTATTTACAGAACGGTGCCATATAGCTGGAATATTGCTGAGTACGGCCTAACACTAAATTCACTCCTTTATTCAGTCTATGATGCAGGTCTCTGTTGAAACCCACAAACACAGGCATGGTGTTGCTGGATTTACTTGCCACAAATGCCATTAAAAATCTTTAACTAGAATTGTCATCGTATTACAATCACTGGATTGTCTGGTCCAGACTTGTTTATTTACCGCTGCCATATCGCTGGGATAGTGCAGCATTAAACAACCATCAGTCAGTCAGTGGTCACAGAGATTGATTCTGGATGTGTTACCGAGGCACTATACCTGCTTGCATCATTAGATGGGTTTTGTGTCTTCCCACAGCTGCTACAGATACGCCGCACTTCAGAGACAACATGGGAGACAAAGAACATCCTTCCAGTTTCCTTTGCCACCCTTGTGTCTCCATCAAAGGAGGATGAGATGATTGATCTCCGTGAGTACATTTTGTGTCAGCATAATCAGAGAAACTTTATTACTAACCCACTAAGGCTGCTACCTGCTTGGGATAAGGGTTACTTATTGAACATTGTACAGAATGATTCAGAAACTCACCTGGAAACCCTAACAACCAACAATTCATTGCTAACAAGCTGCTGTCCAGTGTTTCTTTTTATCGTTGATATATCCATCCATTTAAGGGGGCTGTGGGGTAGCCCAGTGGTTAAAGCGTTGGATCGTCACGCCGAAGATCCAGGGTTCGAATCCCCACATGGGTACAATATGTGAAGCCCATTTCTGGTGTCCCCCGCTGTGATGTTGCTGGAATATTGCTAAAAGCGGCGTAAAACCAAACTCAGTCAGTCCATCCATTCAAACTATCCATTCTCCTTACACATTCAACATGTTCCTGGTTTCAATAAAGTTTACTTTTCACTTTAAAATCGTTTGCGAAAAGGAAAATCTGCTCAACTTGATCATTGATGTCACGGTTAATCGTTTCTGTTTCATTATTCCAGAATGTCATAACGGTTTCACAATTGTACAGAGTAGAACTTACACAAAGAAAGAAAACTAGTTTCATATCCAAGTGCTGGAAGTAAGGTTTAAGCACAAATTATGCTTATGTTATCAAATGAAGGTGACTGCCTGCACCTCGGGTACTTTGGGGAAAGCTTAAACTCTTAAGTGAAATCTAAGTCCAGGGTGAAACCCCTTAATGAGATCTGTCTAGGATGTAACTGACAGGTGAGATCTCTGTCTGCATTCGGTTTGATGATTTGAAGCTTCTGTAACTGACGTTTCTTGTTGCAGCTGATGTGTCACTGCCGATGCTGCAGGAAGTATGTCGCATCACCATCAGGAAGATCCTGCGTGTTAACATCCTAGCCTCCTTTCCTCACCTCAAGAATGTCCGCAAGAAGAAGCGTGAACCTGTCAAGAAACGTGCAGGCAAACAGAGACGCATCAATATTGTGCCCATGAGCATGGGGATGATGATCCTCGGGCAGTTTGAGGACAGCGATGATGAGGAGGGAGGGGAGCCAGTTCGGTTGATCCGTAGACGACGCTTCCTGCGGAGTGTTGCTGATGCTGAGGAAGAGGAAGAAGAGGGCATGGAGGAAGACAGTGAACAGATGGAGGAGGGTGGTGCCGAAGGGGAGACGGAGAGGGAAGGGGAAGCTGAGGCAGGAGCCTCTGGAGAACAGCAGTCGAAGACCACTAGAGTCAGAAGTGCCCCAACCAGAAATGGTGCTGCATCCTCAGGGAGCCATTCTAGCTCCACAACGACCTCTACCAATAGCAGCAGCAGACTTCATGGTATAGGTCGCTTTCTGGCCGATGCCCATTCCTCTGATGACTCTGACAACGATGATGAGGACGATGATCATCATGATGAGGATGATGAAGGTGTTGACATTGTGGAAATGCTGCAGTTGAACGATGTTGCAAAATCTGGACTTAGTCCCCCACGCAAGATTCGCTGTTCATCCAACACAAGTGCTGATACTTCGGAAACATCAGGCATTGGGTCTCTAGGAGATGACCCTCTGGAAGCCGACACGTCACATGACAACAGTGAGAAGGCATCACCTGCCAGCAGCTTCGAGGGCTCCGGCAACCATGCCATGGACTGCACAGAGCAGGAGGATGGACGACCACGGGTAGTGGTGGGCACGATATTGAGGGAGAGGATAGGACAGCTGCCGCTGCCTATTGCACTGAAGACATACTTGATGTACTACCGCAACTAGCCACGCCCACCTTGTTATGGTATTTCAGGGTTGTACCAGCTGGTGGATAAGCTTGGTAAAGTGTTCAGGTTCTATAATCTGATTGCCATGCAACATATGTAAGGGACGGTGTGTTATGTGGATATTGACTCAAATTTGAGATGACAGCAAGCTTTCACACGTGACTCAAATTTGAGATGACACAATGCTTTCACACGTGTGACTCAAATGAGATGACAGCCAGCTCTCACACATGTCATTCAAATGAGATAATAGTCGCTTTCACACGTGTGACTCAAATAAGATGATAGCCTGCTTTCACATGTGACTTGACTGAAATGACAGCAAGCTTTCACATGTGACTGAGGCAATGTAATGACTGACAGAAATCACTTAACTGGTTTCACGACCAGCTTTCAGATATCTGACTTGACCATAGTCACGGCCAGCTTTGACATATGTGACTTGACCCGTGTCACAGTTCAGCTTCCATTAGAGTGACCAACCAGTTACAGAGACCCACAAGCACAGCAAGCATTTGTTGGTAGCTGTTAGTCAGGACGTGGAATAAACTGACCAATTGTCTGTGATAGATTTGGGGAGGATTTCACCGTGTAAATACTTTTGTACATATGTTTTGAATATAAGTGCCATGTTTTGAAATGATTGTGCTAGTTGTCTCAGTGCTTGGTTTGGGGATGAAGAAATCAAATTTTGCTATGTTTGACACGAATGAGTAGACATCAAATTTTGTCTTTTCTTGTTGTTAGACCGGACTTATATATATGGATTCTAGAACTTGACCAGGGCAGGTGAAATGCCTGCTTCAATATCCTACAATACATATACCCACCTGTCTAGTTCAGTCTCACAGTCACACTGTTTTGAGAGACAACAATGTCTGTATTCTTTTATGAGGCCATTATAGATATATCAGTTAAGGAACTTTCAGCCCAGACATCATTTTGATTCCCATGGCCATCTGACACATACAACCCAAATCACATTGTCCCTCCCCCACCCCCATACACACCACCCACCCCTATGTGACACACCACCCACACACGTTTGACACATGCCAACCAAATCACTTTCTCCCTCCCCACCCACACACGTTTGACACATACCAACCAAATCACTTTCTCCTCCCCACCCCCATCACACACCACCCACACGTTTGACACATACCAACCAAATCACTCTCTCCTCTCCTACCCCCACCCACACACACGTTTGACACATACCAACCAAATCACTCTCCTCTCCCCACCCACACACGCCTGACACATACCACACCAAATCACATACCAACCAAACCCTCTCCCCCTCCCCCCCGATCTGACACACCACCCACACACGTTTGACACATACCAACCAAACCACTTTCTCCCTCCCCACCCACACACGTTTGACACATACCAACCAAATCACTTTCTCCCTCCCCCACCCCCATCTGACACACCACCCACACACGTTTGACACATACCAACCAAATCACTTTCTCCCTCCCCACCCCATCTGACACACCACCCACACACGTCCGACACATACCAACCAAATCACTTTCTCCCTCCCACCCCCCCCATCCCATCTGACACACCACCCACACACGTTTGACACATACCAACCAAATCACTTTCTCCCTCCCCACCCCCATCTGACACACCACCCACACACGTTTGACACATACCAACCAAATCACTTTCTCCCTCCCCACCCCAATCTGACACACCACACACACACACGTTTGACACATACCAACCAAATCACTCCCCCTCCTCGAGCCCATCTTGCCCCTAATTTTGCATTTCTTAAAGTGACATCCTTTCTCCATTGTCTCAACCATTAAAATTGATGAAAATCTTGCATTTCTGTCCCAGCTTCTTTTCTTTTGGAGAATGTATCCAGTTTTATTCAGCCAGAAAGCTGCTTTAGTTTCACGTATCTTTCAGGTAACTAAGCCTTCCCAGTGGCACACTTCTCATCGGGCCCAGGGTAATGTTGATGAATACACTAGATTCACTCATACTTCCAGAGTGTTTCGTACCATAATAAAATGATTACATTTCTACTTAGTGTACCAATTTTCACATAAACTGAAATTATTTCACACCGTGTCAGCATTGATGTTGAGTGACATTTTTTGGGAAAAATACAGTAATCTCTATTCCATTGTCAGTTGTAGTGCCTTTGGTCTTGTAGACTTGACTGTCTTTTCAATGCTAAGTAATGTAGGTATTATGTAGCCTTATCTGAACAGTTCATCACTAATTATATGGTTATCGGGCTGGTTATGTACAGATGGGAGGGAATCACATTACATAACAAATGGCTGTGAAACATTCTGGGAAGCATAGAGCGTTGACATCTGGATGACAGAAGGACATATGCTATATCCCACATGGCTTCCAGGACAAGTTCAACAAGATATGTCTGTGATATGTTAAGGTCATGAATCTTGAATAACAATGTTTATGTATAGAGCATTAGTGTTTGATCATTGCTCCTCAATCTGATCGGATTTGATAAAACCAGATTGTTTTCACTTTTTTCCAAACAACTTAACATGTGTCACATGAAAGGGATGTAACTTCTCAACAACATGCCCTCATAGGACATCTTTACAATTAGCATGATTAAGTTTGTTGAATTTCTCTGTTCTTCCTTGTTATATCTTTATAATGTCATCATGAGCATTTCCTTTGTCTGATGACCTTGAAGCACGGTCAACCACCATTTTGTACATTCTAGTCAGCAGATCATTAGCCACAGTTTAACTAGACAAAATAACTTTACCAGAAATTGGTATATATGACATATTTAGATTGTATATCCATTTGAAAGATACTGATTGAAGAAAGTAAGGGAACATAGCATCATGTGTGTACCCAGAAGGCCATTGGAGACTGTTTTGACCTACTTGTTACCTGACAACTGATTTCATCTTCTTTCTGTATTTTCTCAAATCTGACAGGTAAGTTGCTATTGGGATTTGTCTACTTTTGCATCAAAGCTAATATTCAGCCACAACTCTAGAGCTCATGTCAGTAAACATTTTCAGATTGGAATATGGACGTTCCCATTTCATGTCACAATGTTAGCTAAGATTTTGGCTTTACCGGATGATATATATTTCACTGTCAATAGGACCAAGGAAGGAAAAAGGATGTACCGTTTCCATTTACATCATTGAATGCTGTGCTGACATACCCCAGAACGTAAGAACTTGACTTTTGAAACAGTAATTAAGTTTTGAAACCTAGATAGATCCCCGAGTGCAGTCAACATTGCATATGTTGTCGCTTGCAGTTTTTGCAGGATTGAGCACACATCCAGAGCATTCATATGTTTTTAAACATTTGAATTAACACATTTGTGATTTCAACAAAATTCAGTGTTTGTCAAGTTTCAAAAAGCACACCTGCTTGTCTTTTCTAGAAAGTTTTATCCATACTAATTACTTGTATATACCTCATGTAAAATATGTGATGATGTTGATCTAGGTTCATTATGTACTTAACAAAACCTTTTGTCATCTTGAAAAATAGAATCTCCTGTGGAACTTGAAGCAGGTTTCATTCTTTCTAATTGTGCTGGTAAGTGCTAAATGTTTCCATGTATCCACAGAACAGTTCACACAATTTTATGTATAATGTTAAAGAGAAAAGGCATGGTATCCTTGCCATAATCCCGATGTTAAGAAAAGACTGAAGGGGTAATTTGAAACCTGCACACCTTGGACCTCATCAATTGTGTTGGTGATCAAAGGGGAGATAACTCATTTGCCGAATATAGACCATTCAGCATTTTCCTGTCTGTTGTCCTCTTTCCAGGACTTCTTCTTGTACATTGTTTGAATATTATGTTTGTTTCAGTTTGATTTCAGATTGTTTCCGTTGTTGTTGAATTTTGTGTTCAGTACCAAATGTGTTCTGTGTCACCATAGTAACCATATTTACAATTGTCTCGGACTTGATTTGAAAAATCACACTGTGCACTTCACTGTCGTCCATACCAGGTATGTGTTGCCTCACAGCTATTAAAACTGTCTTAACAGGTATTCAGGAGACTAAAGAGAAGACATTAATATGCATTAATAAAGCTGTTCAAATTCCACAAAATTTAATAAAGTTTTTGTTATCAAAATGGAGCAATGGTAAAATCTCAGTGCTATCAATCCTACCATCTTTATTACTGATGGGAAACAAGGATGCTATTCTTCCTCTGCACATTATCCTGTATTCACATGCAGCTTAGGGATCCGTCAGTTGGAGAGGTAGTTACATGGGGCAGGAGTGCTTGGTGGAAGTCCCTGGAATAATTTTTGACAGTCACCTGCCAACATTACTTCAGTTAATGTGAAAAGGTTGAATTGTCTTTTGTCCATCATGTTTACTTTGTACTCTTTAGGAATTGTTTTCTTAGAAGTTGTAAATATGAGACGAAATAAATCATATTATTATTCTCTTTCATGTTATTCTTTGATGACCATGTTTTGCTCAACACTTCTTGTGGTTTGATTTTTGTGGATATGGCCAAGGGTCACACTGCTATTTTATCAGAATATTGTCACTTTTATGTCACAGTGTGCAGACTGAACGCATTAGCAAAGTACACAATACACATCCACACCATCTGGCTCTTAAAGAGTGTACGAACAACCTCAGAACACAAAGATCAGTCTGCATGGCGTAACTGTCATATATGTATTAACTAACTATGAATCCACATGAAAGCCACAAACTTCACCCACACCAGAATCAAATCTTCAAGATCTGTATTACATGGTGGTGATTCCAGTCATTACTGGAGGGTTTCATCTAACATCAGAGTGCTTGTTCATGGTAATGCTGTTTGAACCAGTAATATTGTGATATCAATGAATACCACTTAAAGGTATTACCAAGGTGATTAAGTACCGGTAATATCACTGCATGATATGGCTGTTGTATAGCCAAGCTATATCCTAGACAGATATTGTTACTATATTACGACACTGTGTCAGGTTATCTTGTGGAGTGATAGGACTGTTGTAGAAGTGATTGTTTCCTTGTATAGGCAATGGCCATATATACTGCCTTATATCTGTATAGGCAATGGCCGTATATACTGCCATATATCTGTATAGGCAATGGCCATATATACTGCCATATATCTGTATAGGCAATGGCCATATATCTGTATAGGCAATGGCCATATATACTGCCATATATCTGTATAGGCAATGGCCATATATACTGCCATATATCTGTATAGGCAATGGCCATATATACTGCCATATATCTGTATAGGCAATGGCCATATATACTGCCATATATCTGTATAGGCAATGGCCATATATACTGCCATATATCTGTATAGGCAATGGCCATATATCTGTATAGGCAATGGCCATATATACTGTCATATATCTGTATAGGCAATGGCCATATATACTGCCATATATCTGTATAGGCAATGGCCATATATACTGCCATATATCTGTATAGGCAATGGCCATATATACTGCCATATATCTGTATAGGCAATGGCCATATATACTGCCATATATCTGTATAGGCAATGGCCATATATACTGCCATATATCTGTATAGGCAATGGCCATATATACTGCCATATATCTGTATAGGCAATGGCCATATATACTGCCACATATCTGTATAGGCAATGGCCATATATCTGTATAGGCAATGACCATATATACTGCCATATATCTGTATAGGCAATGGCCATATATACTGCCATATCTGTATAGGCAATGGCCATATATACTGCCATATATCTGTATAGGCAATGGCCATATATACTGCCACATATCTGTATAGGCAATGGCCATATATCTGTATAGGCAATGACCATATATACTGCCATATATCTGTATAGGCAATGGCCATATATACTGCCATATATCTGTATGGGCAAGTGGCCATATATGCTGCCATATATCTGTATAGGCAATGGCCATATATACTGCCATATATCTGTATAGGCAATGGCCATATATACTGCCATATATCTGTATAGGCAATGGCCATATATACTGCCATATATCTGTATAGGCAATGGCCATATATACTGCCATATATCTGTATAGGCAATGGCCATATATCTGTATAGGCAATGACCATATATACTGCCATATATCTGTATAGGCAATGGCCATATATACTGCCAGATATCTGTATAGGCAATGGCCATATATCTGTATAGGCAATGACCATATATACTGCCATATATCTGTATAGGCAATGACCATATATACTGCCATATATCTGTATAGGCAATGACCATATATCTGTATAGGCAATGACCATATATACTGCCATATATCTGTATAGGCAATGGCCATATATACTGCCATATATCTGTATAGGCAATGGCCATATATACTGCCATATATCTGTATAGGCAATGGCCATATATACTGCCATATATCTGTATAGGCAATGGCCATATATACTGCCATATATCTGTATAGGCAATGGCCATATATACTGCCATATATCTGTATAGGCAATGACCATATATACTGCCATATATCTGTATAGGCAATGGCCATATATACTGCCATATATCTGTATAGGCAATGGCCATATATCTGTATAGGCAATGACCATATATACTGCCATATATCTGTATAGGCAATGGCCATATATACTGCCATATATCTGTATAGGCAATGACCATATATACTGCCATATATCTGTATAGGCAATGGCCATATATACTGCCATATATCTGTATAGGCAATGGCCATATATACTGCCATATATCTGTATAGGCAATGGCCATATATACTGCCATATATCTGTATAGGCAATGGCCATATATACTGCCATATATCTGTATAGGCAATGGCCATATATACTGCCATATATCTGTATAGGCAATGGCCATATATACTGCCATATATCTGTATAGGCAATGGCCATATATCTGTATAGGCAATGACCATATATACTGCCATATATCTGTATAGGCAATGGCCATATATACTGCCATATATCTGTATAGGCAATGGCCATATATACTGCCATATATCTGTATAGGCAATGGCCATATATACTGCCATATATCTGTATAGGCAATGGCCATATATACTGCCATATATCTGTATAGGCAATGACCATATATACTGCCATATATCTGTATAGGCAATGGCCATATATACTGCCATATATCTGTATAGGCAATGGCCATATATACTGCCATATATCTGTATAGGCAATGGCCATATATCTGTATAGGCAATGACCATATATACTGCCACATATCTGTATAGGCAATGGCCATATATCTGTATAGGCAATGACCATATATACTGCCATATATCTGTATAGGCAATGGCCATATATACTGCCATATATCTGTATAGGCAATGGCCATATATACTGCCATATATCTGTATAGGCAATGGCCATATATACTGCCATATATCTGTATAGGCAATGGCCATATATACTGCCATATATCTGTATAGGCAATGGCCATATATACTGCCACATATCTGTATAGGCAATGGCCATATATACTGCCAGATATCTGTATAGGCAATGGCCATATATCTGTATAGGCAATGGCCATATATACTGCCATATATCTTGAGTTGAAAACATGAATCATGTTCCTGAAGCTTTCTTGCTCAGTTGCCATGGATTCACTGGCATACAAGAAATCCCATTATAAGCTTGGGATTCCTTTTGCATATCTATGCAGTGAAGAATATTTGGTGCTCAGTTATTTTATATTATCCAAGTTAAGGTTTCATTTTACTTTCTTTTCAATATTGTCCTTTAATCAACATGAACATCACTTAAGAAAACAGAATCCTGCCTCATCACTGGGGACAAGTAACATGGTTAGGATCTGAACACAGGAGGATGTTGACATCGACATGATGTACACTTTATGTCTTATGTACTATGAAGATGCATGAATAAATTTGCTTAATAGTTTCTGGTCTTTGGGCCAGTGGCGAGTGTACTTGCTCATCACACAGATGAACTGAGCCCACACAAAACTCCCGGTACATCTTGCTAAAGGCAAGAATTTATGGATGCCAAATAATGTATTTTGATGGATATATATATACATGTGTGTGTGTGTGTGTGACGGCTATATATGTACATGTGAAACCAAAGTGACAAGATAACAGTGCAAGCCGGTAGTTAATTAGCACTAGATTGGTGAGGTGGATGGACTAGTGGAAGTCAGGAATTGTTAATCCAGGCATGCTTGATGAGGTAACAATGGTGACTGTTTCCTGGTCTTTCATTCACATGATGGAGTAAGAAAATACTCCATCAAAACGAAGAAGTTGACATAAAAAATTATTGAATTTATGTGTATCACTTCTAAATGCCGTTCAAAGACTACATCTTTCTAGACTCAGGCTTGTCTTGTGGTGAAGGTGTGGACTGTATAAACGCCTTGGCCTGGAATGTATCTGCAGCTTTGGTTGGAGTCTTATAGTTCCTGGTGATGTCAGGGTTCATGAATAGCGTCGGACCCTCAGACAAATCCGGCAGATTTGTCGACGGTCGGATGGAAGTCTACAACCCCTTGGCCCCAGTGTCCTGACAGTATATTTCATAATGACTTTGAAGTTGTTTTATGTGACATGTTTATAAATTTTACATTTGTTAAAAAATAAATAATTCCAATGCCAATTATAAGAAATATTTAATCTGAAATGTGTGTTGAAATTATATTCTATGGGTCCTGTGAATTTTCAGTGGGTCAGACAGACATCTAAAACTTACACGACCCAATGTCCTGTTACTTAGAAACAACATGCGTGAACACTGGGTGATGTATGTTGCCAGGTAACCCAGACGCTGACAAAATTACACAAAACAGACACCTTAAGCTGGCAGTATATGTTTTATTAGCAATTCTCCACGTGTGTGATATTGTGGGGCGGACAGCAAGCAGGCTGTGAGGGAGCGTGCGATGTTCCGGCCGCCATGAACCAAGGGAGCCGCCACAACAAACACACTCAAGTCCACATAAACATAGCTTCTTATAAAAGGTTAAAATGCTCTACACAGATCAAAAAGGTCTGGAGTAAAAAAGCTGTGAAAATACCATATTGCACATAAGTAAATAATAAACCTAGAATGGCTGTAAGGGAAAAAGACATAAAAACATATGACAAGTCCATAGACTGGGAACAAACATCAGTGACAATGGAATTAAATAAGTTCTCATATAGACTCAACTCTTTCCAATCAAAGCAAGGGGCCCAAGTTGTACTGACAAGAAGCTGTATAATACTTCTAATGACCTTGACTTTGTCAAAAGGTCATTGTCAATTAGCTGTATCTAACTAAGGGCATAGCACACCATACCTGTGTAGTCACATTGCTTTGTTTGGGAAAAGTATGAAAAAAATGTATAAATAGTTTGGGAAATGTTGAGTACAAATATCAACAAGTGTATAGAGAGTATACATGGCTCCATTTTTCAACAAGGAAATAAGTTAGGAATAAATACAGGAACACATGGAATGACTGAAATGTACAGGAATGTTGTACATTACATAAATTAAAACAATGTCATAAATTAAAACAATGTCATAAATAATAACTTAACAATGATATGTTTCTTGTCTGCCCAGGAGTTGTCTCCCCTGACCTATGTCACGACGTGTTTTTACAACCACAGAATATGTAACAAAGATGGTGCAGTGCTGGTGATGCGAGCTACAAGCACCAATGAACATTCACTACAAAGCTGAATGTCTGATTATCTGTCTGTTCACCGTCACCCAACCCTGCAGATTGTTCTTCAGCCCACAGAATATGTTTGCAACACAATCATGAATTTGTTGAAATCTCGGAGCCTGCTGCTCTCATAACAATCCTAACCATGTCACACAAGTACATCTATCTCATCACTGTCCAAGTATGACAAGATGCTGCATTGTTTTCGTGTCTCTGTGGACCAGCACTGTCAATGATGAACCTAGCAGCTGAGTAAGTCAAGTCGGCACTATGCAGACTGCAATGCAGTATACAGCTGGCTGGCTGGCAGGCTAGCTGCGTCAAGTAGAAGCAAAAGGCATCTATTCACACTTCTATCTCTGCCATGGCTGCTTTGATTGCACTAAACAGGAGATTAGACTCCCCATTACGTTCTGCCACTAGATCCTGAATTTTGCCAATGTAGAGATCAAGCGTGTCATCACAGACCGGCTCCATGGGGGGAGGGAGCGGCACTCGCTGCAGACACGTGACCACCTTGCTGCGGAGTGAGGCCAGGTACTCCTGCATGCTGTGATTCTTGTCATCCAGAAGCTCATTCTCTGTCTCTTTCTGATGCAGCCGAGTCTCCAAACAGGTCACTTCTGCTCGCAACTTCGTCATCTGCAGCTCTGAGGAGATTGTTGTTGACTTCAACATCTCAATCTCCTCATCAAGTTGTCTGAGTTCCTCATCAGTGTCCAAATCCACTGAAACAAAATGAACATTGGTCTGAATTTTAACTTAATACACTACAATGAAGTTTTATCTTGACAGAAGTAATGCATTGTATTACAACCTGTTTTCTTTTTGTTCAAGAACATTATCAGGGTTTAGTGACAGGCCTATACCTATACTAACCCACGATGCCCCCAGAGGTATGTTAAGACTCACAGCATGTAACACAACATAAATAGTAACCAACTCTTTCCATATTAACATACACCCTTAGGATCACTATATCTTGCTGAAACACCACTGTAATTGAAACTGTAATTGTAATGCACCCTTTGTGCACGTGTATCAAGTGGCTGGTCATGTTACCTTCTCCGAGAGCAATCTTGTGTTGTAACATGGTCAGTTCCAGGGGGGTGAGGCGAGCCTTCTTCATGGCGAGGGTGGCGCGGGGACAGCCGGACAAGCTGCGGTGGGAAAGGAAGCTGCCATTGGAGTGACCAGAGCCATCACAGCCCAAGGTGGGACAGCTGCAACACAGCAGAAGACAGTGTATTTGTCTGCTGGTAGTAGGTAATAAAAGCAACACAGCACAGCAACAGGTAGTAGGGCATTAGAGCATTGAGCCATGTTCTGTGAGCAGTAGTGTGTACTGTGTTGTGTGAGCAGTAATGTGTACTGTGTTGTGTGAGCAGTAATGTGTACTGTGTTGTGTGAGCAGTAATGTGTACTGTGTTGTGTGAGCAGTAGTGTGTACTGTGTTGTGTGAGCAGTGATCTGGTCTGTGTGAGCAGTGATCTGAGAATATATTTAAGCTAGTGGTTGGTTGCTTTGTTGTTTAACGCCGCACTCAGCAATATTCCAGCTATATTGTGGTGGTCTGTAAATAATCAAGTCTGGACCAGACAATCCAGTGATCAACAACATGAGCATCGATCTACGCAATTGGGATATGATGACAAGTGTCAACTAAGTCAGTGAGTCTGACCACCCAATCCCATTTGTCGCCTCTCAGAACAAGCATGGGTAAAGCTAGGGACAGCTAATAAACATTGACATGGAGAGTTAGGAATTAGGTATACCTTATGTCCATCTTAATGCAATTATTTGTTTTTTCCATCATGAGCATTGGGTCCTGGTTCTCGATCCCTGGCAACATTGGCCTTGGTGGTGGCACCTTGTGACGGTTAGCAATTGGGCATCCTGAAGCACTGAAACATGCAAACAGAGAACTAGTCACAACCCCTTAAATACAGTAGCAAATACTAAAATATTATCAAAATAATTAATAGACTGAACACACCTCCTTGTTGCCTTTTGGTAAATATCATACTCCTAAGAATGTATAAAAGTTGAATCTACGAGCTATGAAATTCCACCACTACTTGTTATCAGAATGTATCAAAACAACAGCAGGGACAGGTTTCATCAACATAGTTTTAGTACATGAGACAAAAATCAATCACACAACATTATTATCAGTCATCAAAAACACACTTTCTCTTAAGTCTGGTTGTGGTGGGTAGGGGAAGGAGTCATGTGGTGTTGAATAACAGAGAGGTGTATCAAGTGGTGTTGATGAACAGGGGGGTGTGGTCAGGTGATGTTGATGAACAGAGAGGTGTGGTCAGGTGGTGTTGATGAACAGAGAGGTGTGGTCAGGTGGTGTTGATGAACAGAGAGGTGTGGTCAGGTGGTGTTGATGAACAGAGAGGTGTGGTCAGGTCAGGTGTCAGGTGTTGATGAACAGAGAGGTGATGAACAGAGTGGTCAGGTGGTGTTGATGAACAGAAGGGTGTGGTCAGGTGGTGTTGATGAACAGAGAGGTGTGGTCAGGTGATGATGAACAGAGAGGTGTGGTCAGGTGGTGTTGATGAACAGAGAGGTGTGGTCAGGTGATGATGAACAGAGAGGTGTGGTCAGGTGGTGTTGATGAACACAGAGGTGTGGTCAGGTGGTGTTGATGAACAGAAGGGTGTGGTCAGGTGGTGTTGATGAACAGAGAGGTGTGTCAGTTGGTTTATGAACAGAGAGGTGTGGTAAGGTGTTGTTCATGAACCGAGGTGCCGTCAGATGTTATGGATGAAGAGGTGTTTGTCAGTTGGTTATTGAACAGAGATGTGTGGTCAGGCGGTGTTGATGAACTGAGGGGTGTTGATTGGATTATGAACAGAAATGGGTCTGCCAGATGTTATGGATGAACATAGGGGTGTGGTCAGGTGTTATGGATGAACTGAGGGGTGTGGTCAGGTGTTATGGATGGACTGAGGGGTGTCAGTTGGTTTATGAACACCGATGGGTCTGCCAGATGTTCTGGATGAACGAAATGGTGAAGTCAGGTGTTATGGATGAACAGAGGGGTGTGGTTAGTTGTTATGGATGAACAGATGGGAGTGGTCAGGTGTTATGGATGAACAGGGAGGTGTCAGTTGGTTTATGAACAGAGGTGTGGTCAGGTGATATGGATGAACAGAGGTGTGGTCAGGTGTTATGGATGGTCAGAGGGGTGTACTCACACACCTCATTGGGGGAGGAGTCAGACAGAGATGGGTTGGGGAGGAGTCAGGCAGAGATGGGTTGGGGAGGAATCAGGCAGAGATAGGTTGGGAGAGGAGTAAGGCAGAGATGGGTTGGGGGAGGAGTCAGGCAGAGATGGGCTGGGGAGGAATCAGGCAGAGATAGGTTGGGAGAGGAGTAAGGCAGAGATGGGCTTGGGAAGAGTTAGCCAGTGATGGTCTGGAGGTGAGGTGGGGTGGAGAGGAGTAAGGCAGATGGGGGAGTCAGGCAGTGATGGGTTGGGGGAGGAGTCAGGCAGAGATGGGTTTGGGGAGGAGTAAGGCAGAGATGGACTGGGAGAGGAGTAAAGGCAGAGATGGACTGGGGGAGGAGTAAGGCAGAGATGGGTTGGGGGAGGAGTCAAGGCAGAGAGGGTTGGGGGGAGGAGTCAGGCAGAAATGGGTTGGGGAGGAGTCAGGCAGAGATGGGTTGGGGGAGTCAGGCAGAGAGATGGGGGAGGAGTCAGGCAGAGATGGGTTGGGGAGGAGTAAAGGCAGAGATGGGTTGGGGAGAGGAATAAGGCAGTGATGGGTTGGGGGAGGAGTAAAAGGCAGATATGGGTTGGGGGAGGAGTCAGGCAGATATGGGTTGGGGGGGAATCAGGCAGAGATGGGTTGGGGGAGAGTCAGGCAGAGATGGGTTGGGGAGGAGGAGTCAGGCAGAGATGGGTTGGGAGAGGAAAAGAGCAGTGATGGGTTGGGGGAGGAGTGAGGCAGAGATGGGCTGGGGGAGGAGTCAGGGCAGAGATGGGCTGGGGGAGGAGTCAGGCAGTGATGGGTTGGGGAGGAGTCAGGCAGAGATGGGCTGGGAGAGGAATAAAGGGAGTGATTGGTTGGGGAGGAGTCAAAGGCAGAGATGGGTTGGGGGAGGAGATGGCAAGGCAGAGATGGGCTGGGAGAGGAGTAAAGGCAGAGATGGGTTGGGGGAGGAGTCAGGCAGAGATGGGTTGGGGGAGGAGTAAGGCAGAGATGGACTGGGGAGAGGGTAAAGGCAGCAGAGATGGACTGGGGGGAGGAGTAAAGGCAGAGATGGGTTGGGGGAGGAGTCAGGCAGAGATGGGTTTGGGGAGGAGTCAGGCAGAAATGGGTTGGGGGGAGGAGTCAGGCAGAGATGGGTTGGGGGAGGAGTCGAGGCAGAGATGGGTTGGGGAGGAGTCAGGCAGAGATGGGTTGGGGGAGGAGTAAGGCAGAGATGGGTTTGGGAGAGGAATAAGGCAGTGATGGGTTGGGGGAGGAGTAAAGGCAGATATGGGTTTGGGGGAGGAGTCAGGCAGAGATGGGCTGGGGGAGGAATCAGGCAGAGATGGGTTGGGGGAGAGGTAAAGGCAGAGATGGGCTTGGGAGGAGTTAGTGGAAGTGGTCTGGAGGTGAGGTGGGGTGGGGTGGGAGGCAGAGATGGTCAGGCAGTGATGGATGGGGTGGAGGAAGTAAAGGCAGAGATGGGTTGGGGGAGGAGTCAGGCAGAGATGGGTTGGGGGAGGAGTCAGGCAGAAATGGGTTGGGGAGGAGTCAGGCAGAGATGGGTTGGGGAGGAGTAAAGGCACAGATGGGCTGGGGAGAGGAGTCAGGCAGAGATGGGTTGGGGGGAGGAGTCAGGCAGAGATGGGTTGGGGAGGAGTAAGGCAGAGATGGGTTGGGAGAGGGAATAAAAGGCAGTGATGGGTTGGGGGAGGGAAGTAAGGCAGATATGGGTTGGGGAGGAGTAAAAGGCAGAGATGGGTTGGGGGAGGAGTCAGGCAGAGATGGGTTGGGGGAGGAGTCAGGCAGAGATGGGTTGGGAGAGAGTCAGGCAGAGATGGGTTGGGGAGAGAGGAAAAGGCAGTGATGGGTTGGGGGAGGAGTAAAGGCAGAGATGGGCTGGGGAGAGTCAGGCAGAGATGGGCTGGGGGAGGAGTCAGGCAGAGATGGGCTAGGGGAGGAGTCAGGCAGCAGAGATGGGCTGGGGAGGAAGTCAGGCAGAGATGGGTTGGGGGAGGAGTCAGGCATGAGTGATGGGTGGGGGGAGGAGTAAAGGCAGAGATGGGCTGGAAGAGAGGAATAAAGGCAGAGATGGGTTGGGGAGGCATAAAGGCAGAGATGGGCTGGGGGAGGAGTAAGGCAGAGATGGGTTGGGAGGGGTAAGACAGAGATGGGTTGAGGGAGGAGGTAAGGCAGAGATGGGACTGGGAGAGGAGTAAGGCAGAGGATGGGCTGGGGGAGGAGTAAAGGCAGAGATGGGTTGGGGGAGGAGTAAAGGCAGAGATGGGTTGGGGGAGGAATAAGGCAGAGATGGGTTGGGGGAGGGTAAAGGCAGAGATGGGTTGGGGGAGGAGTAAAGGCAGAGATGGGTTGGGGGAGGAGTAAAGGCAGAGATGGGTTGGGGAGGAGTAAGGCAGAGATGGACTGGAAGAGAGGTAAAGGCAGAGATGGGTTGGGGAGGAGTCAGGCAGAGATGGACTGGGAGAGGAGTAAAGGCAGAGATGGGCTGGGGAAGAGTAAGAGGCAGAGCTGGGTTGGGGAGGAGTCAGACAGATTGGTTGGGGGAGGAGTCAGACAGAGATGGGTTGGGGGAGGAGTCAGGCAGAGATGGGCTGGGGAAGGATTGAGGCAGAGATGGGTTGGGGGAGGAGTAAGGCAGAGATGGGTTGGGGGAGGAGTGAGGCAGAGATGGCTGGGGAAGAGTTAGTCAGTGAGAGTCTGGAGGTGGGGTGGGGGAGTGAGGCAGTGACAGGTTGGGGGAGGAGTCAGGCAGAGATGGGTTAGGGAAGGAGACAGGAGGTGATGATAGATTTAGAGGTCAGAAATGGAATGAATTACTAAGAAGAAATTGAATACTCTATTGACACAATATCTATCTGTATGAAACCAAAGGAAATGAGGCAATATTCAGACACCAAAGTGCAGTAAACCTAGTATAACAGCGCTGTGAGACTCAGGTTCGTCATAGTGCATAAACAGAACTGAAAACAGCAGTACCACACAACAGTAACGGTACAGGAGAACCTGAGCGAGGCAACTGTGACCCAGTGTGTACACGGAAACACAAAACACGACAGTTAACGCAGGTGGTTGCAGACAGGAACTAAACCATGCTGTGTGGGGACAACCACAACACCAACCAACCAGTACCTGCGATGAGAGAGATATTTGCCTGTCACATGACCAGACCCATCACACCCTGGCACAGGGCATCTAAAACGCAACAGCAGGTTTTATAGACAGGCTCTTCAAACACATGCACACAGAGACACTCAATAAATGTATTCACTCAATGCTCAACTTACACCCCAATACACACCCACTCACACATCCCCCCCCCACCCACAAACACACACAGGGTGTGACTGAATTAAGTGACGTCTTCACATCCCTAACCATTTAAGTTTTAACTAATTCAAGACATGAAAAATAACCTCTGACTTCAATTTCAAAGACCACTGCCACATTCACCATCACATATCTTGAAGGCATCATTTCCCATTGTTTTCATATTAATGGACAATAGCAATAGCTCCAACAAACATGGACGAGTGAGTTACATGTTCCAGCAATACTCAGACAGCAGGACACCAATCAAGTCAGTCCAGTCCAAATACGAGATTGATATATGATAAAATATCCATGGTGTTGATACGAGGAATCAGAATGGTCTCAACTGCAGGTTGGTCTTCCTTCCCTAGTGTTAATCCATCACAGTATTCACACACTGGAGGTTCTGGGCCAACCTCCATTATCCATGGTATCATATCTCCTCTCTATTATGTACAAACATAACCAAGATGACCTCTCCATGGTTATACAGAGAAATCTTAGCACTACAATGATTGTAAGTCAGCTATGGGAGTTACGACCACCTTAGTGATAAGATCGCTTGTCTGGAGTGGGCCCAGGACTCATTTGTGTCTCCTGCTCATGTGGAAATCAACAACAGACCTGCATTCATAGAGTGTGAGTGAGTGAGTATGGTTTTATGCTGCTTTTAGCAATATTCCAGAAATACCATGGTGGGGGAAACCAGAAATAGGCTTCACACATTATACCCATGTGGGAAATCGAACCTGGCTCTTCGATGTGATGAGCCAACGCTTTAAACATGAGGCTACCCCACCGCCCGACATTCATGGAGGAAGCTGAGCTAAATCTAATAAAATAAGATGTTGTATCACCACTTGAACCATGTGACTTGATTGGAGGTCCAGATTTAGCACTGACAAATTCAAACCGGACTCAAAAAGTCAAAACACAGCTGTGGTGAAGTGGCATTTATTATAAGAGAAAGTAGATGCACCACACTACATAACCAGGGAGGCTTCTCACCTACCTGACCTCCATTTTATTTAGTGGGCGAGTTCAGTTTAATGCCGCTGTTAGCAATATTCAAGCAATACCACGGCTGGGGACACCAAAAGCTTCACACATTGCACCCATGTGGGGAATCGAACACAGGTCTTAGGCGTGACGAGTGAACGCTCTAACCACTAGACCACCCCACCCCCAGTATTTTATTGATATATGATAGCAAGGCTTCAGCCTCCCATGGGAATGATGGGAATATTTGGTTTTGAATGCAGAGAAGGGGTGGAGCGATTCACCCAGGCATCACGATACTTCGATTCACAAAACCATACATGACTGTGTGTACCATGCCTTTTACTGTAATACACAAACACTTTATTAAACAGTTGTATACCTACTGCAATATTGTCACAAGATTTTGTGGCTTAGTGTATACCATTCACAGATCATGTATGCTTTGTGATTCTCTGTATCGCTGCTGGTGAGTTTTGTTGTAACAGTATATACTGTAATGATATGTCTGCAATTTTAGTTATAGGCTTGAAAGTACTCACCGAAGAGGTTCATCCATTTCTTTCTTCTCGCCTTCCTTGCATCCGAGGGTCTTTTTGAACTTGGCTGCCCGCGGGCATCCCGACAGACTCCGGTGTGACGCATAATTGCCGGTCACATGACCTGAGCCGTCACAGCCAGGAGTGGGGCACCTGTTGTTGTTGACACAGAGAAGACATGAGAAGGTGATCAAAGCAAGGGGCACAGGCTGGCAAGGTGGTTCCACTTACTCAGTCTGGGATGGGGAGACGAGACTCAAAACTTATCTCTTTGGGAAGGGGGACAATCCATTACACCGGGTAGCATTAATCATCACCCGAGAGTCTCCATTTGGAACTATACTACACAAAAAAAGTTAAGGACAACCTGAAATTTTCATATCATTATAGGAATATGAAAGATCTGGGATGTCCTTAAAAGTTTATTGTAGTATATATGATTGCACTGCTGCTCACCTGAATATGTAGTCAATTAATATGATCATACTTTCTGCATACCATTACGAAACATAAATATTTCATTACTGTTCAATCGTAAATATGTCAGAAAAGGCTGTAAGAAGTTCCACTTTCCTCTATGGTATAAGTGTAGTGGTCAATTCCAAGTGAAATGTTATATTGTGAAACACATATGTTGAGCATCCGTATGTAGAGTAATTGCCAAATATAGAATTGTCAATATGGCTGCCATGGTGGCCAAACTGAAAATCAGATCTGAACAACTTGAACAAGAGCAGGTTTCATAATTAGTGTCAACAAACATGCAATGTGTCAGCCTGACGATGGTCCTTTGTTTTCTTAGGGGATGATGTTTAGTATGGGGGGACATAAACTTTGTGAGATATATAGTATGGTCAAATACAGATCAAAATTTTTTACATGACAAAAGTGAAAGCAAAGGTGTTCATACCCAACACTAACTATACAACTATCAAACAAACATTAAATGAAAAAACATGGCTTGGTACGAGTGCCAGTGATTTTTTTCAAATTGGCTACCATGTACTGAAAATCTAATTCTAACAACTTAAATAAAAGGGGTCATCTTTAGTGTAAACAATTTTGTGAAGTTTCAGTTCCATTGGTCCAGTGGGTTTTGAGAAAATGTTTACCAGTACACAAATGACGAAGGAAACAGGCTACCGATGAGCTCACTTGTCTTACAGTAAGGTGAGCTAAAAATATACAACTTCATGCCTTCTCACTCATTTTGGTACCATAGTCTGTCCCTGCTAATTTTTGTCCCTTTTGTCTCGAATAATATCTGTATACACTATTTAACTCTAATGACATCACTACCAGTGTCTCCCTCTGATAATATTGTTATCAAAATCTATCCCAGGGTGCCGTTGTACAAAACAAGCTTAGCGTTAGGGTGATCGCAAGTCCCATACCTTAACAAAGACTTACAATAGTCATAGCGCTTATGTTGTTTTGTACAACGACACCCTGAACTATTCAAGTGGGGAGCATTACTCACTTTGGGGCAGACACCATAGGATCAAGGATCATAATATCATAGATCTGGGATTGTAATCCTTGAGATCCGATCTTAGAGGACTGAACGAGTTAACTGCAGATCATTATATGATTGGACCCTCTTCCCGTTGACCTGATTATAGGATCACTCACCAAGAAAGTAAAGCTCATGATAAAACACAGATACAACACTGGGTCATGCTGGGAAGGGAGAGACACTGAAGGCTCAATCATCACCTAATCTTAATTAGTTGACATCAGTAGGACCATGTATTGCCAAACGAAATATACTGCAATATACTGCGAGCCAAAGTGTTTGACAGTAAGTGGCACATGCAGATCCTATTTCCTACATACTAAAGCCCCAAAATAAACAATACGGTTCTGATCCATCTAAACTACTGGTTGGATAGTTAGGGATTCTTTCGTTTCTAAACATTTCATAGAGTCTGCTGTTTTGTCAGTTAATAACAATGGGAAACATCAGAGGAGAATGACAGTCTGCGTACATTTTAACTTTAACCCCAGAGATATTGACAAAACTTGCTTTAAAGTTTTTAACCAATATAACGTTAGAAGAAATATTGCAAACTATTGTTTGAAAAGTGCATTGTAGTATACCAGTATACCATAAAACCATGCCTTCCTAATTATCAGTCAGCCAAACTGGATTGGTTACACCTTCAGACAAACAATAATGTAACTCACACTATAGTCTGATTGCAGTGAAAACGTACCGATGAATTTCACTCTAAACAAAAAGGTAAATCAAATAAAGTGAAATTAAGATTACGAATCCTCATAATTTTACCCTGCCAATTGAACATTCAAATCTCAGAATTTTATTCAACTTAGGATAAAAGTTGTTTAACAAACAATCATAGTTTCAAATCGCTATTATTGGTTTGCATTACAAAGGGGTATGCACTTTAAATGAAACACTGAGAGCAAGTAGTGTTGGTTTAAGTTAACGCTCATCACGTACCGCACATGCTTTTGTTTCACTGTTCCATCTACTGCACTCACCCCCCTTGTAATACAAACCAATAATAGCGATTTGAATTATGATCGTTTGTTAAACAACTTTTATCCTAAGTTGAATAAAATTCTGAGATTTAAATGTTCATTTGGTAAGGTAAAATTATGAGGATTCGCCATCTTAATTTCACTTAACTTGATTTACTTTTTGTTTAAAGTGAAATTCATCGGTATATTTTCACTGCAAACAGACTATAGAAACAAACCAGACACACTTTCTCTTATTTCTGTTTTTCTTGATGGCAATAAAAAATACGAGTCGCTTTGAATGAAAGCAATAACCAGCTGCTGAAGACAATCCTCCAGTGACAAATTTATTTTTTTTGGGATAAGACTTAGATTCTGGTGAGCCTGGAAGCAGAGTGTTGTAAAGGTTGCACATGATTCAGCAGTTGTTTCGATGTGCTGCCCCTACCACTGCCCCAACATCCACCCGCTAGAACCTCAAGGGGAGTCACACTGGGTACATACAATACACATACAACAAAAACATGACAATCAATGGGGAGATTGGAAAAAGTGTCTCATGTCATCAATGGCCGCTCTTAGGGCACAAGTCACATTGATACACTCTTTAACACTACTGGTAAATTACATTGACATGCAACATCAGACTAAAATCTAGGAGTTATGGAACAATTGGAAACAAGACCTACTTGATTTGTGCACCAGCCGGCAGACAGGTGCTCTCTCACTCAGTACCACAAAAAAAAACGACATAGGAAACTACAGAAACTGCAAGAAATAATACTGGTTAACACAAACCAAAAATTTGAAAACAACAAAAGACAAAATAAAATGATAACCAAAACTGACAACAAAACAGATGTATACAGTGATACAGTTCAACTCATTATAGAGGTAAAGTTCTCCTTGGCACTAGTTCAAGGTCATTTCAAAGGGTGACGTTATTCCACTGTAGACACCTGCATGAATGCATGCACAACTGAAATTGGTGATACCAAAGCTGAAAATAGGACATCGATTCATGCAAAACAAAAATAATGTTGAACAAAAGATACATCAAAATGCAAAACTAAAACCAAAAACAAACTGAAGAGTGACAGATGGCGAAATGAGTGTGTGAGTGACGAGGACAGCTTGTATCTGCAGCCTACGTAGGATCACTTACTTCTGCTCCACCTGATTGGCCTGTACCATAGCTCGGTCAGCCAATGGGCAGCCTGAAAGACTGCGGTGAGAGGAATAATTTCCAGTCACATGACCAGATCCATCACAACCAGGCGTCGGGCATGTGAGAAGCTCACGTCCCTCCCGCACTTTGGGGGAGAGAGGTTGAGTGAGCAGTGTCAGGTCGGGTTCGGAGTGCGTGCTGCGTCAGAGAGAGAGAGATCAGGTTAATATGGGAGGGTGGGGATTTGGGAGGGGTGGGCTTGGGGTCCTAAGCACAAACTTCATGCTCATACCATTGCTGTTATTTCACACGAAAAAATTGTAAGAGTGCGTGCTGGTTCATGCTAAAGTCAAGAAAAATACTGTTTAATCAAACAAGTTTCTTTAATTTGCACAGATCAATACAGTTCACATAAAATGTTCACTTTATTTATTCATATGTTCTATGGTACAAGTTCACAATCTGTAGCACAGATGGTACTGAATATATTCATCGAGAAGAGTCACAGAATTCCACCAATAAACCCCTGCAGAAGTCCAAGTGCTGGTTTCTCAACGCGTACCCTCTGGGTGACCAGCCAACTGTAGGGGCTGCCTGTCGCCTGACCAGCAGGTTCCAGGTCCCCCAGAGGCCTGCGAGTCTACCAGTCAACTGACCATCACTTGTCAAGCTGCCGGTATTGGGACAGAGAGTCAGTGCAACCTACCCATTGCTTTGAGGAGCTGTCATGCCACCATTCTCTTGGTAGGTAGTGTTGTTGGAGATGTTGTTCAAGGTGGTGAGGTTGATGTTACTGATGTTGTGTGTGATGGGAGGTGGTACCTGTTGTATAGGGGCAATGCTGTTGGTGACTGGTGTCACGAATGTTGAGCTGAGACTCACAGCCTTGCTAACACTTGGCTGGGGAATATTCAGCGCTGTGCCCCGCCCAGCCAAGAGCAAGCTAGCACTAGCAGTGGCAACCGGCCTCTGTGCTGCAAGCTGGGCTGTGACAGGCATGTTGAGATCTACTGTTTGCACTGCCCCACTCCCTCCCTTGCCCAGGTTCAGTGAAGCAGACACTGTCAGTGCGCTTGGAGACGGCACTGGCACAGTTGTTGATGCAGTTGAGGTTGGTCGACTAGGGTCGTACCTGTACTGGGGCTTATAGTGAGGGCGTCGGCTCAAAATATTGGGCCTGTCAGGGGCAGTGTCTTTGATTTTAGGGACAGGCTTGGGTTTGTGAGCTGCTTTTGCTGCTGATTGACCAACATCAGTAGTTGGTCGGTTGTATTTCTCCAGCTCCTTGGCTAGATTGTTACGGGGCGTTGTCGTAGAAACCACAGGTGGGTAGTCAAATGTGTTGAGATCCAACTGCTTTGTTAGAATCATTGGTCGAAGGACACGATCACAACCTGTGAGTAGAAAACAAATGCCATGATGAAATATCATAATGAATATGCAGGCAAAATCACTTAGCAATAAGAAGTTCCAAGCTATTCTAGGGTGTTTTTGAAACTTTTAATTACCGAGTTCATTGATCCCTACATTTTATATATTTTAAAATACACTTAAATTTCTTTTCTCTCCTCTAAGGAAACCATATTCATTATGACAATTGAGCAAAAGTATTCCATAGACTTGTTCTCCAAAATGTACAGCCTTTTTGTTCACACCAAGGGAACAATGTACAGTAAACAGAGTATATCACCCAGTGGAGCAATGTGTCGCTCGCGCTAGGTGGTTATCTGAGCATGCCCAAGCAAGCACTCGAGTGAAACAAAACGAACGAGTTCATGGTGTATGGTATGGGTCATATGACACATGGCATATGGTATGGGTCATATGACACATGGTGTGATGTAGGTAATGAGACACATGGTGTATGATATGGGTCATGTGATAGTATGTGATATAGGTCATGTGATACATGGTGTGTGATATGGGTCATGTGATACATGGTGTGTGATATGGGTCATGTGATACATGGTGTATCGTATGGGTCATATGATACGTGTGTGATGTAGGTCATGTGATACATGGTGTGTGATATGGGTCATGTGATACATGGTGTATGATACAGGTCATATGACACATAGTGCTTGATATGGGTCATGTGACACATGTTGTGACATGGGTCTTGTGATACATGGTGTATGGTATGGGTCATATGACACATGGTGTGTGATATAGGTCATGTGATACATGGTGTGTGATATGGGTCATGTGATACATGGTGTGTGATATGGGTCATGTGATACATGGTGTGTGATATAGGTCATGTAACACATGGTGTGTGATATGGGTCATGTGATACATGGTGTGCGATATGGGTCATTTGATACATGGTATGTGATATGTGTCATTTGATACATGGTATGTGATATAGGTCAGGTGATGCAAGATGTGAGATATAGACAGGTGATAAAGTGTGTGTGAGATTTGTGAGGTGATGCAAGATAGGTGATATGGTCAGGTGATACATGGTGTGTGAGATTTGTCAGGCGATGTAAGATAGGTGATATGGTCAGGTGATACATGGTGTGTGATATGGGTCAGGTGATGCAAGATGTGTGATATGGTCAGGTGATACATGGTATGTGATATGGTCAGGTGATGCAAGATAGGTGATATGGTCAGGTGATACATGGTGTGTGAGATTTGTCAGGTGATGCAAGATAGGTGATATGGTCAGGTGATACATGGTGTGTGATATGGGTCAGGTGATGCAAGATAGGTGATATGGTCAGGTGATACATGGTGTGTGAGATTTGTCAGGTGATGTAAGATAGGTGATATGGTCAGGTGATACATGGTGTGTGATATGGGTCAGGTGATGCAAGATAGGTGATATGGTCAGGTGATACATGGTGTGTGAGATATGGTCAGGTGATACATGATGTAAGATAGGTCAGGTGATGCAAGATGGTCAGGTGATACATGGTGTGTGAGATTTGTCAGGTGATGCAAGATGTGTGATATGGTCAGGTGATACATGGTGTGTGAGATTTGTCAGGTGATGATGTAAGATAGGTGATATGGTCAGGTGATACATGGTGTGTGATATGGGTCAGGTGATGCAAGATAGGTGATATGGTCAGGTGATACATGGTGTGTGATATAGGTCAGGTGATGCAAGATAGGTGATATGGTCAGGTGATACATGGTGTGTGAGATTTGTCAGGTGATGTAAGATAGGTGATATGGTCAGGTGATACATGGTGTGTGATATGGGTCAGGTGATGCAAGATAGGTGATATGGTCAGGTGATACATGGTGTGTGAGATTTGTCAGGTGATGTAAGATAGGTGATATGGTCAGGTGATACATGGTGTGTGATATGGGTCAGGTGATGCAAGATAGGTGATATGGTCAGGTGATACATGGTGTGTGAGATTTGTCAGGTGATGTAAGATAGGTGATATGGTCAGGTGATACATGGTGTGTGAGATGGGTCAGGTGATGCAAGATAGGTGATATGGTCAGGTGATACATGGTGTGTGATATGGGTCAGGTGATGTAAGATAGGTGATATGGTCAGGTGATACATGGTGTGTGATATGGGTCAGGTGATGCAAGATAGGTGATATGGTCAGGTGATACATGGTGTGTGAGATTTGTCAGGTGATGTAAGATAGGTGATATGGTCAGGTGATACATGGTGTGTGATATGGGTCAGGTGATGCAAGATAGGTGATATGGTCAGGTAATACATGTGTTTATATGGGTCAGGTGATACATGGTGTAAGGTATGGGTCATGTGATACATGGTGTGTGATATGGGTCAGGTAATGCAAGATGTAAGATATGGGCCAGATTATGTGGGGAAAATGAACTGGATGAAAAATGGTGGGACATACTGTGTATATATTTACAAAAAAAGTACCATAACATTGTAATTGAATTCATATTTATGTAATCTACAAACATACACATTTACATCATTATATTGATCAAGAAACAAAATTAAATGTGTGAGCAACAACACTGACACATGAGAAGACAGTAATGTGAGCAACTGAATGTACTGAGAGAGGGAGTATGGCAGCAACATAAACGTTGGCCCCACCATAGCTGACACCCGAACTGAAAGCTAATGGAGGCAGGTAAGAGAGAAACATATGTAGGTACGGACCAGTGTCACAGTACTGCTTGGCTGCAATCTTGATCAGCTCAGACTCGCTGCATGCTGCCAGCACAGCTCGGTTTGGGTCGCCGTTCTTCGGGAGCACCACCAGGTGGAGTCCTGCCACAAGGAAACAAGTCATATGACCGAAGCTCAGCATGCCAATGAGCATCTCAAGCAGCTGTTAACTTGGTCCGCACTGCCTTCACCACCATAAATGTTTCTGGCAAGTCCACAGAGGGAACAACAAAACAGAAAAGCATACAACTAAATACAGAGAGAGAAGCAGAACACTGACAGAGGAGAGAGAGTGAGACAGATGGACAGACAGTCAGGAGGGCAGTAGAGGGGCAGGTCACACATACATACCACTGGGACATGCACAAGAAGAGCTGTTGTATTCTAACCTTCAGTGAGACCCCCTGCAGTTGGGGCGATTGACGACTCTGTCCCAACTAATGTCTGTGTAGGTGCCTGTAGCCTGTCTTCGCCTGGAAATGTACTGGGTGTGTTACCATCACAGCCCAAGCCTTCTGTAGATCCCCCTGTTTGGCTGGCTGTAACATATCTGCTGGCTACTAACAGAGTTCCAGATCTCATGCAGCCCACAATGGCAGTAAACAGAGCATGAAATGACGTCAGAACACAGTACTCACCACTAAGTCTGCGCTATGTGGAGGAGAGTAAATGTAGTAAGTAAATGTAGGTGGAAGGGCAAAGGTGGGAGGATGGACAGAGGTACAAGGGGGACTTGCCAGGAAGCCAGTTCAAGGTCATGTACAAGATGGATGCTGCTTGATGCTGGACCAAGCTATCAGCTGTCATCAGACACATTGACAAACAAAATGTTTTATGAACAAATATAACATGAAATGTTGACATTTTTGAAAAGGTAAAGATTAATATGTTAGTAGCAATTGAATTGTAAGAACTTGCAAATGATTAATAGTGATCATAGAGATTTGTTTGTGGTGTACATGATGACAATACCTTGCTTCTTCTGGTTCTGTGTGTTAATCAGCTTCCCCATGGCAGCAATAGGACACCCAGACAAACTGCAACATACAGGCAACACTGACAGAAGTGTAGGCAAAACACTAACACCTGGTGAAATCACAGAAAAGATGTTAAGGGACATGCTGCCAGATTCCTGGGGAAAACTGACAGAACCCTAAGGGACACACAGACAGAATCCTGGGGAAAATATTGATAGAACCCTTAGCACAAACCAACAGATTCCTATGGAAATCACTGACAGAACCCTAGGGACACACAGAGAGATTCCTGAAGAAGCTACTGGACAGAATGCTAGAGAACACATGACAGCACACCCATGTAATGAGTCAGTTAATGTTGTTTAGTGCTGCTATAAGCAATATTCCATCATGGCAGTCTGCAATGAATCAAGCTTGCACCTATCCTCCCAGTGACATGAACACTGATCAAATCTATCAAACCCTTGTCAGGTGGCTCTTACAGAAAAACAAACATAAGTATTTGCGAAGAATATGTAATTTTTCAAGTAAAATTGATATTTTTATACTTATCCTGACTCGTGATCTTTTGCTTATCTCCCTTTCCCTTGCGAATGGTAGTGGAACACTTGAATCCCTTGAAGTTCCCGAAGCGTAACTCATGACTGACTGACTGACTGACTGAGTTTAGTTTTACGCCGCTTTTAGCAATATTCCAGCAATATCACGGCAGGGGACACCAGAAATGGGCCGTAACTCATGAAGATAAGCAGACCCCCTTCTACACACTGCGTTTTTATCCTCAAAATTTGGCTTATAGACAGTAATATACAGTAAGCCTGGACGACAGAAATCTGGACGATTTACGTAAAAATGAATGTGCCCGGACATCCGGGGGTCTCACTGTATTAGATTCCCAAGATGATAACAGGCCGTAGTTGTATACTGTTTCCAAGGCTGCCGATGAAGTATTCCCCCGTACCACAGGTTTGTTTACAAATCAGAAAACATGCTGTAGCCTGCTCTGTCAGTGGGAGGCGTTGTCTGACGTGGACTAATCAGCTTCCAAGCATGACGTCACCGGTGTTGTAGCAAGTTGGCCTCCATAAAATCTGATGCAATTAGTTGGTTGAGTAAAAGCGCACGTAATATAGACCTCTTGAATAAGGGTTGCTCCAAGTGTAAATTCTTGTTCAGTGATATAAATCACGAATTCCCATTGTGGATAATATAAGCCAGCATGACGAAGGAGGCTGTCGAGACATATGTCTGTATGGATCTTGAAGAAATACCGATGTTGAATCTAGTTGATAGGACATAAAATCCTAATCCCCACGCTGAGTGACGAGTGTTAATAATATCATCTGTACGTCCATTCAAGGATACTTGAAGGAGTTGTTAATCTTAAGCCCTTTACAAAGGTCGCCTTGAGGTTCTCCAGTACTTGAGATATCGGCTTCATAGGTGATATCATATTGGAGTCGAAGTCATCAGCATATATGCAGTACGTCTCTGTTGGGTTGGAGTGAGTGAGTGAACGACAATATCCGCAGGCCATCTGCTACCCGGTATAAGACTTCAGCATCCGTATAGAAGTATGAAGTGATTCCTTTCATCAAGTAGGTTGTCGTCCGAAACTGAACCAATACAGGTATAAGGTTTGTGCAGGTTGTAGAGTTGTGCAGGCTGTAACTGTAGAGATTGCACATGTTGTAGATCTTTTTGTTGAGTTTTAAACTCTGACAAAACCATCTGTTTCATCATTGCTTCGTTTTATTCAGCCGTATGGTAATAGAGTCGACGTCAACATCCTGCCTGTTGATGTAAGGGTTTGTTAACCCTAGGGTTCGCGAACCCTGTAGATGTCTGCGTTGCTGTTATCTGCCTGCGTTGCTGTTATCTGCCTGTAGATCTGAGTGTTCTCGAACCTTGTAGATGTCTGTAGCTTTCTCAAAGCTGTGCGTAGGTTAGAAGGTACCTTGGATAATCGGAGGAATAGTCACTGAGTCAAAGTCGTCATTACGCATCTTATAAGTGTAGACTATATCCTTAGAAGGAGACTCCAAGTACAAACCATTGGCTATCCAATCTGTAACCTCTGAGTCTGGGAAGACGAAATCTGGTTATTCATCAGTTATCTCCTGATCGGTAGAGCTATGCCTCCGCGAATCATCCTTCTGAGAACCTGTATCCCTTCTCGAACCTCCATCATCCTTTTGCGAACTGAACATTCCTCCCTTTGCGAACGTCTATCTTGAGAGTCCTCTCTTCGCGAAGCTCTATCTGTGGATTCATCTCTTCGCGAACCTTTGTGATGTGAGCTTTCTCTTCGCGAACGTCTGTTGCTAGATATATCCTTTCGTGAACCTCTGTGGTGTGAGCCTTCTCTTCGCGAACCTCTGATTCGTGATGAGTGACTTCGTGAACCTCTGTGAGAGATATAAGATCTCGATCTAGAGTGGCTAGGTGTAGGAGATGGATCCTTCGATGTTCTCGAACGCTGAGGGTTCGCCAATGTAGAATGATGAGTAGGCATCTCATGTCTTCTATCCTCCTCCAAGATGACAGAGTCGTCCGACTGTGGAGACCTTTCGCAAAGGTGTACGTTCGCCAACGTAGTCTTGAGACGTAGTTCTCTGAGGAGTAGGTTCGCGCACGATGTCAGTAGATGAGAGGCTTTGCCGAGCCTTCGCTTCCTCCTCGAACCTACGTTCCATCATGGCCATCATCTGGTTGGTGAATTGTCTCATAATTTCACCAGGATCAAGTTCTGCGCGTTGAGAAGTTGGTGGTAGTTCGTCAAACAGCTGGCCTGCTGTGACCGTTGCAGGAGACGATCTAGTAGTCGTGGATGTCGATTGAGTCGTCGATCTCGTAGGTACTTCGGGTAGAAGTAACGGAGGATCATCAAAAAAAGTCTACTTCATGCGGAGGTAATATCTCTTAATTTAAGGATTCCTGATGCGTGGACTTACTAGGCCGCATAGATTTACCCTCCGATCTGGTAACAGATGCTTTCTTCTGCGACGTAGAAGAAGACGATGTCTTTTTCTTAATCTGAGTCGGAGTCAACTGAGTTGTAGCCGATCTCTTCTTGGCCCCCGTACCAGTAGACTGCCCCTGCAACGTACTCAACATAGCACCAGTATTATGAATTTCAGCAGTAGCAAGCAACAAACAGTTTGCTGGCTGATCTCCTGTTTTATCAGCCGAGACTTGAGATGACTTCCTCACCCGATCCATGGCACGTCTATAGATATAAGACAAATATTGATTCAATTGTAGATTTTTAAAAAATTTTATTTGATAAGGGGTATAATTTTTAAATTTTTTATTGGTTCCCAGGATTACAATGTCATGATATGTAGAACAGTGATGTACAGACAGATGGATGATGTACAGGTATCAATATCATGTTAATACACATTTGTAAGTCAATAAAAGAGAAATATGACCTCAGGTAAATTGGGTACATTTTAAATTCATCAAAGTACTGGGAAGAGAAGACCCCATTTATGATTGAAATCTTCTATTTTATTATTTCTTTTGCATATATGGTTTTCCACAAAGAATATTTCTTTCAAAGTTTTTATAAAAAGAGTTATGTTTGGATGCGTATTTTTAATACTGCATCATGAAAATGTCTTTTGCTGCAATGATGATGTGATTTAGTAATATATTATGATGTAGAGTACCAAACCAAACCATATGTTTTGATAATAGCAGTGGATGAGGGTATAAATTGTTAAGCCAAATTTGCAGGTTTTTCCAAAAAGTTTGTGTCTCCTGACATTCCCAGTACACATGACAAACACTCTCATTTAGATCATTGCAGAAACAACATAGACTGCTATCAACCTTTTTCATCTTAAGCAATTCTCTTTTTGTATAAATAACTCCTTGTAGAAATCTATATTGAAAATCTAAAGTTTTGTGTCTTGCAATCCTTTTCTGTATGCTGTAAATATATTTTTCCAATCAAAGTCTATTTCAGGAAATAGCAGCTGCCATTTATTACACATATTTGGGTGTATATCATTGGAAATAAGTTTATCACAAAAATTCCTGCAGCCTTTAGATGTTTTTACTAGATATATCTGACATTGGTTAATATTTAAATCCCAATTGTAGATTTGATAAATCAACACAATAAGTACAGCGCAAGCTGGAAGAACATGGTTTTATGCACGAAAGGCATTGGGGGTGTGGATCCGCCACGGATAACCTGTGCCTGCAAACACTGCAAGATTTCATGAAATGTAAACAAAGTTACATAACGATGAAATTATGACACAAATACAAATAATTTTTACAATTTTTTACATATAATACATAGTAGTTATTGCCAAATCCATACACAGCGTAATTTTGAAGAATAGGACCTAAATAAAAAGGATATAATGCCGTATACTCCAACCATCCACTTGGGCGAAAAGGGAGAGAGTGACAAGTAAGGCTGGTCACATGACTGTTTACGTGGGAAAAGGGAGGTAACTCATGGGTGAGTGTATTTTTACGTCCGCTTCAAGGGATTCAAGTGTTCCACTACCATTCGCAAGGGAAAGGGAGATAAGCAAAAGATCATGAGTCAGGATAAGAAAAAACAAGTGTAGAAGTGAGCACAGCTCACATACCCCCGCTTCCCACTTTGGGACATGGAAATGACTGATATTGATATATATAATGTGACAAGGATCAGCAGCTCACAAGACTTTCTCCTTGACTCTACTAAACTTTATATACATGTTAGATAATAGTTTTGCCATGTACGGATTACAGTAATAATTTATGGAAACATTATTTTTTTTGTTTTCCGTGGAAACCTGACATACAATTGAACTTGTTGCACACAATGAAGTGGACGTAGATGAAGATTGTTATTTTTTAGCACATGGCATATCTGTGGGTCATGATTAACTTGTGTATTAAGTTTGGTGAACCTAGCATGTATAGTTTCGATGACATGCTGTGGCCAGGTACCCATCAAACACATTTTGCACGAAGTCATGTTTCAATGGAAACAGCAATAAAACAAAATTCTGAAAATAAATAAGAAAAAAACAAAAGGCACATCAATGGGTAATGATTAACATGTGTGTGAAGTTTTGGCACCAAGTCATGTTTCCATGGAAACAGCAAAAAAATAAAAAATTCTGAAAAAAACTTTAAAATAGCAAAAGGCACACCAATGGGTAATGATTAACATGTGTGTGAAGTTTGGTGAACCTAGCTTGTTAACTTTAAGAGATATGCTGCGGACAAAACCATCAAACACATTTGGCGCGAAGTCGTGTTTCCATGGAAACAGCAATAAAACAAAATTCTGAAGAAAAATTAAAATAGCAAAAGGCACATTAATGGGTAATGATTAACATGTGTGTGAAGTTTGGTGAACCTAGCATGTAAACATTAAGAGATATGCTCCGGACAAAGTTTCGGGACGGACGGAATGAATGCTATATACCCCCGTTACTTCGTAGCGGGGGTATAATAATAAAATATTTAAAACATATTTACTTGGTTTTATTTTTTGGTCACATAGATTCCTGAAATGACTGGTGTCTGCATAATCACTGAATGTGGGCTGTCGACGTAATTGAAACCATTGGGTGCAACGTTTTATGAGATATCACATTTACATAAGTTTGAAAAGTGGTCAAAGTGTCGTGGTGAACTTGAAGGTAAGGTCAAGGTCACCCAAATCAACTGGCTAGCTATTCTCAAAATGTTCGTAGCCCTACAAACTTCTTAAGCCCATTCTTAAGACATAGGCTACGATCAAAGTTAAGAATTCTTTTTTGGCTACGACCGTTTCGAGAATAAGGGCTGCCAGCGAATTTGAAGACATTGGGTACAACAGTTCATGAGATATCCTGTTAACAAGAATTGGGATGTATGTACAGAAGTACTGATGTATGGATGCTGCTGAATACATAGTCCGCATTCCGCATTGCAGCAGGGGACAACAAGCTCCCAAGTGATACTAATCTTATGAAACAAAAGAATAGTTCTGGCCTCTGACAAGCAAAAGCGAACAATACACAGGTTCCCAAAAAGTGGACTTACTAGCCTAGGTTGCTTTGGTCACTGAGTGAGCATAAACTCATCTCAGTGATCTGTCATTTCAGAACAGTGACAATGAATAAAGCCAAAGATTTTGAGTTTTTTCAATATTTTTTAGTGAAACCTGTAGTACATAAGCATTCACTTAGGTATCAAACACTGGGTGATATCAGCTTATTGTTATTGGTGGTATCTTCAATGAGAGTGTAATAAAGAATTCTGTTTGAATTGGAAATACCAACAGGTCAACACCCAACTAATGGAGGCAAATGACACCACCAAAAGTGACCCTTTGTAGTGGTTCATTCTGTCTTCTTGACAAGAAAGGTTGCATACCTGCGATGTGAATTCCTGTTGCTGTTGATGTGACCACGGCCGTTGCACCCTGGTGTGGGACATCTGAAACAAGGAGAAACAAATACAACACCATCCACACACATCTTACTATTGATAGTTTTGTTTAATTTGTATTTAAACAACAGTCAAAGCCTTACCACAGTGCTTGTAAATAATTGAGACAAGTCCAGACAAGTGACGATATGTTTTTTTCGCAATCTCCAGGTATGATGACCTCATTTGAAATAAGTGGTCTGAGCTGGACCTCTTACTCTCGGAGCCAGAACACCAAGCACAGTTTATCAGGGAAATATTTAAATTCCCACAAATGACTACAAAGGTAACTACTTAACACTTGATAAGAATAGATCTGAAGTTTGTGGACTTACCTGAGAACATTATCCTGAAGGGCTAAGACTGAAACAGAAAGATGGAAACTTCAGTGATGGCTTCCAACACAACATCAGACACAACACTATCATGCAGTTTTAAGATGGATATCCAACTCAGTGAGTGAGTGGGTGAGTGAGCGAGTTTAGTTTTACACCGCACTCAGCAATATTCCAGCTATATGGAGGCGGTCTGTAAATAATCGAGTCTGGACCAGAAAATCCAGTGATCAACGATCAACAACATGAGCATCGATCTGCGCAATTGGGAACCGATGACATGTGTCAACCAAGTCAGCGAGCCTGACCACCCGATCCTGTTAGTCGCCTCTTACGACAAGCATGGGTTACTGAAGGCCAATATTCTAACCCGGACCTCCACGGGTATATCCAACTCCGACAAAGCATTAAGATTCTGAACAAACTTGTCCATCATAACAAGAAGATAAAGTCATCAATATCCCCACAAAGGCAAAATACTCTTCATGATTATGTCTACGAAGTTATGATTATGTCAAATATTATCAAGTATTGAAAGGTTTTTAAAGTTCTTCCCAGAATGGAGCACTATCACCAATTTCAGTCTATGTTAAACTTGTTGCCATGGAAATGCCAAAAACATTTTATTCAGAAATCCAAAACTACCAAAAGGCACCAGGACACCACCAGATCTATGTATATGTGCCAAGTTTGGTGAAGAAACATTGAACGGTTTTAGAGTTCTGCTCCAGAAAAGTGCAGTACCACCAATTTCATTCTAAGTCAAACTTGTTGCCATGGAAATGCCAAAAATATTTTATTCAGAATTCCAAAACTACCAAAAGGCACCAGTACACCACCAGATCTATCTATGTGCCAAGTTTGGTGAAGAAATTTTGAACAGTTTTAGAGTTCTGCTCTGGAAAAGAGCACAACCACCAATTTCAGTCTAAGTCAAACTTGTTGCCACGGAAACGCCTAAAAATATTTTATTCAGAATTCTAAAACTACCAAAAGGCACCAGTACACCACCAGATCTATCTATGTGCCATGTTTGGTGAAGAAATAGAGAACGGTTTTAGAGTTCTGCTCGGAAAAACAAATGTTCACGGACGGACGGACGACGCCTTACGACGGACGGAGTCCATTTTAATAACCCGCACAAAAGCAGCGCTATGGGGATAAACAAGAGCCATATTTGAGCCTTGTTTGGTATGACTCTGCCCGGGATTCAAACCACCACCCTTTGTCATGTGTTAGAACATTACAAAGTAGTACTTTCAGTCATTAATGCCACTGAGATTTTTACTTACGTTCAGCAGTTGCTTTATCTTTCCGAGGACATCCTGATAAACTGCAAAGGAAACAAGGTTTGACCGTATACTTTATCATATCAGAAACCAATGCAGACCATGACATGCCATGCCATGCCTTAATCACTTGCACGATATAACTACAACATTGTGGGAGCACACTGAGTCCTTATCTTCTATTGTATACAATCATACAGCTGCAGACAGGGTATGGTGAGGTGAGGTGAAATTGGGTATAACGTCGTGCTTGAGAATATTTCGCTCATATGACGATGTGCATGCCTGTGTATGTGTATGTGTATGTGCGGCTGCTTGTACTAGCCCAGACTGTAGCTGGTTTTATAGTGCTAGCCCACTGAGATACCATGCCGCAGTGAAGCATGAATACCCCACTCAGACACATTATACTGACTCCGAGCCGACCAGTCCTTCTTGTATCAGCGCCAGGCAGGGACAAACAAGTACCATATCTTAACGTCTTTTGGTATGACGTGGTTGGGGATCGAACCCGCGACCTTTCGCTCCACGCGGACGCTCTAACCACTACACCATGGAGGCGGTCAGATAGGGTAAGGGAGGGTGGCGGAGAACACAACAACACTAGAAATAGCATGTCAAGAAGTGTGTACTGAAATATGCTAGTTAGCCCTATTTTCACAGTTTCGAGTTCTCAAATTGTTCATTGAATATCTTGACTTTTGCATGGAATATGTTATCTTTTGTTCACTGAATATCTTAACTTCTGTACATCATTTGCTTCTCATCCTTGGGTGATCACAAATGTTACTGTCATAAAATAATCCATTTGAGGTATTTATGTATCTTTTGTATTCATGTGGCCAACTGTTTCATATGGATGAAAATTCTAATGTTAATATTGAAAAAGATGCTGGCTCTAGAATAAACACTACTGAGAGCCTACAAGCCTGTTATATGCAAGAAAATGGGTCGTTACCTTCTATGGTGGGAGTACAGGCCTGTGATGTGCCCAGTTCCATCACATCCAGGTGTCGGACACTTGCTCTCTGGAACAGAAACGTGAATAGATGATAATGATGTGATATTATGTTTAAATAATACAGGATTACTTGTATGTCTTTGATTTTTAAAAACTTATATGGCCTAGGGTTGAAACGGTATACCGCGGTCTTAGTAGAACCGCGGTATTTTGCCTTCGGTTTAGTATACCACAATGCAGTCCCAAAAAAATCGGTATATCCCACCTGACCAATAATAATAATAATAATAACAATAATAATAGGGCATTCTAACGAGCATATATCCATACTGAAGTATGCTCAAAGAGCTACACTATACAAAGAGTTCAGCAAAGTTGGAAAGACATCAGGAAACAACTTTATCTCGTGAACACTGAAATATATCAAAAAGGGTCACAGAAACATGTTGGACCTGGATCCTAAGTCACATACCATGTGTATATCAAATATAAGACATGACATCTGACCAGCTGAAACATATCCCATGTCATCACTGAAATCAGGGCTCGATTTAAGAGTTGTTAACCTCCTTGCACCAGGTGCAACCTAAGATAAAAACCTAGTTGAACTTGCGAAATTCAAATTTCAATGTAGTGTGTTAAAACGTCAGAGTTTTAAGTGCATATAAACATATTTCCGTGATGTAGTACCCATGAAACCATAGCAACACACAGACACAGCTGATCCCTGTTTACAAGAGCTGTCATAGCCGAGAAGTGTCTATAAATGGCAATGTTTTGGTGCCACAGCTATTCAAACTTTAGTCGAAAAATGAGCTGACATACTTATGCTTATAATGTTAAATTTATTGTTGATTTATTTCTCAAAAATTGACTTGCACCTGGTTCAAGGTTGACTAATAACTTCGGTTGCACTTTATAATATTGGGTTGCACCAGTGCAAGTAACAAAGCACTAAATTGAGCCCTGGAAATGTACACTTGCTGATAAACCCTGATAGAGTTGTAAATCCTCTACTCCGATGAGACATGTTAAGACCGTTCAATAATCTAGTCACTCATCACAAGTTTCTCTCCAGTGAGTGCTTGCTAGAATTGGTTTGTTGTTTAATGCCGCACTGAGTAATATTCCAGCAATATGGCAGCGGTTTGTAAACATCTCTACATTATTGATTTTGACAGGAGGTGAACAAATCTGTGTTCAACACTAACACTGGTCCATATTTTATTAGGGACCAGTAAAACTAAATTTATTGTGGTCCAGTCGTCTTGTGTGGTATTTTATATGAAATATAGTAAATTACCTTTTTGCATACAACCAGAGACCATATACTGTTATACAACTTATGAAATGAGCAAAACATTGAAGCTAAACTCAGCTTCTCAGCTACTTGAACAAGCCTGTGTCGTACAGTAGGTACATCCTTGACTGGTTACTCATTCTAATTATCTACTCTCTCATGTATGTATACACATTTTTGTGTGAGTTATTGTTGATATGACTCACTGATCTGCTGCACACAGTATCTGGGAACAGCTGACAAATTGTGCTGATGCAAACAAATAAACCTCTGAAGTTAACCAGCATTATCTTGTCTTTCAGTGGCATTTAGAAGTAGTACATTGATGTCCAAGATATCTTGGACATCAGCATTATCTTGTCTTTTACAACTGTAATTTGGAACATACTGAGCTTGCAAATTAGGATAATGTAATATCATTTAAAACTCAGTTTGTGCAGGACCATTGTGTGTAGCAAAGATCCGGCATCACTAAAGTACTGTCGGAAAATAGAAAAAAAACCCTGTTTCTCTGCATTGATATCTACAATTTATGTAGTTAATATGTGTAAGTGTGATATATCTGTTAAACTAAGTTCGGCCTAACTACAGTCTCAGTGGTAGGGAGATAGGAAACGTAGAAAAAGGCATATATTATAAACTACTAAAGCATAAGCCAACTTTCGAACCATATCTGCTTCTCCAAAAACAAATAAACTAATGGGGTTTAGAACCTCTAATCATTATTTACCAATAGAGACCGGTCGCTGGAGAAATATACCTAGACAGTTAAGAAAATGCAGAAAATGAGTCGACGGTCCGTCGTCATACCTTGCTGAGCGACCTAATTGCCATCTATAGTCGGATCTATTGTTTTGAGCAGCTATTTGTATTTTTTCTTTGTTTTGCCCAATTTTACAAGTAAACATGCTTTTCTGGATATACTATTACGCATCCAACTAAATGCCCAGTTAGGCCGATGTGGGTTATTTCAATATACAGTCATCCCTCGCCATAACACGGGTCTTGGGGTCCATGGATGACCCCCCGCGTTATTAGACACCCGCGCTATAGTAACTATTTCATAACGCGGAACAAAGGCCAAGTAAAATTGTTTTTTCCATGGACATAACAAAACTGCTATTTCGTGTATTGTGCCCAGTCGAAACTATTTTGTATTGTTGGAGGTGAAAAAAAACCCCACAAGTTTGTAAATGAAAATAATAGATGTATGTACAGGAACCTTGCAATCAAACATCATTAGACATGGTAATTGTTGTTCCTGTTATGCTACCTGTTATTCAACTAAGCCGGAAATAGCTGTCCAATGTACCGGTGATTCAGTTAAAATCGATCCAATAACATAACATCAAAGAATTTCTATTCCATTATCATAATAATTTTATATCTTAAGCAATTATTTTATATATTGCTATCGTATATAATGCATGTTTTCTACGTACATATACTGGCCACATAAAGAAACTGTGCACACAGAAAATATAAAGATAGGCAGACAGCGTCTTTATGCATAAATAAAGGTGTGAACATAGCAAGTATTGGAGACAATCAAACGCTCATGCAGGTGCCAGATGACGTGACGTCATTGATGGTGGCCTATGGACTTGCAATGTGTTACTGCACGTGCAGCCTGTGCAGCTGCACACAACATGTGAAACTCAGAAATTGCTGTCACTGTCGAAAGCTTGATCTTTGGTCATTCAAACGTTCACAAATTCACATGAAAAGTCACATGCACATCATGCCAAGATTAACATGTGCTCAACGTCATGAAGCCATTGGAATGGTTCGAGCAGGTATGAGCCAACAACAGGTGGCAGCACAATTCCAATGCCATCGTAACACGATATCTGCATTGGTCAGGCGTTAGGGAAACAGTAATGACGTCGCTGACCACCCACGTTCTGGGCGTCCCCGAGTAACGACGCCAAGACAGGACAGATGGATTCGGGTGACTCATATCAGACACAGGTTCCAGACGGCAGTGACCATGTCCCAAACCATACTTCAGCTTATAAAGTGTCTACATCATGTCGTCTTTTCTGTGTTGTATTCCAATTCTGAAGGAATTTTTTGTGTGCACAGTTTCTTTATGTGGCTAGTATATTTAACATAATAATTAACATAGGCTAAGCACTTTGGGTTACCTGGCTGGATACATTTTACGTAGGAGACAGTTTGACAAGTCACCGCTGACTTCCCGCGGTACGTAAAAACAAAATGTTGGCAATTAATTGTCAAATATAACTTCAATGAGTCAACAACGCGGGTCTTGGGGTCCATGGATGACGAGGCTGTAATCTGTTTGTGATTGCTCAGAAAAATGTGAAATTGATTGCTATTGGCGTAGGCTAACCGGATGACCCTCCACGCATGTGGTAAGCAGAAGTTGTCATGGAATGGGTAATGCCATTTCACTCGCTGTTTTCTCCGTTGTTACTGTAAACAGCTTTAAAATCAATGAAAATGGGATTGAATTTAATCACATAAAATGTGTTTTCTGGACATTATCGCTATCCGATGGTTGTGTTTTCTACCCGCCGCTAATAACGCGGCGTGTTGCATCACAGCAAACATTGTAAGTATTATATGCTATTTGTAAATCTGTCAATTTTAGGGATACAGAGTAACAGCCTTAAAACAGTTTTCTTCTATTTCCGACAGTACTATAGCATGGTGGTCCAGTGGTCTGGTGTGGTGTTTATTTATGAAACAAAGTAATTTACCTTTGTACATGAAATCAGCAATACACTCTATGCAAAATCAGCTACTTGAATGAACCTGCATTGTAAAGAAGTTACCTTCTTGACTGGTTTCTCATTCTGATTATCTACTCTCACATGGATGTTTACAATATTTTGAGTGAGTGAGTGCGTGAGTGAGTTTAGTTTTATGCTGCACTCAGCAATATTCCAGCTATATGGCGGCAGTCTGTAAATAATTGAGTCTGGGCCAGACAATCCAGTGATCAACAGCATGAGCATGGATATACACAATCAGGATAAGATGGGTTACTGAAGACCAATTCGAACCCGGATCTTCATGGATTTGTTAGAAAACAAATTCTCAAGATCAATCATGCTTAATGTCAAGAATGTATTTCGCTTTTAAAACATGATGATGAAAACTTAACCCTTTGGCCACCGAGGCCCAATATTGTCCGCTGAATCCAAACTGACAGGAATACTTACGGTATATGACCGTCTACTATAGTATAAGGCGACCCCATGGATAAGACGACCCCCAAACTTGACCCTTAAAATCAGTGTCAAAATGATATGTTTCATGCATAAGTCGATCCCCCGCGATGGGGTCCTAATCGCGGCAAACACAGACCACAGACAACTGGCAGTTACCGATAATTTTTAACTTTGGTCCACATTATTCAAAGAATTCACAATCATATATATTGCGTCTACTAACGGATCTAAACGAAGTGTAGTTGACAGAAAATGCATAATATATTTTGTTTCTCTAAATATCATATGTATTGTAGCAACAAACTGGCTTGCTTATTTTACCCCATTCAACAATCACGAACTGATTACCGCCTCGTTTTCCATTGACTGCTAGTTTACAGTAACATCGGTAAAATGTGTGAATTTAAATGGCTTCCGTATTTTACCCCATTCCATGTGCGTACAACTTCTGCTTACCACGTTCATGAGGGTCCGTATAACCTTAGTGTTGATTATTTATATTTTACATAAAAACTGTAATTAAAATTACACAATGCTAGGTTATATTCGTTTGGGTTAAATAATAGTACTCTGTATTATATTTTACTGACGACTGCGTCAGAATTCGTCCCGTTATATTATTGTGCATGTTTGAACTTGTTAGCTGCTGATTGCTATTTCCGGCTCAAATACACACGGTAATCTTAATCTTAATTAATTATAGAGCAAAAAACTGTAATTAAAATTACACAATGCTAGGATATATTTCTTTGGGTTAAATAATAGTATTCTGTATTATATTTTACTGATGACTGCGTCAGAATTCGTCCCGTTATATTATTGTGCATGTTCGAACTTGATCGCCAGGAAACATGTGTACAGCTGATTGCTATTTCCGGCTCAGATACACACGGTAATCTTAATCCCTGCAAATAATACAATGCCCAGCAAAAACAACTTAGAATTTAAAAGGTAAATAATCTTGTCTAGTGATGTTTAATATTGCAAATTTGACGTCTCTACTGACAAAGTCGTCTTCTGTTGTTTGTTCACGCGAAGTGATACGATGTTGTTTTCTTACCCCTGGAAAAACGTTCGACGGAAGCATAACCCATGGATAAGACGACCCCCTTCTACAGACTGCTTTTTTTGGTCCTCAAAATTCGGCTTATAGACGGTCATATACGGTATGTTTTTCATACGTGAATCTGGACTTTTGACATCTGAGTATTTTTCATTACGCCTGTACGCCCCTTATCTGTAGCCCTGTATCTATACCTAAAATGTAACAGTAGGGATAAGTCTAAGATTCCAAACGAAATGTACTTGCATGCAAATTTTGGAAAAAAATCAATTGTTTCAGAGGCATTTTAAATTGTGTGATTATGTTGCTGTAAGTGCATTCAACAAATATTGTAAATGGCCTCTTATTCTCTTTGGGTCCTATTACCAATGGAATAGTACAACTCACCTCAGAAGTTATAACTAAATATACACGAGCTACAAACCACTTAACTCCCCATCTGGGAATATTAACTGACATTGGCTGCACACTTGAATAACAGCCTCTAAGCAGGTCGAGAAAAACTTTTGAACAAACCAAATATCAGTAACTACCAAAGATCACAAAACTAAAACATGATATGTTGACAAGATATATTAGCCAAATTCAGTAATTTTGACTTCAGATGTCTAGTGTGTCATGGTTTACAGATTTGCTTTGTTAAAAAAACAACAGGCAAGTGAATTGAAAAGTTGAAAATTATAAGGGCATATCCATGAATTCAGATTAATTTTGTCCTTCAAAAAGATTTAAAAAGGAGACGTGGACGGTTGGCGTAACTTGTTCCTCTGCTTAATCTATCTTTATCACAATTTTTTACAATTCAATATGGAAATTTGCTAAAGAGCAGAATAAAATAAACATTTTTCACATTCCATTTTTAACTACTTTTTAAAAGACTGTAGGAAACTAAACCAAAAACAAAAGGTTTCATCTTGAAATAATTCCCTATGTATCAACATGATAAATGCATGTTCCTGCTGTGAAATGTAATAAAAGTTAAAACCTTCTGCTGGGGTATTGGTGGTTAAAAACATGCACAATTTGAAAATAAGATTGATGTGTTGAGGGAACTAGACCCATGACATAAGCACAATGTGACAATATGAGGTAAAACATTATTCACCATTCGTCTCTTCTCTCAGATATGCAATCCTCCAGATGAAGATCTTACCTTTCTTATTGGCATCTTCATTGCCACCATCAGAGTCATCATCACTAGAGCCATCACTACCTGTGTCCTTGTTCCTCCCAGCTAAACCCGTACTCCACTCTGCTAAAACAGTGAAACTGGGTGTGGCATCCCCACTCTGTGCCTCTCCATTGTCACTTGATGGGGCAATGTCACTGATAACTCGGTCAGTGACCCCAAGGGTGTCTTCTTTGCTCTCTCGTAAACCAGCAGTTTCACGCACACCCCTTGCCATGCCCATGTCGGTCGTTGGCACAGTTACTGCCTGAGACTGAATGCTGGCACACTGTTCTTGTATCTTAAGCAATATGTCTGCATCATCTGCTGATGAGCAGCTAGAAGCATTGTCAGTATTTTCACTCATTGCCATATCCTCAGAATCAGCAGAATCATCTTCATCTTTGACCTTCGCCTCTGTGACCTCTTCTTGACCCATGTTTGACTGTTCAGTTGACTCACAGTCTGAGGAAGCTGAATAGATGTACTGAAATGGGGCAGAGTCATCTCCGGACAAACTGCGGAGAGCTCTTTCTGCTTCACGGAAACACTTCTGTTCATCATCCATCACGTCCTCCGTGGGAGCTGCTGTTGTGGAATCTGCCTGACTGTCCTGCTCCTCGGTGGGTTCTAACTTCACATCATCTTCCATCCCACTCTGGGCCTCAGCCCCACCGTCCACAGTGTCTGTCTTGTCAGGGGTATCGGTCACCCCTGCACTGATAGTTCTTCGGCTCTTCTTGGCTGCTGGGCCATCCTCCTTCTCTTGCTTTCTCTTCTTGGCTGCCAGTGGACACGCCATGATCCTGGAGAATAAAAGTTCTTGTTGTAAATGTATGTCTGGTAGAGAGTTTAAACATTATCTGCAGCGAGGGAGGGACTTTGAACAGTAAGAGAAACTGACTGGGAGGTGAAGATAGACTCGTCCTGTCTCAACTTACGTTCTGTGGCGAGCGTATTTCCCGGTAACGTGACCCTGCCCAGTGCACCCAGGGAATGTACAGTTGACTAGAGTTTTAGGTGCATCGGAACTGAAAGAAAATACTCAATATTGATTGTGACAACAAAAATAACATGCAAAATATTCATGTCGTATTCCCAGATATATCTAGTCTTTGTTACATTAGACAATAATAGTGCAGTTTATATCTAAATCTAAAAAACAGTGACAAACACGTAAGTACTCAGTGAAAAATAATTACTGCACATTCAACATGAATCCTATGCTCTACAATGTGTTGGTTAAAAGGGTTTAACACTGAATTGAAAAGTGCCATGTGTCAAACTTTAAGAGCAGGGGACATCAACTAGATGCTGTAGACAGATGTTCATCATATCGATCACTTGATCATGGTACAGTTAAGAGGCCAAATTTAAGCAATAAGTGAAGTACTTCGATCATGGACAAGTAATTTTCCCACATGTTCTTGTAACCATGGAAACTGTGACATACCTGGCAGTGTCTGTATCAGCGCTGGCAGCTGTGGGGAAAAAGAAGAGTGTGAACATATCCTGGAGAAACGCTGCAATCTTCTCTAATAACATCTGAGTGAGTGAGTGAATTTAGTTTTACCCGCTTTTAGCAATATTCCAGCAATATCACGGCGGGGGACACCAGAAATGGGCTTCATATGTTGTACCCATGTGGGGAATCGAACTTGGGTCTTCGGTGTGACGAGCGGACACTTTAACCACTAGACTACCCCACCGGCCCTCTAATAACATCTACAGTTATGGAGAAGAGAGTAAGTTTAACCCCCAATTGCAGCTAAAATACACCAGAGTCACAGAAACAGAAGCCATATATTTCTCGTCCAGAAAATTCCAAACAGTGACTCATTATTGGGAAAATGAAAAACTCACCAGATTTAACAGTGTTCTTTTTTGCTGATTCTCCATTTTCTGCCTGCAACAGAACAAGTCAGAGCACATTAACATTGCCATTCCAAATTAGATGAAATAGTTTTGAATAACCTTCAAAAAGTTTGACAAATGAAATAACATTAAGTGACAGACAGAGACTGTTAACAGTTCTGTCAGGTGACATTCACAATTAAGGGATGCAAGACTGTTTCTTCAGCCTTAACATTTCCCAGAACAAGTATACTTACCTTGATCTCAGTGAGGACAAGCTGGGTGTTAGATGTATCTGCACTGGCTGCAAACATAAGAAACCCTGTTGACTAGGTTACAATCAAAACCACTGTCACCAGGAAACAAATTTTGAATGACACAGTATTCTTTCATATGTCATCCTCAATTTCATCTTAAAAATAGCTGGTATTTCTTCTGAATGACAACCAGTCTTGCCCAAACGAAAATGTTCAAAGAATGGTGTTAAATTTCTTCATTCAATACTTGCCAGTATTCACATTTAAGTGTAATTCCAAGCATTCAAAACGAAAAAAATCAAAATAAACTTTAACAAGTGTTTGCTACTGATATGGCAATGTCCACCGCCGCTAAAGAATGGAATATTTATAACATATTTACTTCTTTTTATTTTTTGGTCAAGATGCCTGAAATGACTGGTGTCTGCATAATCACCCAATGTAGGCTGTCGACATAATTGAAGACATTGGGTGCAATGTTTTATGAGATATCGCGTTTACATAAGTTTGAAAAGTGGTCAAAGTGTTGTAGTGACCTTGAAAATAGGGCCAAGGTCACCTAAATCGACTGGTGTCTGCGTAATCCCCAAATGTAGGCTGTCACCAAATTTGAAGACATCGGGTACAACAGCTCATGAGATATCGCGTTAACAAGAATCAGGATGTACGGAGGCCACTGAATACATAGTAACGCGGAATGGGGGACAAAAAATCCAATCTGATCTATAATTATCCAGTCACTACCCACCTTTCCCACATCATCACCTGTTCTTTTTACATCAATAATTTCATCTATCCACTGTCATCACCCATTATTGCCCATCCATCCCCTATCATCACCTGTTATTACCTATCTGCTCCCTATCATCACCTTTGTCTACCCTGTCATCACCTGTTATTACCTATCTGCTCCCTATCATCACCTTTGTCTACCCTATCACCCATTACCCATCCATTCACTATCATCAACTGTTATCCACTCTGTCCTCTATCATCACCTGTTAATGCCTGTCTGTCCTCCATCATCACCTGTTTTTACCTATCTGCGCATTAGCATCATCTCTCATTACTTTTCTTCCCCCACTGTCACCTGCTCCCAATCATCACTCCCTCACATCTCCATCACCTGTCTCACTCATCTAACACCATGTTTCCCACTGACTATCACCTGTCTCTTCACCATCATCACTTCTCTATCTCTCGCCAAGACCGCCCTTGCCTTGCCCAAGTTCATCTATCTCTTCGCTATCATCACAGATTTCTCCCATCATCACCTGTCTGTCTCTTCCCACCTTCATAAACCTGTCCCTCCAATCATCACCAGTCCATCTCTCTCCCCATTATCACCTGTCTCTCCCATCATCACCAGTCCATCTCTCACCTGTCTGTCTATCCCTAAGATCACCTGTGTCTTGCCCAAGATCAGCTGTCTCACCCCATCATTACCTGTCTTTCTCTTACCCATCATAACCTGTCGTACACCTGTCTGTACCTTACCATCTATCAGGCTTTCCTAAAAAACACACTTGCCTGGCCCTTACCCCCAGTGGTCTATTCCCTACTAATCTACACTGGTCTCCCCGCCTGTATGCCTGTGTTTGACTACGGCACTGCCATGCAGACAGTACTGGTCGCTGTACAAGTGTCAGATTGATTCCGCCTTCCACGACCAGCATGTCTGACTGTGGTTGCTGCAATACCTGCTCGCCTCTCCTTCGCCAGCTAGCATTGATCCACTCAGTTATTACATAAGTGTAAACATAGCAGAATCATTCCCCGTCCCTCCCATAACACACACTGCAAATGGTTATAAGCACAAGGTCATACAAAAACCATGCACTCTCAAAAAATAACGTATCATTATACATGGCCATTTTCCAAAGAGTAATTTTTTCAGTAAGTTAAGAAGATTTAAATTACCTTTTTTTCTTGCCGACATGACTGGTGTCTACGTTGTAGTGATGATAGAGCCAAGTTGGAGCGGGTGGTGATTTGTCAGCTGAAACATTGTGTCACATAGGTTAGTCCTAGTGTGTGAGGGTGGAGGATGGTACAAGCCACTCGGCGCTGGGTGGAACGGGTGGCTGTAGACAGACAGCCAACTAGTAGACAACCTCCAAACACATAAATAATTCATCACATAGCATCATCATCTGACACTGACTGTGGGCCAGGCTTGCGATGCTGTCACACCACACATTAACATAATCACTTGGTTGGACTTGATGCTTCCTTGGAGAAGCCAAGTGGGGGACAAGGATGTGTTAGGTGGGTGGGGGTCACTTCCACCACCCCACAGCTCACAGATATTGATCCACGCACTTTAGAGTCACGGAATCACCAGTAATTATGAAAATGACCATTGTCTGGCACTGAGCGATGTGATTGGCTGAAACCAAGGGCAGGCGAGCAAGCAGACAGCATGCAGCATGCTGAGCTCGACATCAGACTGTAATACAAGGGACAGTGATCCCCTAACGAGAAGGACAGGTGACACCAGGTGTGCTGGCTGCTGGAGACAGACTTGGGAACACCTGCTTTGTGCCACACAAAGGGAATTCAAGGAGCTGGGCAACTTCACAGTTATTCTCATTATTGATTAACATAATCTGACTGCCTGATGGATCCCCGACCAAAGGCTTGCTCTCTCAACACGCTCATTCTACAGAAACAGTTAGCTGAGACTGAAACCCACAGTGCTGTAGAGATCATTACTGCAGTGGAGAGTCACAAGTACTCTGTCACCATGAACTTGGTGTGTTACATACCTTTAACTCAGGTCTGAATAACAATAACAATTATTCAGGGATAGAAACAACCACTTGACTGTTAGTATGAGACTAGTAACAATCGAGATGAACAAGTCATAGTTGGTTTCTACCCATGTTAATTATTCTGAAACTTTCAACCATATGTTGCTTGTTAAAAATTCTGAATATGCTGAACAGGATCACAGCTTTTAACCCGTCACCATCAATCTGTTTCAAATATATTTGAAAACAGAAAATGTTACTAGATTTAGAGAACTATGAGTATCTTGACACCGACTTCAGACTAGAAGATGACTTAGTGCAAGCAGTGTCTAAACAAGACTTTAATCATAGTAACAGTCAGAGGAAGTGAGCCGATCAGTAAAATTTCCTCATTTTACATGCATTTTGAAATGCTAAAAGTGATTCCTGAAGAAAAGTTCACCCTTGACATTCTAGAAGCATGAAATGTTCTAAAATAGTTTTCTTACAACTTTTTTATACATATTATCCTCATATTCATGATCATGATCATAATATAGACATGCTGAGTAAAACACATTGTCTACCACCTCCATTCCTGCATGATCAATACCCAGAACCAGTTGGCCATGATAGCTATGTTTTGGGAGTGACACCAGCGCCCTCATCATTTCAACATCAGCAACCCTGCACAGAATTTCTGTGGGTGGAGTTTGACTAGATGGCTTGTTTGGGTTGCTATGGCAGCAAAACGTTCCTGGAAATTATCTCAACAGAATGAAAATAATACCATGGATGACTGTCTCACCATGCAGCAGGATCATGCATACACACTGTTCAGATATATACAGCATGTCTATGACCACTTACACATCGCCATGTCCAATGATGAGCAAACAACAGTTCTTTGGTAAAAATACCCACTGTTCTGTACTAGAAGACCTGGTTATTTGTAATCAGTACAAAAGATAAAAAGCATTGTCAGGTTAAAAAAACATGTTCCGACATCAAGCAATTTCAGCCTTGATCAGCGATGTTTGCATAAAAGAAACAGACATTTTGAGACAATTCAACATCATTGGCAAAGTATCATATTCATAAAAAACAGAACATGTGCGATGTTTCACAACCAACTAAACACAAAATAAATTTTATAATATTCCAAACAAAAATGATAGTCTGATTATGTGTTATGGGTTGTTAACTTTTTTTTCAAGATGAAAACATTTTGAATCAGAATCAGAAACTGAAATCATAACATCCTAATTTCCAGTGTGATACAACCTTCAGCGGAGACGGTGTTCTAAGTTGTATAACTTGTACCCAATCCTTTTCTCATGAATAAAATATGTTTAAAACAAACCTTCAGCTTGAAAAGAATTTGTTATCCATAAAATGTGTCATGTATCAGGGCTCGATTTAGTGCTTTGTTACTTGCACTGGTGCAACCCAATATTACAAAGTGCAACCTAGTTAATAGTCTAACTTGCACCAGGTGCAAGTCAATTTTTGAGTGGGTAAACTTCTGAATAAAACATCTAAATAATTCAATAGCATATTTCTGATATTACATATTGCAATAAAAACAATGCAACTGGAATTTGACTGGTGCAACTAGTCTTTTATCTTAGGTTACACCTGGTGCAAGTGGGTTAACATCTCTTAAATTGGGCCCTGTGTATTCATGTTTGTCCAACTTCTAAATGCCTTTGAAGAACTTGAACCAAAATATGCTACAAGCATTCCACAAGAATTACATCATTTCTGGTTTGGGACAATGTACTGAACTTGTCCTTCACCTTGAAAATATGACCAGCAGAGAGCAATAAATATGGAGTATGTACACTGTAAACTACAAGACACAATCCCTGAAGAGGCTTCATTGATATGAACAAAACCTGCGACATTTTCAATGGAACCAAACACATGGCAGACTGCAGCAGACTGAGTGTACAAGCACTTGGTTTGTTGGTGCCGCTATTGAAAAGGTGTGAGTGTGTGTGACTTTAGTTTTACGCTGCTTTTAGCAATATTCTAACAATATCTGGAATACGGGGGTCACCAGAAATAATGTCCTTCACACACTGTACCCATGTACAGAATCAAACCTGGGTCTTTGGCATGACAAGCGAACACCTTAAGCACTAGGCTACCCCACCGATGTTGTTGAAAAGGCTATGTGTTTTAATCAGACTTCATGGGGATTGAATCTTGTTTGTTATTTATATGGTTAATTATGGAAAGTTGAACACTTTCCACAACTCTGGTTGGAAACTGGGTTTGAACCAGTGAAGTGAATTGAGGCACCTTAAACAACTGGACCACCCCTGTCCTAATTTAAAAGAGGAAGTACCCTGCCCACAACAACCTATAACATTCTCGATTTATTTCTGAAAAATCAAGGGCATAAGCTCTTACAAATATGATAAACAAATACAGTACCGGATTAGCTCTGTGCATTGTACTCTGTTAAGCAGTGTATGGTAGCACTCTCGGTGAAGATCGAAGAACCCCTCCATTGGAGTGAGTGGTGAGTGAGTGAGTATGTTTTTGTACCGCTTTTAGCAATATTCCAGCAATATCACGGCAAGGGAAACCAGAAATGAGCCCCTCCACTGGAGCTGGCATTAGGTGAACCCTTCATGAACACTGAGTGGGTTCTTCAGCCAATAATATCTCACCACGCTGTTACCTTTCAAAGAATGATTCAGCATAAGTGTCTTTGATTAGCAAAATGTGTAAAATAGCAACATATTGTCTGAAATTAGGAAATGTATATATTACACTCAAAATTTCAAATGTCATCTGCGGCAGATTTATTTGGGGCCATATAAACATCTCTGAATTTTTTCAGATAAATGTGAAAAGAGAATTTAAGCTCTGATGTAGGTTGCGATAGATTTCAAGAACAAAAAAAGTTTTCGCAAGTTGGAAATTGACCAACAAAACAATTGCCACTCAGTGGCATTCGGTATTCATTAAATCAGGTCTGAGACCTGTTATTCTAACTCCAACACATAAATCCAAATAATAAGACAACTACACAAATAAGAAAAAGACAGTTCGTATCACACTTAATAAATGACAATCTGCATGCTTGGTGTGACCATGACCTTTCACAAAGGTAAATCAATGCTTTCATAATTTCGGCCCTCACCAAGGGAATACATACATCAAGTTCTGTTCACCCTTGTTATAGTAAATCCCTTTGAAAGAAAAACAAACTTATTTCAGACTTTGACATGAAGGATGAACCTGACCTACGACATGGCAATATGTTATGATAATATGCCCCTGATGTCCAAGCACCATGTCCATGTGATGCCCTGGTCTTCTGACCAACCCCAAAACCATCCCATTTACACCATGTGTCCATGGAGTCTGCTTGATAGTGTGTGAGTATGGTTTTATGCTGCTTTTAGCAATGTTCTAGCAATATCAGGGTGGGGGGGACACCAGAAATGGGCTTCACACATTGTACCCATGTGGGAAATCGAACCTGGGTCTTCAGCGTGTGACGAGCAAACGCTTTAACCACAAGGCTACCCCATCGCCACTTTGATAGTGAGTGAGCATGGTATTACGTCGCTTCTAGTAATATTCCAGGAATATCACAGCGGGGGACACCAGAAATGGGCTTCACACATTGTAGAGTCTGCTTGATAACACTGGTTACAATTGAAACTTTAAACCTCTTGAACAAGTTGGGTTGTTTTCGCCAGTTTAATCCAGTGAAAACGTTTTAGTGTAGCAGTAATTTCTGATGATGTTTCCCATATCACTGTGAACTTGTCCAGCGAATTTCTGTTTCATTGTCAGTGAGTGAGCAGTTCTATACTGCTTTTAGCAACAAGTCAGTAATGCTGTTATGAAGGACTCTGGAAATTGACTGTACCAATGCACAATGAACTACTGTAGGAAACAGAACTCGGTCTTTGGTCCAACATTATAGTCACAATCATAATGCTACCAACAACTCCCTTCTCAGAATTCAATATATCTTAATGACAGAGGTCAGACTGCAGGCCTATGTTAATTACTGCCATGTCCAATATTACCTGACATTGAAAAACACCCAACAACCGATGGAACACAGAAAAGTGCATACATGTAGATGACAACAGTATATTTTTAATGGTCGACTGGAGACCATTCTGGTCTAAATTGTGTAAAAAGACAATGTACTTAGTTGAGCCAATGTTGTGATCACGTGACAATCAGCGTTGTAGCAAGAGCCGTCTGCTGTAAACATTGCTGATTGAACGCGACAAGCGTCATAGTCCTCGCAGCAAATTCATACTACTTATCAGCACTCACCGGTATTATTGTTTTAAGTGCGTTACTCTCCATTTTAAGGAAACCGTTGATAATTATATTTCTTGGCGCACATTGATTCGTGGTACTTATCAACTCGTCTCGTTGATCTGCCAACACGGGCAACATGATGCTCAACTTTTACAGTAATCCCCGCCTGAATAAGACACCATGTTCAACTCGCGGCAATACACCCGAATGTATGAGATATAGTTGTGTCAACATATTGCCATACCTCATGAAACGCTTGTTGTGTAAAGATCCATATCCACTACATATCCATGCGTATATCTGCTGTTCGAAGTCGGGCATTTCAGCCCGCGCTGTAAAGTTTCAACAAAGCTGCGGCCTGCTCTCATCCCATAATATCAACCAAAGTGCGCATGCTCACAGAGTAAGTTGCGTGGCTGGAAGTTCGAATGAATGGCGGCTGATTGTTTGCGCGTGTCAGTCGCCAGCTGTCGCGTGCCGGATCGATAACGGGGACATATGTGGCGTGCTTTGTCTTGAATGGGTACCGACTTCATGGAGGGGGAGGTTGGCGGACACTTCTCAGTAACTGTTACTCGACCTAATGAGGAGAAATCGCTCTGAAACAATTTGCAACATTATTGCACTAAATATCTTCAGAACAATCATTGTCACACATTTAGCAACTACGTGCTTCCAACAAGCACCTGTTGTATTGTTTATTGTAAACAGCGTCTTTGTTTATTGATCGAGACATTGTGTTAGTTTATATCTCTCTCATGAGGTTTCGAAATCTGGTATGATAATAAATATTCTGGTTTCAACAGTTTTCGGTTGAGAGAAAATTGTCGATACTTGTAACAGATAATGTCCGGTCGAGTATATATTGTAGCTGAGCGTAACTGACGCTAGTGTGACTACCCGACAATGTACTGTTAGTCGTCATGTGGCCTGTATCAGAGATTCGGCAACTGCTTTGTCTTCAAGCTGTTCTAGGTCCAGTTCCACCTCGGCGTCTAATTAGAGACGACTTTGACAGTCTCTGATTCCATTAGCAGCAGGTGTTTGCTTTTGTTCCGAAGAACCACCCGATCTGACCGATTATGAAAGTGTCGTATCCTTGAATTGACACTAATGCAGTAGCCTTTTGTGTTCGAAAAAAATACACCCTCGAAGAAGGTCACTTTAATACATACGTTTTGAAACAAACTAATTTTGAAATGAAGAAATAGATCTCGAATTTCAGTGAGTTAAAACTCTTTTCTCTTTTAGCAGTAGAACTAGAGGCAATTGTATATGCTTCCATTATTGCAAAGGGGAACACAGCTTACCACACACTGGATTTGAGCAATTTTGGGACTGAAGACAGGATACCCCGTGCCAATCAAGACGAATATGGGGAAACCTGGCTACAATGGTGACACATGCTGTCGGCGTAGACAGTTGCTCTTGCTGTCCAGTCATTGGTTTGATGAAAGGCTTTCTGGATATGGCTTGAATGTTGCTACCTGTGACTTATTCACACACTTTCACTTGAAACATATCCTAAAGGAACCATGTTTGCCGACCGGAAAGGTGGGTGGTACGCCTATGCCTTGATACTTTCAAAGGTGGTACTTGTTATTACCTAGCCTGTTTCTCGGCATTTCGGGGACAACCAAGCACTAGTCGGTTTATGCGTATTCTGCGTCTGCGAGGGGTGTCCAAGTTGAACTGCGATATGATGCAATATATTCATGATATAATGGGTAGGTTTCTCGGAAGGTTAAAGCCAAAGGATATAGACGTTATATCAGTCTGGCTATGTAAGGCTACGTGAGCGAGTCATAGTATGAACAGAGGCGGTGGGGTAGCCTAGTGGTTAAAGCGGCTCGTCACGCCGGAGATCCGAGTTCGATTTCCCACATGGGTACAGTGTGTGAAGCCCGCCGTGATATTGCTAATGGAGGCATAAAACCATACTCACTCACTCACTATATGGCCAACAATCGTCTTGAATGATGATCAATACATCAGAGTTATAGTTTTTGGTATACATCTTACCCTCTGAGGGACGTGGGGTAGCCTAGTGGTTAAAGCGTTCGCTGGTCACGCCGAAGACCCGGATTCGATTTCCCACATGGTACAATGTGTGAAGCAAGTTTCTGGTGTGCCCTGCCGTGATATTGCTGGAATAATGCTAAAAGCAGCGTAAAACTTAACTCCCTCACTCTTACAACCTACTTCACAAGGCAATGAGAGGACAAGCAGACTCGGAACAAACGTGACGTCTCATTACATTGTCTCGGGTTAGAGTAGCGGTCCTTTGATCAAGGGAAGTTACTCTCGCGCGCGGACCAATGGATTACCGCTAAAAGCGAGTGGAAACACTATGTATGTGCAGGCGATTGCAAAGGTGGATCCAGGAATTGTCAAAGGGTGGTGGGTGGGTAGGGGTGGTGTTGGGTTGAAACCCTTTTGGCTCCTCCAATGCAAAACATTAACTTCTATGTGGTCTTTAGTCATTTTCAAAGGTGTGTGCGTGTGTATTGTGTATGGTTCGAACCCCACTCCCCACCCTTGGATCCGCCAATGGATTGCTATTTGTTAATATATTGTCAACAACATGTATTGACTCTTTCTGACTGTCCAACTGACGTATTGTATACTTATGCGCACATTCAGGAATACTAGCAATTTATAGGTGCCGTTCGCGTGAGACTCGAAAACAAGTTTTTCGAAGACAATATTTAAGAAAGACACCATAAGAGAAATAGGATATTTCATTTGTATTTCTTGGGGATGATAAATATCCTGAACCTATTAGGAATAAACACAATGAATTTAGCTCGAAAACAACTCGCTAAACACATGACATTAATACTCTGTAATAATCTGTACAATGTAGATGTTCCTCATGAACCTCTTCACTGCTCACCTCGCCATGCTTGTCAGTGTAACCGTAACTCTCCACCCTCTTTCCATGTTGGGATATTCTTTGTTGATTGTTTAGACATAAAGTCGAAAATATATTTCCGTTCATTCTCTCATGGCGAGGTGTCAGAGGCGCAGCCACCGCCTGAAGCTCTGTGTGGAGTTCTGTCCAATGGATTGCCAGAAACTATTGCCGTAGGTTCAAATGCTAGATTCGGGCCGGTTATTTGTTTTCACACCGTACCTGCTCAGGAAGGTTTCAACAAAGTGCTAAAAATCTAAAACATTCAATATTTCGTGATTGGTTTCAACAGGCTGACACCAAACGACATAACTGTGAGGTGCTATAAACGTTGAAAGTGACGCCAGTGTTGTCATAGAAAATGAAATGGGGTGCAAGTAACCAAGTCGTCGGCAATTCTCTGCGTAGATATGCTTCTATGATCGTGCGTTCAAGCCCTTCTTCTCCCCGATTCTGTTTCTCGATTTGTTCCCCATATCTGTGCCCGTAGGTTTCACGAAAGAGGTTGGTTTGGTTTGTTGTTTAACGCCACACTCAGCCATATTCTATCTATATGGCGACAGTCTGTAAATAATCGAGTTTGGACCTGACCATCCAGTGATCAACAGCATGAACATCAATCTACGCAACTGGGATACAATGACATGTGTCAATCAAGTCAGCGAGCCTTACCTTCTCCGTCAGTCGCCTCTTACCACAAGCATGGATGCTGAGGACCTTTTCTACCCAATTCTATCTTCACGGGTACCCATGGTACACATCAACATATTTGAGAATATATGTGACTGAACCTGTTAACTCTTGTAATACATCATTTTTGATATTCATAGTTTCTTGTTCATGCTCAACATGAAAATTTCCAGCAAAACAGAATTATTGGCCCAGGTTTCAAGTTGCCATTTGTTCCTGATCGTCATGTCATCTGATACAAAGTAAATATTAGGTTCCTCAGAGACCATACAATATTAATGTCTCTTGGTATATTCAGTAACATGGTATATCCAAACCTTACAGAATTGCATCTTTTTAATCTGACATCCAACATTTAAACTCCCTTTTTTTTTTGTTGTACACTGTACTAAAGATAAAAAGTGAAACATGTTGAGAAGATCCTGATCGAAAACCGGTATTTTAACATGTCAGTCGGAAATTATTTCAGAAACTTCTTCTTATATATGTACTACATTTTCATTTATGCATGATTGCTCGGTATTCTCATGTGTTTTTCTTTATATATATATTTATATATATATATGATGCAACGACACAAACTGCAACATTACAGTCTGAAAATAATTGAGTCTGGACCAGACAATCCAGTGATTTTATCATGACCATCAATGTATGCAACAGGGATAGGATGACAAGCAGATCTGAAACCTTTTGCATAGTTTCACCCACCCTGATGAGAGTAACTGAACAGTGCACATTGTACCCCTTTAATCTGGGACTATATATTTACAGGCTATACATTTCTGAGTTTATTCAGAATAAAAAGCATTTTATCAAGGGTACAACCCCTGTCTATACAATACAACATATACAATGTACACAGAACAACAATGCAGTGAAACAACTTGTCCAGGAAAGGTTGAAAAAGATATTCTCTTTGATCTTACCTCACACATAAATGTCATTTGCTGATTGCTCTTCTGTTATTTTCAATGTAGCCTGCTTACGCAAACACACACGCACGCACTACCCCCACATTTTTCGCTGAGGATCATTTCCCCCTAACCTTTGGACTTCATGATTTATGTGCAAACCAAACCACCACCTCCCAAACCTGGATCCACCCCTGCAAACTGGGGGAATTCATTTGGTACTTTGTGTTAGTAATTCTTCATCTTGAATAATTGAGTCAAGAATGCTGTACGGAAATTACGGATGTTTTGTGAATACAAATTAACGGAAGGGAGATAACTCTAAATTAGTTTTTCTTGTCTGCTAGATTCTTTGTCATCTGACAATCTAGTATTGCCTAATTGCCAAACTCTGATACTTCTTATTATGATCCAATACCCGTGCTTCAACAGTTCAAAATTAACATTGAGGTGTTCGGTAAGATAAATGCGTTGTTCACTGGTCCCTTGGGGCCCATGGGTTGATGTAGGGAACATAAACAAAAATAGAGGGTACATCAACCCATGTCCCCCTCGTGACCAGTGAACAACTTAATTGTTTCCACTGATTACAAATGATTAACCTGGCAACATTGTCCTCTGTCCTGTCTTACAGAAATGTGTATGACAGGTACTTCCCATTGTTTCTCTTAAGGAAACAAATCACCACGGAATGTGTTTATATATCTATGATACATATACACTTGGTTGTCCTGTGTGCTGTTTCTCCATCAGTCTACAGCAGGATCTTGTACTTCTCTGTGCGAGGCACTCGGTTAATGACAAGACGCGAAACGCCCATCATAGCTGAGAGATGCAAATACCCAGGGGTCTGCAGTTGACCAGTCAACAGCATAAACACTATCTTCATGCTCCTCATATGTAGATATAACGCCATCCTTTGGGGGTTCTCTTGGTCTGCACAAATACAACATATGAGTGAACCTGTGACATGAACAAATGCTGTCTCTCTTGGAAAGCCCATCCCGAATCACATTCTAACAGTTTTAGACATTTCTCACCTCATATCGGGTAGGAAATCCTTTATCTGCCTTTATCTTTATGTTTTAAAAGGCTCTTCCTCTTTTTACCCATAAAAAACCCCTTTCCTTATCACCTGTGTATTAAACGAATACTATTCGTCCCTGGCAAAATCACTTCTCCTAATCACCGGAGAATGCACTTTCCTTTCTCACCAGTAGATAGCCCTTCACCGTTTCACATATAGATAGACGCTTCCTTTATCTCCTCGAGTTATCTCTTCCCTTATCACCTGTAGAAAGCCCCTCCTCTTCTAACCTTATGAAATCCCTACCCCTTATCATCAGTAAAAAGGTCCTCCCCTTCTGAAGAAAGCCTTCTCATTATCCTCTAGCTGAAAGCCTTCCCTATCATATCTGAAAAAATCCTGTCCTCTCCCAAAGAAAATTTCTTCCAATTTCCTATGTAGAAAGTTCTTGCATTTCTCACATGAAGAGAACCTTTCCCCTAATAATGTGTAGAAAACCCATCCTCCTGTAGAAAGCTGCTACCCCAACTCACCTGTCCTCTGCTTCATCCTCATCCTCACTGTCTTCATCATCTTTCTCAACCAATCGGCCAAATGGTTCAGAGGACAAGGACACAATGTTGTTGAGGACGACCCGACTGTCACTACTGGACGTGAGGACAAGCTGGTCATGGAAGTGGTTGTAGCGGACAGTCCACACCCTGGTGAAAAGGAGAGTGAGTTTAATTTTACGCTGCTTTTAGGAATATTCCAGCAATATCATGGCAGGGGACACCAGAAAATGGGCTTCACACATGTCTTCAGCGTGACGAGTGAATGCCTTAACCACTTGGCTACCCCACCGCCTGAGAAGCCATGGAAGTCTCAGTCACATTGTCTACAATATCTTTAATAACATGACTTCATCAACTGTGATTGTCAAATCTTATATCTCACCGACAAAACCATGCCAGCCACTGCTGACAATCGCACAAAGAACATAATTAAACCCACAACAGCTGTCAACTTCACATAATAACCATATAACCCCACCCACTAAAGCTTGAAACCAAATGAAACTCCCCTACTACAGATAACAATCTTACATAACAATCACTTAAGATACGGCTGGCATTCAAATGTAAGAAACTTGCCAACTAGAGGCAATAATTATCTATAAAAAGACATATGCCACAGCTGTGGTTGAGTGGATCGAGCATCTGCTTGTCACAAAGTTTTATTATCCACAGGATTTATTACCCACTTGCTTGAAATGTGGAGCCAGACACATTATTACAAATCCTTGTGCAAGGGAGAGAATCAAGATAACCAACTCACAAAGGGAGACAACTAGACAGTTAGCAACTATGTACCAATGTGGAATTTCAAAGATTACTGTGAGTGGCTCTGTGGTGTTCTTTGATTGCTATCCTGACAAAGTTAGACAACCATATCATGATAATGATCAAAGTGAGTGAGTGAGTGAGTTTGGTTTTACGCCGCTTTTAGCAATATTCCAGCAACATCATGGCGGGGGACACCAGAAATGGGCTTCACACATTGTACCCAAGTGGGGAATCGAACCCGGTCTTCAGCGTGACGAGCCAACGCTTTACCCACTAGGCTACCCCACTGACCCGATAATGATCAAAGAGGATGGTCAGTGGCTCTGTTGTGTTTTTGTCAATGTTTTCCAGACAAAGAGAGGCAGCCTGACTATCACAACATACGTACCAATGAGAATGTTCAGAGAAGACCATGAGTGGCTCTGTTGCGTTGCGTGTGTCCCAGAACTTCACCTTACAGTCATCCCCACACGTGGCCATGTAGTACTGCTTGTTGGGGTTGAAGTCCAGGTCTCGCACCAGCTGGGCATGGGCGTTCTCCATGTGGTACACCTGTCTGTGGGTGGTGCACAGAGTAAGATATTTCAGTTCTATCATGGCATGTCATCATAACATGAAAAGAATGACGAAATTTATGTAGGTCTAACTGATCACAACTTTAGTGCAACCCCAAAACATGGATATGATGCTGACAGCAAATGGTGACGACTCACACTACACTGAGGGATTAAACAGTTAGGAATAAGCATCAAATTTCTGACAGTTTCATAGATGTGTAAGTGATCTTTAAAGGCACAATGTCACACATTTTCAACAATATTTTGGCCTATATTATATATATTGGGGCATATGCAATCACTTTTGCTTCCTATTGATGCAAGACTTATTATCCCTTACGACTTGCCTGAAATCGATAATTAAAACTTCGAGGGGAACAGCTTCCTAACAAGAGGACACTTGTCATATATGGAATGTAAACAATTGCTCCATACATCGAAAACTGTCGCACGCTGTGTTGTCGGTGTTTGCCGAACTGGTTTCAATCACAAGTTGTGCGTAGGATCTTCGTAAAGTGGGCTCCAAGGGATGTAACTCTATGGGGTTCGCTTGAAATAATGTCCAGCCGGTAGAAGGCGCGAGAGTCGATTTAATGCAATGTTACATTTATTCATTCAAGCTTTTTAATTTAATGCATTTCTCTCAATAATACTAACTATCAGCTTTCAGGAAAGCTACCATATAATTTATTCCCAAAATAATTACGTATTTAGATTACAATATTATTTTATTTTTTTGAGAAGTGTGCTGTGATATAGTGCCTTTAACATATTCAGACGCAAATGAAACATTGTCCCCATTTCTAGGGAAAGTTTGTTAAAAAAAGCTCTTTTAAGAACAAAATATATTTTTCTCATTTAGTATTGTCAATTTAGACACCAATATTTAACAGGCGAATATTATGTATGAGACCAAAAAATTAATAGCACACTGAAGTAAGGCAAGAGTTGTCACAATATGATACTGGTTGATAGTTTGTCATCGTACCTCTAAGTGTGGATCGATGCTCATGCAGCAACCACCGGTTTGGCTGACTGAGACAGTCTGCCAAGAAATACTCAGACTAAAGCTGATTCTGGCATAAAAGAACATTCACCCACTTGCTCGCAATAGAAACTTACTTCATTGAGCGCAGGTCCCAGCCTCGTATGGACGTGTCGTTAGCTGTGGCAATCTGAGAACAGTTGTGATGTGGGTTCCATCGCCCACATGTCAGCTTTGGATGACCACGCCCCTCCACAATGGTGGATCCAATCAACTACAGAAAAGTGCACAAACTCAGTGAGTTCTTCTGCATGCACCTTTACACATGGAACATATTTGTGAAGTAAAACAAAGCACACAGAGTACAGAAAGACTTCATTAAACATGGAAACAACTTATTGCTAAGAAACCATCATCTGTGAGCATCATGTATATATTGGGTCAGTCCCATGTAACCTATGCACATCCTTACAGCCAACAAATGCAGGCCAACCAAAGAAAAACCACAAGATGGCACTCAAACAATCGAGGTGAGGTGAAATTGGGTTTAATGTTCTTATTATGTGTAAACTTTTTGGAGAATATTTAAAGAGTGTACTCATATGATGGCGTGTATAAGCGTGTGTATGTGTATGTGCGGCTGCTTGTACTAGCCCAGACTGAAGCTGGTTTTATAGTGCTAGCCCACTGAGATACCATGCCGCAGTGAAGCATGAATACCCCACTCAGACACATTATACTGACTCCGAGCTGACCAGTCCTTGTTGTACCCATTAATGCCGAGCGCCAGGCAGGGACCAACAAGTACCATATTTTAACGTCTTTTGGTATGACGCGGTCGGGGATCACACATGCGACCTTCCGCCACTCTGGCGGACGCTCTAACCACTACACCCGGAGGCGGTCTGTAGCAGAAGTAACTACACTGGATTTGGATTGTCACACTTGGTGACTTGATAGATTGTGTGTCATCATGTTCTTCATATCAACCACTTGTTTGTCAGGCCAACATCCATTGGTTGGTGTTGTACAGCTGGAATATTTCTGCCTGCATAAAGAAACAGTTCACTCTTGCACTAGCTATAATCAGTTTTGTTTGTTTAACATCACACTCAGCAAAATTCTAGCAATATGGTGGTGGTATGTAAATAATCAAATCTGGACCAGACAATCCAGTGATCAACAGCATGAGCATCGATCTACCCAGTAGATCCAATGACATGTGTCAATCAAGTCAGTGAGTCTGACCACCACTTGGTTTAATCATTCGCTTGTCACATTTCTGGTCCAGGTTCAATTCCCCCTTAGGTAAAAATTGTGAATCTGTAAGACAGTGCTGGAATATTGTTCAAACCACCTTTAAATACTCAAGCAGATATCTTACCTTGGCTGTGGAAGCAGCACTGTCGAGATCCCACTGTACAATGTGTGTGTCCATGACCCCCACAACCGTGTGACTCTCCCCTGCCGGGTGCCACAGTGTCCTGACACATACACTCAATCATCAGTACATACAGCAGCCATTAATAATGACTTATATTATGTTAAAATGGGAAGAACAATGTTGATTCTTAGATTCTGAAACAATGATAAGTGAACCTATCCTAAACAGTATAATGCATGATTTGTAGATGTGTACGTATTTAGCTCTTCTTGATAGAAAACAAGCTTAGATGCATGCAATTGAATACTGTCTGACACTGTCTGATCTGGAAAAGGCTGTGCTCTGATGAGGGCCCCAAGTAGTTTCACATGACACAGCCTAGAATCAACTGTGCATACCAAGTGGAACTAAAGTGATCTTATCACTAAGGCGACCACAACTCTCATACCTTAACACAGACTTACAGCAACTGTACAGTCTAAGTAAACTCAGGCTCAGCATTATTTGCTACACTGCTATGCTAAGTCTATCAAACCCTAGCAGAAAGTCGCGTCAGCTAACCTTTTGAATGCATCCCTGTAAAAAAGAAGCTTCTCACCCCTTGATATCCCCGAACTGGCTGGTATCCAGGTGACACACAAGCTGCAGTGATTCATGGGAGTTGGACTGGTCATCAACCACATTGCTTGAGTTGAAGCTCTCTGGGAGCTGCCATACAGCAGCTCGCAGCTCAGACTTGGCATCTGCAGCTGACAGGGAGATCACAGAATTCATAAGTTATGCAAGTATATAGGTTACTTAGATACACAGGTTATCTCATAAGAGAACTATAACCAGGATATTTAGAATTGAAAACTTAAAATATATTTGGTAAATATTTAAAGAAACTTTGAAGTCCAGTAACAGTACCGAGCACAGTTTTTGCCATTATTCAAACAAACATTTGCAGCTAAACATATGAAGACAATGGAAGATACCTTGACAGTGTGACAAAATAAAGCTCTAACTTGAACTGAGACACCAATAAATCAAAAGCCATGATGTCTTTAATTTCTTGATATAAAAATACTGACTCACTGTTATTGTAACATGTCGACAGTAGAGTCTTGTCAAAAGTTGATGCACTCATAGACCAAATTTCTCCTTCACGATGGACATAGACATTTTTGTTTATGAGATTGTTTTCATCATCAAAGTCAATATGGTGAATCTGTTGAACAGAGAACACAAATGTGACAGTATCATGTGGAACACTCATACAGTTAATATATTCATAATTCAATATGTTTCTATATATTTGTTGTTTAATGCTGCACTCTAGTAAATTTCCATCTGTGTGATGGCAGTCTTTAAATAATCAAGTCTGGACCAGACAATTGATAATTCAATATGAATTAAACAGATGTGTAATGATATGTATCATCAATAATAGTTATAATAATAATGGATTTGTATAGGGCCTAGTTTCTACCATACAGTGCTCAGATAACCCAAGCTGCCTGTGAGGCGCTAGAAGGTTAATAGTCACATGACTTATCCCACCGGGTACCCATTTTCTGCAGGGTGAACAGAGGCGGTTGCACTTGCCTAAAGCACTTGCCTAAAGTGAGACCACATGTATCACATGTGCTTTGTTGTGGGGCAGAACTGAAGTCATAGAAACTGTCAGGAATCAAGCTGACTAACACAGTCACCTATCCAAAGACACTCCGTGATCATCGCTCTGCGAGACAGAAATTTAGCCTTGAGAGGATATTTCGAGACCGTAGTCGTGTTCTTGATGTTTACAATGATGCTGAAATATTTTCGAGGTACAGAATGACGAGGGCTCCATTCTGAAACTGGTAAGCATGCTAGAACCTGGGTTGTCCTCAGACACCCAGCGTTTACATGCACTATCCGTAGAAAGCAAGATTTTAATTACTTTGTGATATCTTGCTAAGGGTGGGTTATTTTTTGTCTGCTTAAAAGGGGAGGCAACTCTCAGCAACCAGAAGTAATGTAAACGCATTATTTCTATCTTTCACGCAGAAGATCACGATTGTAATTTACGATCGAAAGATATACTATCGCAATACTTACGCTTTGAGGAACGACAATAAATTCTTATTTACAATAATTGTAAAGTTGATCATAGGGCTTACAACTGATTGTAGCTACGATCGCTTTGAGGAACGGGGCCCAGAGCTCTATGCACAAGACCTCACACCACCTCATACTTAAGGTGCAATATGAATTTTTATCCTGATACAGCATTTGAAACTCATAACCCGATATTCTTCCTCTTAAATCATAACCCGCAACCATTTGTCCTAAAATTTCATAAATTAAAACATGGGATTTTAAAGGGAAGAACATATAGGCTTTTGGGAACTGTTAATGTTATCCTTTTCATAGCCAAACAATAATACTGGAGAACTTGTGCAGGAAGGTTGCAGACAGTTTCTGTTATTTTGTTCAAATGTTTTTACACCAATCAAATACTGACAAATTTATGGATTTCAACTTGTTATTTTGTGAGTTTGACGTGTTGGTACAAGAATCAGAATCAAAATGTCACACTCACAAAATATAAGACGTTAATCTATAAATTTGTTTTCTAGTATTGTACTTCAAACTTCTACAATGCCACTCAAAGAGGTTGTAAATGTCCGCATTATATCATCCATTTTTGAAACGGACCCAACCTTGTCACTGATCCAAAGGACCATCACAGAAAATATACTAGTGATGCTGGCTCATTGTAGTGGTGCTGCCCAAACTGAGTTTTAAATGATATTACATTATCCTAATTTGCAAGCTCAGTATGTTCCAAATTACAGTTGTAAAAGACAAGATAATGCTGGTTAACTTCAGAGGTTTATTTGTTTGCATCAGCACAATTTGTCAGCTGTTCCCAGATACTGTGTGCAACAGATCAGTGAGTCATATCAACAATAACTCACACAGAAATGTGTATACATACATGACAGAGTAGATAATTAAATTAGAATGAGAAACCAGTAGCTGAGAAGCAGAGGTAACTACATTTCATAAGGTTGTGTCATATAAATATGGTCTCTGGTTGTATCAAAAAAGCTAAATTACAGACCACTGGACCATAATAAATTATGGATCTGTGTTAGTGTCGAACACATAGATTCATGCACCTCCTGTCAAACTACGGTGGGGTAGCCTAATGGTTAAAGCGTCGGCTTGTCACGCTGATGACCCGGGTTCGAATCCCCACATGGGCACAATGTGTGAAGCCCATTTATGGTGTCCCCCGCCGTGATATTGCTGGAATATTGCTAAAAGCGGCGTAAAACCCAACTCACTCACTCACTCACTACAATAACGTACAGATGTATCATCACTCCATTAGAAATATAAGGTAAAATAGGGACACCTTGATATTTGTTCAGAAATGCCATAAACACCAAAGAAAATTGTTTTGTGCTCAATATGGTGAATGTCTCAGCCCTTTTCAATGAAAATATATCCATGGACACCTGCAGAAATTCTGAGAGTCAGGTACAAATAACTGTAATAAGTATGTAAGTTTGGTTTTACAACACTTTGAAAATAATTTCAGTTTACTAGTATATCATGGAGAACCCTTTTAGCTTTTGTATGATGGAGTCATTCTGTCATGCTAAGGTTTGTAATAACTAATTCCTACGTTGGGTGATCTGGGATTTGAACCGACCATCAGCAACTCTTGGAACAAGAAAGGGAAGCAACTCCTGCACAACAAATTGCTGACCACTTTGGTCAACTGAGCTTCCATATATTAATTTGCATTTGTCAATGGAAATATTCAAAATACTGCAAAAGATGAATGAAATGTATATCAAAACTTGGCTTGTTGAAACTGACATAGTTGAGTATTACAGCCCTACTGTTTAAACAAAGCAAATAATTAATGTGACTCTAAAGAATTACCTACCTGGTTTTCAGCTCTCAGTGACTGTGTGCCCACCAGGAAACGTATACTGTCTGTCTCTGCTGTCTGTGCAGTAAGTGCCCGAGCCTGAAGGAGAAGAAACTGCATTAACTTTACTCCATATTAGAATTTTGTCATCTGATGGCTTAACATGATCATGTTATGTACTTATTCCCTGCCTATGAGGGAAAGTCATTTCTGAGCTGGAAAACAAATCGTTTAATAGACTTCCACCCTGCAAAAAGCTGGATGCTTAGCAGTCAATGAAAGACACATAAGAAGCACACGTTAACTCAGTTCAAAAATGGTATTCTATTAATTTCAAACTTGCTTTCATTCTTTAACAAATGGCGATGGAAAGATGAATTCTTTCTTGCTGAACCTGCATTTACAGTTACCAGTATACAAAACTGCCTAATTATGGGGACTGAGACAGAAGAGCTCTCTCACAAAATACACTTCAGCAGAGAAGCAGATCTCAACCAAGAATGATTTGTGGTTTGGTATCTCTGTTCGATCAATGATATCTCCATTGAATTCTGATTGATATACAAAGCAATCTGATCAATTTGGTATCGTGATCTAATAAACATGCAGATGAGATCATCTAGAAGGAGCTACTTTTAAGTGATGCACATCAATGCAATGCCTCACATCTCAATAAACTATTGACACTATTTCCAATAAGCTTGACATATTTTCACAAAACTGGCACTGCCAAATATCATCCTCAAGATTTCTGTGTCACTATGCAAATATCAAAACATTACTTGTTCCTGAAAAATATGTATCCGAAATACAGGATAGAACTTTAAGAAGAGCTTTCTGTAAATGACGAATATCACTACACAATGTTAATGTTAAAATGTTTAGAAAGAAAAATATACATGATAAAAATAATAGTTTATGTCATTTTTGTAATGAAGGCTATGTTGAGGATGAGTTTCATGTTCTTATCATTTGTAAATATTACCAGTTTCTTAGAAGCAGGACCGCCTCCGTGGTGTAGTGGTTAGAGTGTCCGCCCGGAGAGCGGAAGGTCGCGGGTTCAATCCCCGACCGCGTCAAACCAAAAGACGTAAAAATATGGTACTTGTTGGTCCCTGCCCAGCGCTCAGCATTAATGGGTACAACAAGGACTGGTTGACTCGGAGTCAGTATAATGTGTCTGAGTGGGGTATTCATTTTTCACTGCGGCATGGTATCTCAGTGGGTTAGCACTATAAAACCAGCTTCAGTCTGGGCTAGTACAAGCAGCCGCACATACATACACACGCATGCACGTCGTCATATGAGCGAAATATTCTCAAGCACGACGTTAAACCCAATTTCACCTCACCTCACCTCTTAGAAGCAGATACCTCCCTATGATCTCAACTGTGTACAAAGATGAACAACAAATGAAAAACCTGTAAAACTCAAGGAATATAAATTATAATAATATCTGTTTCAATATTCCTAAAAACGTTTTTGAAATTAGACGGTAATATATGTATGTATATTTATATTTCCACGTGACTGCAATGTAAAAACATAACACAACTGTACTATAGGTCATATGGCCTGAAATACTGAATAAACTTCTGTCTGTCTGTCATAAGCTTACAACCAATTATCCCCAAGTCGCTGTGTCTATATTTTACATAATGAATCATAAGTTTTATTCTCATCAAAGGTTTGCATAGGCTCCTTATTATAGATGTTAGATGGAAACAGACTCATCTAATTCTATGCTATTCAACTAATTTCCATATTTAGAAACATTTCGAAGTAGTTCACTACCTGCCACATTTCTAAAGATTTCAATGTTAGTGCCACATGGAAAATCATGTTGTGAGCTTAAAGTTAAATTTGGTTTAATGAATTATTATCATTTTAATCCCACACTTAAACAGGGAACTATCTGTTCTTTGACAAATAATCAGGGCCTGATTGTTTACAGATTGTGCAGTTGCCATTTTCTCTAGATACAGCAATTTAAAATTTATGGATTTTCCTCAAATAAGACAGCCAGCCAATATGCTACCCAGCAAAGAACTGAAAATGAGTGATTGACTGACTAATGATGCCCAATTCTTAAGAATGTGAAAGGGAGCATGATCAGAAAGGAGATCCAATGCTAAGGGGAGAGTTGGGGGTAAGCTGAATTGTTGCCAAAGATTCATTGCCTGCACTCACCATTCCCACTAATATCGAAAGCGCCTTAGCTGTTCGATTGAAACCAGTGTGTTTGTAGAGGAATAGGAGAGTTTGCGTATGGTATTTATGAACTAATAGATGAGGCATGTTGAAACCTGGTGAATGTTTACCATTTTCTAGTGAAAGCCACACATTCAGCAACAGATACAGATCCATGTTATCTGTAAAGCCTTTCCAAATACAGACAATTTGGCTTTTCAGTGATAAAGTAACTACTATCAAGCTTAAAAGAGTTAGTCATGACACTGTCAATCCCATCAACATATTGTTGTCCCACCTGAAATTCAAGCCCGTAGATGACCGGCGCTTCCTCGTCCATAATGATCAAGATTTGAAGCAGACAGCATCAATGAGCCTATTTCACATTGTCGTAAATAATAGTTTTCAGAAATATGCTGAATATTAACTGTCAACAATTTTTAATGGCAACAGAAAGTGTGTTAATTGGAAAATGTTCTCTGTTATCCACTATAAAACAAAATAACGCACATCTATGAAAGTCGTTTTGGTTGCAGACGATGGAAGTGCGACCTGTTACCGGCAATATGAACGACACCACCGCTAAACTGGCACATCTGTATTTTACGCAGACGCAATTATATAGTTAACTGTTTATATATCAGTGGTTCATAACCCAGTTTAACCTTCGTCAAGTGCTCACCAGTGACAGGTAACATATCTGTTATATCTCCGTTACTTATCTGTTACGCGTGAATTTGTTTCAGTAAAAATATACCACGATGCAAAATAAGTAGCACCTTACGTCTGTTGTGTTGCAATCAGACGATTCAGAGAAATACGGTACACTGTTAAGAATCGAACGATAATGAGGTACACCCCTACACATATCTATCGTCTCGTGGCTGTCAGATTCCTGAAAATCCCCAGTTAAGTTTAACGGGGGAGGGGCATATAGGACAGTTTCTTAAATAATTTATGTTTCATAATGAGTTGGTCAGGGATGTTGTATATATGCAATAACAATATAAACACCGACAGATAATATAACCTGTAAATAATAGGACAGGATACAACCATGAAATTGCTTTAAAAAATAGCATTAGGACATTTTCATGAGTTGATATGGCATCCTTTCATATTTTATCAATCTTGAAAAGTATGTTGAGCACATCTTGAATGATTATGATTCAGTGTTCTTATAATGTTCCAGTGTCTGACTGTTAATCTTGTACTATGTATATGTTGTAATATATGTTTATTCAAGATGTTTCGATGTGTGCAGAAATTGAATTGTGACAGTCCAAAACTGTGTATTACTGTAAATCTAAACTTTAGGAATAACCGAAATGTCAGTTTTCTATTGCTTGTATTCTTAGTCTCTCAAACACATTATTTACCTGCAGAAAATTCAGCAATGGATGATCAGTCCCCTGACATGACTGACATCCTTGAGGATGATCTTGATAGAGCACTCCCAGTAGAGGCTCTGGGTGTTCCGAGTCGCGTCGCTACACTTGTCAACTCCCCAACAACAGATACCCTGGACTCCGTGGCTTTGGAGCCATCTCCTACTGATGAGGATGATGGTGAAGAAAAGACTGATGGCATAAACGATGCAGGGAGTGACCAACAAGAGCCAATCACATTCAATGCATCCAATGATACATCTCCCACAAGTGAAACACTGAGTAATGAACAGCAGATAACAGATGTCACTGAAGCCTTCTCCCAGGTTGATGTTGGGAATCAGGAGACTTCAAACCTACCACAACCTAGTCTCAGCAGCTACTTTGAAAGCCCTGTTGGTGGTAATGATGCCACTGACTTCTTTGACTCTATCTCAGGTCCACCAGAAAGTCCTGGGCTTCAGACTGTGCCTCAGTCAGACATTATCCAAGCTGACACCTCTGGCTTGCAAGCTCTCACTGAGAGTCAGTTTGACAGCTTGACAGGAGGGGATCAAGGAAGCGAGATGGTGCAGTCAGATTTGCAGGTTTCACAGCTGGAAGATCCTGAGGTGGACCTGGTTCAGGAAATAGCAGAGTCTGACACCCAACCCATTCACAGGGAGCCAGAGAGCATTCCATTTGAAGGGGAGACACTGTTGACTCCTAGGGAACTGCAAGGTAGTAGTGAGGATCTGCTCAGTAAAAGTGGATTTGAATCCTTCACAGCCCAAGGGGAGGAAACTCTTGGTCCATGTGGCGATGGCGGTGAGATGATAAAGACCTCAAATCAAGAGTCAGCACTGAAAACAACTGAGCAGTCGATGCTGTTTCCAGGATACCAACAGGCTCATCAGACACCAAGTGTTGGAACAACACCCACCCAGTTATCTCCCCTGTCAACCCCAGTTCACCAGACTGCCACAAGTGCCCCTCCTCTACAGCAGTCCCCAGGGGCCTACTCCTACTCCCAGCCTCCTGGTCTTGACCGTCAGACGTCTGTTCCTTCAGCTCCTCCGAGCCCCTTCCGGCAGTTTGACGGCTCCACCACTACAACCCCTCCGGCCTTCTCTTCATTCACAGATGGGGCTGATGACCCCTTCACATCCAGCCTCTCCACCAGTGATGCTGATCGCAGATATGATGCATGGCTACCTTCAGATGCCACAAGACATATTCTGGTGACCATGGCAACCAGTGCTCCTGGAAGCTACATTCCACCAGCTGAACAACTCAGTTGTCCCAGAGTGATGAGCAGTGAGCCACAGGTATGACCATCACTTCAACATCTTTGTTTCATAAGGGGCGGTGGGGTAGCCTAATGGTTAAAGCTTCTGTTTCTCACGCTGATGACCTGCTAAAGGCGTCATAAAACCATACTCACTCACTCACTTGGTTTGATAAAAGTCAGTTATGATTGTACATGTCTGACTGACTGAGGTTTTACGCCCGCTTTTAGCAATATTCCAGCAATATCACGGCGGGGGACACCAGAAATGGGCTTCACTCATTGTACCCATGTGGGGATTCGAACCCGGGTCTTCGGCGTGACGAGCCAATGCTTTAACCACTAGACTACCCCACCGCCCGATTGTACATATGTTATTGAAGTCAGTTGTGTAGTGATACCATGGATGGCAACCTTATTTCTCAGTTCGCTCTGCATCATAATGTATGTCACTAATTAGTGGTACCAGAACTCGTCAGGGATCAAATATCAGTTTGTAGTATGCATTAATTTACAGTAGAGAGTTTGTTGTATACAAGTGTATCTTTTTTATGATTATGTAGGAAATAGATTTAGAATTTTCTCTTGTTGTGGGACTGGTAGACAGCATTGCCTATTGGCGTGATAATGATCAGTATAGGACAAACTCATCTGTATTGGTTCATTTCTTTAAGTATATGTCTGCCTATAGTGATTTCCGTGTATTGAATCCGCAGGGGGATCCAGTGCGTTGACCTTGTGTATCGCTACATGGGAGAGCAGGAGTCTGTCAAGAGGAAAGTGCTGACATCACATGCTGTGTCACAGGACTTTGCTGGCTTGGAACAGCTCATTGTAAGCAGGGTTTAACCTCAACTCACAAACATGGGGGTCTCGGGGACCCCTAATTATTAGTTTTAGAGGTCCTTGCAGGCAATATGAGGGTCCTGTGAAGTAACGATGTAGAGAACTGTATGTTTTGATAATTTCTTTAGAGCTTGGAATAAATCATTGATCATGTGGACAGATGGTTGAAATGACGCGCGTAGCTTCTCTGAAAGAAACAACCAAACATTTAGTAAAGTCATAGATGTGTTGTGGGTACATTGATTTATGTTTTGCGTCCTTCTGGACACAGTGAAGTTTTTCTGCATCCATTCTCTACATTTGTGAGTACTGGATGCACATTTGCATGTTGGGTAAAACCCTGGTAAGTATATCAGGACGTGGAGTCATTTCACCTATGACATCCTTTGCAGTTTGGTACCCGTGAAGATCCGGGTTAGAATATTGATCTTCGGTAACCCATGCTTGTCGTAAGAGGCAGCTAACGGAATTGGGTGGTCAGGCTCGCTGACTTGGTTGACACATGTCATCGGTTCCCAATTGCGCAGATCGATGCTCATGCTGTTGATCACTAGATTGTCTAGTCCAGACTCTGTTATTTACAGACCTCCTCCATAAAGCTGTAATATTGCTGAGTGCGGCGTAAAACTAAACTCACTCACTCACTTTGCTGTTTGGGAAATAATCAGTGGTGGATCTAGGAATAGGATGATTGGAGACATTTGGCCCCTTATGTTAAGAAATCAGGGGCATTAATAAAAAACAAGGGACATGTTCACTTCATTTTCGCGAGCATTTGAATGGTCATTTAATAAACTTTCAGGACAAAGGTTGGGTGGGTGGGTGCACACCCCTGTGTGTGATCACTTCTACTGACCAATCTGTGATGAGAAACACATATGTCAAATTATTATAATGTTATTACTCAATCATTGTTATGAGGTGTATTGTGTGTTTAGTCTGCAGGATGCTTGAGGGCAGCTGTTGATCTGACAGGGAAGATGTTGGCTGATGCTGGACAAGGGGAGGCAACTGGTGGGGAGCCAACACAACAGTCCAAATACACTCTGCAGGTACAGGGAGCTTCTTGACAGCCATCTTTCATCCCTACTTGAGTCTACCAAGCCTACATTGATGGCTAACAGATCTGCCACATGAATCATCTTTTCAATATTATGTTGTGGCTGCATCATGGCTTCCTTCAATAGCTGTGCTCAGGAAATTGTTCAGTCACTGGACATTTTTGAATGCTGTATGAAGTGCAAGATCTTTCCTGCCAGTTGTCATGGCCATCACTTGAGATGAATTGCTTAGTCAGTAACTTGTCATAGTGATCAAGAAGATGTTAAATGTGATTGTCAGTATATGTAAAGGCTTGCTAGGAGGTAAGTTACATCTGGAACATATTCATTAAGGTACAGTTGATTTTTTCACTTACTTCATCATATATTCTGCATCCTAGGTGCAAAGACAGATTTCTCATAAAACATTTCACTGTACTTTCTTTCTGTATAGCTGTGGTTCTGCCGTCTGTCGCTGCTGCTTCGTCTACGTCTCTACGATGTTGCTGATACAGAGCTGCGTGGCTTCCAAACCCTTGACACACCCGACCTGTACTATGAGTTCTACCCTCATCTGTACCCAGGCAGAAGAGGTAAACACTGTAATGATTGGTTGGATGGTTTGTTGTTTTACACAACACTCAGCAATATTCCAGCTTTATAACGGCGGTCTGTAAATAGAGTCTGGACCAGACAATCCAGTGATCAACATCATGAGCATCAGTCTACGCCAATTTCGATTCGATGACATGTGTCAACCAAGTCAGCGAGCCTGACCACCCGATCCCATTAGTCGTCGCTTACGACAAGCATGGGTTGCTGAAGCCCAATTCTAACCCGGACCTTCACAGGTAAACACTGTGATGAAGCTCAGTATAGTTTATCCTCATAAATACCTCAGGAGAGGTGATTGGAACTATCCCTCTCTCTTATCAATACCCCGAATATCGGACGCGAGAGATGATGGATACTGTCCCACCCCCTCATCTCTTCACAAATACCTGACAGGTGAGGTAATCAGTGCTGTCCAAAGATATGTGTTCATGCCCTTGCTGTCTGTGTTCAAGGCTCCATGGTGCCGTTCGGAATGAGGTTGTTGCATGCTGAGCTGCCAAGTTTCCTCGGACGCAATCAAGAGGCTCTGGACAAACTGTACTACGTCCTGGCAGTCATCAGCAGGGTGAGCGATGAAATAATAATGTTGTAGTTGCTTGTGTATTCTGTGGTGTTACATACTGTGTACTTTGTGTTATGTGTTACGTACTCTGTGCATTCTGTGTCCAGGGGCAGATCCAGAGGGGGGTACCCCTCCTTTTCCCCTGAAAATAATTTCGCTGAGGAGCATTTCCCGCTAACCTTTGGACTTCATGATTTATGTGCACCGCCCCCTTCTAAAAAATCCTGGTTGCGCCCCGCCCCTGTGTGTCTATATGTGTCTTGTAATGTGTGTATTCTGTATTATGTGTCTTTCTTCCAGTAGGTTATCTGGTATATCCTGTGTATTCTGCATGTTATAAATCTGTAAATACAATTATAACATTGTTTTACATTAAATTACTGTGCCATATAACATATGGCATGTGTAGTATACCCTGTGTACACATGTTGCTAGATGCTGTATATCGTGACATGTGGGATATACCCTGTGTACACATGTTTCTAGATGCTGTGTAACGTGACATGTTGGATATACAGTGTGTTCTATGTTGCTAGATGCTGTATATCATGACATGTTGGATATACGGTGTGTTTTGTATTTCTAGATGCTGTATATCGTGACATGTGGGATATATGGTGTGTTCTATATTGCTAGATGCTGTATATCGTGACATGTTGGATATACGGTGTGTTCTGTATTGCTAGATGCTGTATATCGTGACATGTGGGATATACATGGTGTGTTCTGTATAACTAGATGCTGTATATCGTGACATGTGGGATATATGGTGTGTTCTGTATTACTAGATGCTGCATTACTAGATGCTGTATATCGTGACATGTGGGATATACAGTGTGTTCTGTATTACTAGATGCTGTATATCGTGACATGTGGGATATACTGTGTGTTCTGTGTTGTTAGATGTGTTCTGTACTGTGTTCTTACTAGATGCTGTATATCGTGACATATGGGATATAGTGTGTTCTGTATTACTAGATGCTGTATATCGTGACATGGGATATACAGTGTGTTCTGTGTTGCTAGATGCTGTATATCGTGACATGTGGGATATACAGTGTGTTCTGTGTTGCTAGATGCTGTATATCGTGACATGTGGGATATACAGTGTGTTCTGTATTACTAGATGCTGTATATCGTGACATGTGGGATATACAGTGTGTTCTGTGTTGCTAGATGCTGTATATCGTGACATGTGGGATATACAGTGTGTTCTGTGTTGTGTTCTAGATGTTTCTAGATGCATGTGGGATATCGTGACATGTGATATACAGTGTGTTCTGTGTTGCTAGATGCTGTATATGCTGTATACAGTGTGTTCGTTGACATGTGGGATATACAGTGTGTTCTGTGTTGCTAGATGCTGTATATCGTGACATGTGGGATATACGGTGTGTTCTGTGTTGCTAGATGCTGTATATCGTGACATGTGGGATATATGGTGTGTTCTGTGTTGCTAGATGCTGTATATTGTGACATGTGGGATATACTGTGTGTTCTGTATATGACATTGCTAGTGTGCTGTATATGCTGTGACATGTGGGATATACAGTGTGTTCTGTGTTGCTAGATGCTGTGTAACCTGGACAGCGGGCTGGCTGAGGATGGGAGTGTGTGGGAGATGTCAGCTGACAGCAGGAAAAGTGAGTACAGCATACACAGAAATTGATCAGCTTCATTGGTTTTATTTAATACAAACATCACCTATATTTAAAAATAACTTTCATCTGTAACAGTTGTCCCAGTGATTTATCAACACCTGCTCAGGAACCTGTATTCTGCTCCAGCTAATTTCAGTAAATACTCCCAAATTAAGAAATTCAAAATTTATGTTATAGGTGTTAAAGGTGTCTTATATTTTCCTGATAATAAGGCCATGAATAGATGAGTATGATTTCATGTATTGTTCTGAAATGATTGTGTGAGATTTAATATTTATCGGTACAAAAGACAATGAACTTAAGAATTTTAAATACTGTACTTTTAGACAATTCTTTCCTAATTTGATCACAATGGTCTCTTAGTTTGGAGTCCAAAAAAAATCCCTGTGTTCACAGGCAACTGAAGATGTAAGGTGTGCCCAAGTGCAATCAGATGCTAACATATAGATGTATTCTGTGTCTAAAGAGCAATAATTCACACGGCATGTTGTAATGACCTGCCAATTTCCATACATTGTTCAGTGGTTGTAACGAATATCGATTGATTGATTAGCTACCTCTCACACAATTCGATCAGATAATAGTGTCGATCTCATACTATCTTGCAGTATTTTGTTTCCATGGTATAAAACTGTCCATGAATCAGACTCAGCAGCAGTTGTTGGATGTGCGATACTATGTGAAGAAGACGAAATCAAAGGAAAAAAAGAGAGCCATGAAAGATAGGATTCTTCCTCCATAGTGAAAACTCAGATAGTGAGAGACGCTGTGTTTCCCTCCTGTGGTGTGATTTCTTTGAAGCAGAGAAGCCATGTTTAGCGCTTGTATGTAAACATTTACCACGTGACACCAAAACACAATTTGAACAGGACTCTAAACACTCGCAATACAATCAATGCAGGTTTGAAATGCTGATTTGTACTCTTTGTTGAATTGATTATTCACTCAAACGATACGGATGAATTCAGCATATCGAGTCGATAGACCGACCTGCGTGAGTCCGCCTTAAGGATCTGATGTTTCACTATGTAACAGATACAGATTACCAGTATACATGATAGTTTCTTTTGTTGCAGAGTCTGTAGAACTGTGGCGACAACGAGAGGTTCAGACTTTGTACAAGATTGCTGGTGTCATGGTGTTTGTGAAGGTAGAAAACAGGTTTCTTCATTACACCTATCATGTAATTAGGAGGCTCTACCCAGGAAGCAATACACAAAGTTTACGTCCAAAGTATTCCTTTTGACAAAGTAACCCTTTTTGACAAAGTTGTTGATTAAAGATTTGAAATTTGAACAAAAGAACAATCTGGAATATCTGAACAGATGGCCAAAATTGTATGGCTGTGTATCCCATGAGCTATGTAATGTCTAATCTGTTTAAATGTTTGTTTATTTAAGTGTGAGACACAAATGTTGATGGATTTCATTGTACAGCCTGTAACAGTTGTTTGGAATACCCTGTGTAAACTATAAGAAAACACATTCCGACTCACTGTATTGATCTCTTAAGCAATGCTCTGATTAGTCAGATGAAGCATCATTATGCCGTGACCTGTAACAGGATGTCCCCATATCTTAAGTGGTAGTCAGTCAGTCACATCTGATTTTAATGAGATTTGATTTTAAGTTTGAATGCTAAACTTTCCCCAGGACTATGAAGCTGCTCTATCTGTTTACGAGTCCCTGGAAGAGAAGGTCAAGGACCACATGGAGTCTCTGAGGAGTGGGATCGGGCGAATATATCTTCAGGTAGCATTTCTTTGTTTGAGAAAGTAGCGAGCAGGAGAGTGAGGAGTTTAGTTTCACGCTGCACTTAGCAATATTCCAGCTATATGGCGGCGGTCTGTAAATAATGGAGTCTGGACCAAACAATCCAGTGATCAACAGCATGAGCATTGATCTACGCAATTGGGAACCGCAATTGGGAGCCTGACCACCCGATCCTGTTAGTCGCGAGCAGTATGAAATGGCATATGATGACATGCTATCAAGAAATTATCTGTGCACGACTTGCTCAGCATTGTCAGTTGCTGCCATTTTGTAGTCATGGATAGAGGGGAAACTACAAGCTAACTTTCACGTTTCTGTGAATGTCAGTATTAGATTGAATAATTCAAACATCCTTGTATCGTTTTCAAACAAAATACTGGACAACATATTTCAGTATACTGTTAATGTCACTATCAAACACACAGACTTCTGCAATGACTAATGACAAGATGATATGGTTGATAAAAATTGCAGTACAATTGTAACTCCATTAAGCATTATAAAGCTGTCATCCTCTACAGTTGATGAGTGGATGAAATTTCCTTTTGTCAGCCTTGTGTAAAGCTAAAATCCAGAAGTTGCTCTGGTCCTAGAATTCAGCTACAAGTGTTATTCACAAGCCTGACAGGGACATGGTGTTACCAAGGACCATAGAACATTATCTGAGCAAATCTATGATTCAGCCAGGGTGATGGGGTGGCCTAGTGATTAAACCGTTCGCTCATCACGCCGAGGACCCGGGTATGATTCCCCACATGGGTACTATGTGTGAAGCCTTTTATGGTGTGTGCTGTGATGTTGCTGGAAAGCCGCGAAAACCATACTCAGTCAGTCAGTCTTTCTGTCAGCCTTGGCCACAGGTCTGGTTGTCTGGAGTTAGCCATTAAACACAATCTGCTAAAAGTAAAAGCCGGTTTAAACTAAACTCAGTCACTCACTATGATTCAGCCCGAGGGTTAATATTGTATCCCAGTTGTTTAGATTGATGCTCATGCTGTTGATCACTGGATTGTCTGTTCCACACTCCATTATTCACCGACCGACGCCATATAGCTGGAATGTTGCCGAGTGCGGCGTATAACTAAACTCACTCACCTGAGGGTTAACAGATCCTGACATAGCAAAGGGATACCACTCTGCACAGAATTGCAGCACTGTCGAGTCCTTGCCATCTGTTGCTGTCCATATGTTCCCACCTGCCATGTGCAAGTGTTTTACCCCGGCTAAAGAAGTGATAATCTGGTGTTTTGTTGCAGATGGGAAATGTTCCTGATGCCCTGGTAATATTCAAGCAGCTGGAAGCAGATTCTGAGAAGGGAGACAATACATCCAGCTGCAGGAACTCCATCAACAGGTACTGCAGGATTAGTCACTCCAAGGTGTTCAAGAGAAAACGGGGGTGGTGGGCAGCATAGTGTTTGAAGCATGCGCTCATCATGCCGAGGACCAGAGTTGATTTCCAACATGGGTACAATGTGTGTATCCCATTTTGGGAGTCCATTACTGGGATATTCCTGGAATATTGCTAAAAGTCTTGTAAAACCATACACACTGACACTGAGAAAACGGCTCCTTGCAATTTTGCCATTTCAAAAATATAAATTTGATAGCTGTTACACAACATCGTAGAATCTCGTTTCACCCAATATAAACTAACTTTACTTAAATTGTAAATGGAAACATATGTACACACAGATATGTTATGATACCAAATGTCTCTGTTTGTGTTTCCAATCAGGGGTCTGGCAGCCATGTGTCAGAACAACTTCTCGGAGGCATATGGTCTTTTCAAGTTGGCTGTGCAGTTGGAACCACTCAATACATGTGTAAGTGTGAAAACTGTTACCATGGGTTGGTATACAATATATTTATTTGAACTGAGAACAGAGGTTGCTGTCATACCTGTGACAACTGATATAGTAGATCTCCAGCTACAATGAGATTATGGTCTGTAAAAGAGAATGTAAACTTTGTGCCTTTTATCATGAATTACTTCAACAAAAGTTTAAGACTCTTGTCAACAGGTGTTGATATTTCATGGCAACAGATGATGTGACAGTGGTTTGTGAGATATGGGAGCAGTCACCAGTCACAATTTGCTATGCAGTATACCATCCCTTAGGCACACCAGAAACCTTTTGTCATGGGTTTGAATATTGGTTTGCCCTGATAAATATGTGCGGCTTTGTCAGCTCCATACCTATCCAATACCAATCCAATTATGAAAAGAGGCTTAAATACCAAGGCATGATTGTATTTTAATGATGTATTTCCCTTATCTGTGCAGGCTGTTAACAACATGGCGGTGTGCTCGTTGTACCTGGGCCGTCTTAAGGACGTCCTTAATACCCTAGAGTCCCTTGTCCACCGGGACCCCGCCAACAATCTTCATGAGGGCATCCTCTTCAACTTGTGTACTCTGTATGAGCTGGAGTCCTCGCGGGCGCTGCACAAGAAGCAGACCATGCTGGACCTCGTCAGTCGACACAAGGGTGACGGCTTCCCCATTGTGTGCCTCAAGATGACCTAGACATTCAGGTGTCATGTGATACCCAAGGTCTCTGTGGATGCAGAGCTAAGGTGAAGGTCAATATTACGTGGAATGTAATCTGAGACCTGGACATTTTTGGAAGAGTTGTCACGTGTTGACCTTCACGTTGACATTTTGGGAAGAGGAGGTAACTGAGGACCAAGCAAACCATCGGATGTTGAAGTCATCGCGACCTCCTGCGGGAAGCTGCAATAACAAACAGTGATGATCATGAAGAATTAATATACGTATTAGAATTTGTTGTGTAAAAAGCTGATACAACATCATGTACATGGAGTGCGCACCAGAACAATCAATGACCTTGTAGAGTTGTCTCCCTTTGCAGGTTTGAGTTATCTCTGTACACCCTCAATATGTGATAAGTTGCTTACCTTGAATGTTTTGTAGAGATTGTTGCTTTCCACATCATTGTCATCCCAATTCTCCAGGCGAATGTCCCTCCCCAGAAACTGAAACAAATTTATTATTTATATAGCAGCTGTGACTTGCAGTTCAATAAGTGTCAAATTTAAGGATTTCGCCAGAACTGTATTGTTCCTATATATAATCGTGAATAACTGAGGGGATATGAGGACCGCTGTATTACACTGAAACAGTTCTGCAACATTCCACAGTATTTAATTCCTTGTCAAGACAAATATATTCAATTTATTGTGAAAATGTGAAAGAAACTGAATAAATGTGTTTGCTGAAGTCATTGAGGTATGTTTTAGTGATAATATGCTTTCAAGTGTTACCTCTGAACCCCGTGCCATAATCTCCTCAGAAACCGCTAGCTCCTGCAGCTTCTCCTCCATCTGCAACAACCAGCAACATCAACAACCTACAACACTGACAACCTGAAACAATGCCTATCAGGAACATTGACAACCTACAACACTGACAACCTGAAACAATGACAATCAGGTACATTGACAACCTACAACGTAACATAGACATCATGAACTTCTGTCAAACAAAATTAAGTAAGACTGTGAGATAAGTGTTCTGGGAGGGGGGTGGTGGAGGTGGTTGGGCAGTTAGAGGTGGGTAGGGTCAGGGAGAAGGGTTAGAGTGGGAGAGAAAAGTGAAGTGGGTAGGGTGAGAGAGATGTGGGTGTGAGACATTATTTGATGATTGATATGTACCTGCTGCAGAAGGACTTGATCACGTTGACGAATCACCTCACTCACACTACGATGCACACTCTGAAGAAGCAGTCTGCAAAACATGTCCACTTCAATGTCAGTCTACCAAACATGTCCACTTCAATGTCAGTCTACCAAACATGTCCACTTCAATGTCAGTCTACCAAACATGTCCACTTCAATGTCAGTCTACCAAACATGTCCACTTCAATGTCAGTCTACCAAACATGTCCACTTCAATGTCAGTCTACCAAACATGTCCACTTCAATGTCAGTCTACCAAACATCATAATTATAGTTGGGAGCTGATCAGGTCCACATGAAATTAGTTCCATGCATAAAATTGCCAGTGCAAAATGTTGTGGAAAGAATTTCAAGTTAACTTGTGCCATGGGAATAATTCTCACCGAGAGTATTATTTTACTAGTTTTTCACAATCTTTGACACAGACCGACTTACACGGACAATTTGTCATACTGATGTCAACCAAGCTTGTAAATCCTGTACATTGGACTAATGACATATGTATGTCAATTCAAGTTGTTGTTTTGTCTATGTGAAACAATTTGGCATTATCATTTCCCATAGACACTGAATCATCCATGTTTGTTCACAAGAACTTTGTAAATGTAATGAATCATATTTGTTCAAATTGAAGTATATCACACACATTTCTAACATTTGGATTGTAAGCAATGGTTTGGTAAATCGCGGTGTCCAACAAATCACAACAAAATGCAAATATCATTTTGCATTCAGGTTCTGATGGACAAACATCTTGAGAGATAACATACCAAATTCCCTGTCAAAGAACAGAACTCACTTTGTCCTGAGGTAGCATGTGATCAACTTCATCCGAGCACACACCCCGACATTGAGTGTCCCCTGGTCGGTGGGATTTACAACTGGCGTGTCTTGGTGGTCGTCACGTAGCACCTCCTGTTGGTAAACCTGAGCAAGTTGTAGCCAGAAGTGAGTGTAGTGGGGCTGTTGGCCAATCAGGAAGTGGAGACAACTCTCAGCCTTTTGCCAGTCTTTTGTTGCTATGGCAACTTCAGACTGAAGAATGTAACTCTGTTTCTTCTGATCAACATTCTGAGCTGTGTCCACCTACAAAAGATCATTGTGCATGCATGTGAACTCACAGAACTGTACATGAAACATGAATATGTGTCATGTATGGTGGTGGTATGTAAATAATCGAGTCTGGACCAGACAATCCAGTGATCAACATCATGAGCATCAACCTACTCAACTGGAATACGAAGAGATGATGTGTCAGCCAAGTCAGCAAGTCTGACCATCTGATCTCGTTAGTCGCCTCTTATGACAAGCATTGGTTACTGAAGATCAATTCTAACACGGATCTTCATGGGTCTTACGACAAGCATGGGTTACTGAAGATATATTCTAACCCGGATCTTCATAGGTCTTACGACAAGCATGGGTTACTGAAGATCAATTCTAACACGGATCTTCATGGGTCTTACGACAAGCATGGGTTACTAAAGATCAATTCTAACACGGATCTTCATGGGTCTTACGACAAGCATTGGTTACTGAAGATATATTCTAACCTGGATCTTCCCAGGTCTTGTAAGCAATTGTAGGTCAGCAGTGGCAAGTAACTCAGAAAGTGAATGTTTTAAGGAACAGCAATACAATGTATTCCAGATACATCAGTAGACTTTGTACGATTATGTTTAATCCAGACAACCAGAGGTTGACAGCATGAGCAATAATTCTCTCCCACACAATGACACCTGTGGTAACCACTCAATTTTCAATAGTCTGTACTTATTACAGTGTGAGTACGTGAGTGAATTAAAATGGAATGTCACAACAGAAATATTTCAACCACATTGTGATGAGATTTCCTCCATGGAATGCTCTGATGTCTGGACAGAATTGCCATGTTTTTCAATGACATATGACTAGCTGGCAATGAGTTGTGTAAAAGTAGTTGCAACTGATATTACTTGATAATCGATAAACATATTATCTCAACTTCATTAACTGCCTTTCAGTCACCAAGCCACTGTCTTTCAATGACAGTACATCACTATACAATAAGAACAGGCCACAATAACGTTCAGTCAGCAACTTGACAATTTAAGTTTTGAAAAAGAAAAAATCTCTGTATGTTCAATGATCTGAATAAGAAACATTCCCACTGCATATCCCTAATCCCTGCTGAAGATCTGACATGAGGAAGCTGTGATACCCTCTGTCCCTGCAGCCTCCCTACGAGATACCCTCTGGCCCACCAGCCACCCTAAGAGATACCCTCTGCCCCACCAGCCACCCTCCGAGATACCCTCTGCCCCACCAGCCACGAGATACCCTCTGTCCCTGCAGCCTCCCTACGAGATACCCTCTGCCCCACCAGCCACTCTACGAGATACCCTATGCCACACCAGCCACCCTCCGAGATACCCTCTGCCCCACCAGCCACCCTACGAGATACCCTATGCCACACCAGCCACTCTACGAGATACCCTCTGCCCCACCAGCCACCCTACGAGATACCCTCTGCCACACCATCCACCCCTACGAGATACCCTCTGGCCCACCAGCCACCCTACGAGATACCCTCTGCCACACCAGCCGCCCTACGAGATACCCTCTGCCCCACCAGCCACCCTACGAGATACCCTCTGCCCCACCAGCCGCCCTACGAGATACCCTCTGCCCCACCAGACACCCACCAAGTATTGTGCGGTGTCTGCAGCCTCCTGTACTCGCCCCAGTCTCAGACAGCATCTTGCCAAGGACTGGTGGAGGTCAAGTCTGGTCGCCTGTGCGTGTCCAGGCAGTACCTCTGTCACAGAACAACCAGGAACATTAGAAAGAACACAGAACACCATGGAAACATTATACAGACAAAAGGGAAATCTGATTACACAGAAGATAAGAATAAAACAATAGCAGGAAACCTGGCATGAAACATTAAAAAAAGAGAGGAATTCTGGCCATGGAACAATAGACAGATTACAGGAAAAAAGGAAAATCTGAGCACAGCAAACTGGCAACACAGAAAATTTGACAGATCACAGGAAACCGGCAATATGCAACATTCAACAGATCACAGCACTCTCACAGATACATCACTTACTGATGGACTTGGCATACATCTCAGCTGCTGATGCAAAGTTGCCATGGCGATACTGATGGTCTCCGCTGAACTTCAGCAACTGAGAGTTGCTATCGGACACACGGTCATCTGTCAGGTCCAGCTCGGTCTCAAACCACTGAAATGTGAATCATCAGTCAATATGGCCACCATGGTTACCTCATGAAAGATTCCATCTCAAACAACCTGAGGGTACTCAGAAGGAACAGGTTCCTATCAAGCACTGCCACAATCTCAGTAAATCATGATCTATTTTCAGACAATACCCTTCTAACTGAAGACATGATAACATACACAGATGTTTCGGTTAGGTAATCAGCCAATCAGTGTAAATGCCTTTAAATGCTTTTGGAATGTGAGAGGAACAGATCTGATTTCTGTATCTCAAATTAGCCATCAGAAACAAATGTGTGTACTATTGAGGGTACATTTGTGTTCTGTGGCTGTTTTGTTTAAGATCCAAATTTCCAAATTGAAGTGGTAAAGAATGAAGGAAACAAGAGTCATCAGAAGATGACATATCCCCCCGGCCCCCACACCTTTGAAAGAACAAATCATCTGACAGTTACTTAAAGTCTAGCTTGATTTTAGACTAAGTGCAAATCGTTTCCATGGAAATCATGAAAAAAATAAATGACAAAAATCTGCAAATAGCAAAAGGCACCACTTTAGGATCTGCCTCACATATCTGCTAAGTTTTGCTGAAAGATATTAAGAAGTTTTCGCGTTGTGCTCCGGAAACAAAACCTACCCCTCCCTTTTGAGACTAAGTCCAAATTGTTTCCATGGAAACTGAGAAAATAATAAATCACAAATATCTGCAAATAGCAAAAGGCACCACTTTTTTGGATCTGATTGATATATCTACCAAGTTTTGTTGAAAATATTATAATGGTTTTTGAGTTGTGCTCCGAAACGAAAGCAATGATTACTTTTGAGACTAAGTCCAAAATGTTTCCATGGAAACCAGGAAAATAAAAATGCCAAAAATCGGCAAATAGCAAAAGGCACCACTTAAGGTTCTGTTTCATACATCTACCAAGTTCTGTTGAAAATATTGAAGCGGTTCTTGAGTTATGCTCTCGAAATGAAGCCCACCCCTCACTTTTGAGACTAAGTCGAATCGTTTCCATGGAAACCAGGGAAAAGTAAAAATGCCAAAAATCTGTAAATAGCAAAAGGCACCACTTTAGGATCTGATTGATATATCTACCAAGTCTTGTTGAAAAATATTTAACTGGTTCTTGAGTTATGCTCTCGAAACGTGAAACCCACCCCTTCCTTTTGAGAATAAGTCTGAATCATTTCCGTGGAAACAGAGAAAATAATAAATCACAAATATCTGCAAATAGCAAAAGGCACCACTTCAAGATCTGCCTCACATATCTGCCAAGTTTTGCTGAAAGATATAGAGAAGTTTTCGAGTTGTGCTCCGGAAACGAAGCCCACCCCTCACTTTTGGGACTAAGTCTGAATCGTTTCCATGGAAACCAGGAAAAATAAAAATGCCAAAAATCTGCAAATAGCAAAAGGCACCACTTTAGGATCTGTTTGATATATCTACCAAGTTTTGTTGAAAAATATCAAACGGTTCTTGGAGTTATGCTCGGAAAACGAAAGCAATCCTTACTTTTGAGACTAAGTCCAAAAATGTTTCCATGGAAACCAGGAAAAATAAAAATGCCAAAAATCTGCAAATAGCAAAAGGCACCACTTTAGGATCTGTTTGATATATCTACAAAGTTTTGTTGAAAAATATTGAACGGTTCTTGAGTTATGCTCCGGAAACGAAGCCCACCCCTCACTTTTGGGACTAAGTCTGAATCGTTTCCATGGAAACCGGAAAAATAAAAATGCCAAACATCTGTAAATAGCAAAAGGCACCACTTAAGGATCTGTTTGATATATCTACCAAGTTTGTTGAAAATATTGAACGGTTCTTGAGTTATGCTCGAAAGCGAAGCCCACCCTTCTTTAAGACTAAGTCCAAAACGTTTCCATGGAAACCGAGAAAATAAAAATGACAATAATCTGTAAATAGCAAAAGGCACCACTTTAGGTTATGTTTGACATATCTACCAATTTTGGATGAAAAATATCGAACGGTCTTTGAGTTATGCTCCGGAAACAAAATGATTACGGATGGACGGACGGACGGACGGACAGACGGACGAGGCGACGACTATATCCCACCGCATTACATGCCGGTGGGATAAAAATGATTTAGTAAATTGGTATCTGATTGGATCAAGAAACAAATCATGCTTCATTCAGACTGGGCTATCAGTCTTTGTTTTCTTGCGGTTCACCTGATGTGATTTCTAAAGGGGTGTTCATAACGGAGTAAACGGTCCAAATTTAATGAGAATTTTTCAATATCATGGAAGCCTGGCAATAACAGGTGAGGTGAGGTGAAATTGGGTTTAACGTCGTACTTGAGAATATTTCACTCATATGACGACGTGCATGCGTGTGTATGTGTGGCTGCTTGTACTAGCCCAGACTGAAGCTGGTTTTATAGTGCTAGCCAACTGAGATATCATGCCGCAGTGAAGCATGAATACCCCACTCTGACACATTATACTGACTCCGAGCCGACCCGTCCTTGTTGTACCCATTAAAGCCGAGCGCCAGGCAGGGATTAACAAGTACCATATTTTAACGTCTTTTGGTATGACGCTGGATCGAACCGACCTTCCGGCGCTCTCCTGGTGGGGATGTGGCAGCCAAACCATAGACTGAAAGGTTACATCAGGTGTACTGTCACCTGTGCTCCCCCCTCTGGATATGCCTGTGGATGGTTTCTGAGTAACTAAGAGTTTTATCAGGTATTTAAATGTTCAACAAAGTTAGTTGGACAAAGGACACAAATACTTGACCCTGCAGTGCTGTCAAGGTACTGACCAGTGGAAAACACACTTTAGCGTTGAATGATGTGAGTTTCGGGACATTACTCCGATCTCGAGTTTCCCCCAGATCCTCATCCTCCAGAGCAAGACCAAGCTCCATGGCAACCAGCTAGCGATCTCCCTCTCTACCTGATACAAACATTTCAGAATATTGTTCAGCAGAAACAAATTGTTCATCCACATCAAACCTATTACCAAATGGAGACTTCAACTGATTTTCGTTTTTGGTCTTTCAGTGCAATATCTCAATGCAGATACAAGTGATATCCAATGTCAGTCCTCTTTTAATTGATCTTACCCACTGTGTGTGTTCAAATCCAGATGGGACTCAACCTGACAAAAGAATAAAAGATTCTGTACTTTACTGAGAAAGTGTAACCCCAAATATAAAATGTGTAACACTTTCAAATCAACACATTTTTAGTTCATATTGACAACAGTGAAAACATTTACTCAGCATTGCATTCGAGCCATCAACACTGACTGAGTTTTGAGACTGTTCATAAGTTATGGCTAGGGGAGGGTGCTGATGATTTTATGGAGAAGCATGTACAATGTGAATGATCCCCACTAAACGTTATGTACAAAGTAAGTGAACCCCCTGCATGCCATGTACAAAATCAATGACACCCCCCATAATTTGTAAGCATAATATCTTAATATTTTTAAGTACAAAATTGCTGACCCCCACTACCTCCCCAGAACAAAATGGGTGACCCCCCTCTAAAATCATCACACACATTCGCACGCACGCACATTAATTATCACTGGTCCCTTAAGGAGATTTTAGGAGAAAAAGACTTGCCCTGTCAGATTGTCTCTATAGTCAGAGACCATATTATATGGTCTCTGCTATAGTCTAGTCGAATAGTGGACCTGACTAACTGGTGATATTTATACCTTTATATATCAGAGACTATCCGATGTATACTGGCCTGGTTATGTGGGAGCAGCCAAATTAGAGTGGATCTCCAAAGTCTACACACAAAAGCACTGGGCCTTCTCAGTACGGTTACATTACAGTACAGTACATCACTGCATTTCATCCAGTAACATGCCTCATATGCCGTCTAATTTTACAAATTTTGCACCCATGTCAAGGTGGTTTATTGAGTTTCCATTTATATTCATACCTTCGCAGACTTCGCGGAATATTTCACATCGGGTACATTTCTAAGTGTGTTAAACACTCTCTCGCAAACACTTTTCGTGTGTTTACACGTGAAGCTTTCTGTCAACTCACCACCTCGCTGTTAATAATGTTATCAAGGAAGCACATGTGAATAGATGTGAAGCGCGCCAGTCTAACACTGTCCGGAGCTTGCACCGGTGTTCGTGTTAATTGAACACCCTGAAAAAGAGACCTCTGATAAACTGTACGGGTAGCCATGTGGACATTGGTCACCACTCGCCCCTTTCCGTAACCTCCAAGAAGATAATCGGCTTGTCCCGGAATAACACGAGTTGGTTACGAAAGGACTGAGCCGAAACTGTTGTAAACTTAGCCTGACTTTGTTAGTGAAGAATTGGACTTAGTCAAACTGAATCTGATGACTTCTGACGTTCTGGGCCCGGTTGTTCAAAACTCGGTTATCTTTTAACCAGCTAATTTGATGCCCGTTTTGGCTTTTAAAGTTTCATGTTCTTTGATGCGGGTATTTATTTGGTGATCGGTTTCACCTAAGTTTGAGCCACCAAAGTCATGACAGACAGACCAAAAATTGTTGCAAAAATTGACAGATGGTCAGATTTCAGGTGTGTATATAACTGAAATGCAATAATTAATTAACTCATAGATAAGGACGGTAAAAGCATCAGAGATCATTATAAAATACAACCAAAATTACAATAAATATCCTGGTAAAAACTACATTCATTACCTAGTCAAAACTTGGATGTTATTTTGTTTGTATGAATTAGAGGTACAAGTAGCTAAGCCAAACCGTTTGGGTGTCACTGAATCTTTTTCTTTTTTGTTGTTTGTATTCAATATTTTATTGCTGAATCCCTGTTACTGTGGGGACAAGGAGCCAGGGAAATCCTTGCCCTCCTTTGAGGAAAAGACATAAGAAAGGATTCAGTTTTTTTTGACAAGATACAACTGTCACACACACATGCATACAGGTGAGGTGAGGTGAGGTGAGGTGAGGTGAGGTGAGGTGAGGTGAGGTGAGGTGAAATTGGGTTTAACGTCGTGCTTGAGAATATTTCGCTCACATGACGACGTGCATGCGTGTGTATGTGTATGTGCGCCTGCTTGTACTAGCCCAGACTGAAGCTGGTTTTATAGTGCTAGCCCACTGAGATATCATGCCGCAGTGAAGCATGGATACCCCACTCAGACACATTATACTGACTCCGAGCCGACCAGTCCTTGTTGTACCCATTAATGCCGAGCGCCAGGCAGGGACCAACAAGTACCATATTTTAACGCCTTTTGGTATGACGCGGTCGGGGATACATGCATACAGAGAGTAGGTACAGTATAAACATGCCAAACCAAATATTCGCACGAACAGTGACAAAAAGCTGCTACTGTTAATTAACACATGCGTGTCAAGTAAAGCTAAGACTTTTCATATAAGTGGATAAATTACAGCTATCTTGACAGACTAAGGTGCAACTGTCGAAAAGGTTGTCTCTGGCATGGTCGTGAACTTGACGCACGCGCGCACACACACATATCATTAGTCACTTCATCTTGGTAATAGTTTTAGTGAGTGAGTTTAGTTTTACGCCGCTTTTAGCAATATTCCTGCAATATCACGACACCAGAAATAGGCTTCACATGCTGTGCCCATGTAGGGAATCAAACCCGGGTCTTCAGCGCGACGAGCGAACGCTTTAACCATTAGGCTACCCCACCGCCCCAATAACGGGTTTAGAATTTAGATCAACTTGCCAACTTAAAAAAAACTGAAGTTCCTATCCGTTCAGTTGTTGCAAGTTTTCTAATTTACTCACCAGCTTCGAAAATACCAGTTAAACAGTTATCGTGAGAACATAGCAATTACATTAGGCCAATAAGCAAGACTATCACATATATCTAGGTTTATATCTTCTAGAAACAAAACAAACATAAACGAGCAAAGTACATGAGTCAACAACAGGGGCGGATACAGGATTTTCGTTTGTGGGGGTGGGGGATGGCACCCCAATCCTCGGAACCCTGGGCATAAAACATGTAGTACATTTGGAACACTCTGGGGGTGGGGGTGGGGTGCGTACCCCCGCACCCCCTCTGGATCCGCGCATGAACAATACCTGTTTCTGTCATACTGTCCAAGACATCCAGCTATACTTAGAACAAGTTCCAAGGTTGACAGTCCTGGCAAATTCAGTTCAGCCCCAAAGCTCATATTATTTGTCGAGTGACACATAAGTTCGTCATATGATGAACCTGTTAATACAGTGATATTGACTCAGTTTCACACATGACGGCTTGGAATGACCGTGTCTGGACTTCGACCTGGAAATTGTGCACTATCTTGCCCTTTAAGACATGTTCAAATTGATTTGACAGTGATGAAGTTAACATTTGAAACCTCAAGCACATTTAGCTAATCCAATTTAGCAACCCACTGGTAACATCGTTCAACATTGGAAATACAGAATTATATCTTCTGTTACAAGCAGATGATAGCCCATCTGTATTTTTTAATGTGTTTCTCATCTCCAACCTCGGAAAAAAAACAAAAACATAAAACCGCCATTTGTGTAACGTATTTTAAAATACAATGAACAGGAGATATTTTACTAATAAATAGGAAATTATTAATTGTAAAATTTAGATCACGAGGTAATACTATAAGTTATCTTATCGTGTCTCGGGAAATACCGGGTTTTATCAGTCCCGGCTCGGGGAATACAACCTTACTCGGGACTGTTAAAACCCCGTATTTCCCGAGACACGATGTGATAATGCATTTATCTAGCCGAATGTTTTTACTTAATGAAAAGAAAAGAAAAGAAAATTCTCAGTTGTTGTGGCAAAACGTTTCCTTGCCATGTTGACACCAGCTGATCGATTGACCTCAATGCAGCGCACATTACTAAAGGCTTGGCGATGCACGCTTTTCTCACTTCGCGTGGTCACCGAGGCGTGGCGGGATAATATGACTTTTGTACTCCCTGCTCGCGGATCGTGACGGGTGTACATGGTATTTTATCAGAGTCACGTGAACCAATCAAAACTCGACATTCTTACATGAGGCTGGATAATTTACGTTGAACAAGGCGCTTGGTTTGGCTTGTCTAGATTTGCAGACACATACAAGCACACATAGACAGAACAGATATTGGCATAGACCCACACACAGACGCACACATACACACATCTACTCTCTGCGTTTTCTCTCTCATCAATTTGCAGTATCTTCAGGTGTGAATTATAACAGACACTGCCACGTCCTACATAGATTTTGATTGAGACAGTTCATCGGTTATTCCATTCTACAATTTGAATATGCATTGACAAGCAGAAAGATACCCCGCACAGCGCAGGCATAACACACAATACGTGCATATTTCAGCGCAGAACCCAGGTGCGGCTTCTGTTGTCCAAGTCACTATGGCGGTCATTATTTATGTAGAACCATCACCTAATATGACACGACCGCCTCCGTGTTGTAGTGGTTAGAGCGTCCGCCCGGAGTGCGGAAAGTTCGATCCCCGACCGCGTCATACCAAAAGGCGTTAAAATATGGTACTTGTTGGTCCCTGCCTGGCGCTCGGCATTAATGGCTACAACAAGGACTGGTCTGCTCGGAGTCAGTATAATGTGTCTGAGTGGGGTATTCATGCTTCACTGCGGCATGGTATCTCAGTGGGCTAGCACTATAAAACCAGCTTCAGTCTGGGCTAGTACAAGCAGCCGCACATACACAAACACACGCATGCACGTCGTCATGTGAGCGAAATATTCTCAAGCACGACGTTAAACCCAATTCCACCACGACCACCCAATATGACACTGTGTATTTGATATGCAGTTTTCACTGAATTTATTTAACGTTAAAAGCATATATATAAATCATGTTGTTTTTTTTGTCCATAAATATTCATTCGCTTATTGCAATATGTGGAAATGTACATGGTGATGTTGTTACGTGTTGATTCCAAAGTTGAAACCAACCAACAAACAACAAACTGTGCTATAACAATTGTATTCAAAATTTAACTGAGGCCACTACTTAATACAAATGAGTACAATTTATCACTATAGCAGTATATACATGTATATTACTGCCACAATGTATTACATGTTTTGTGTTATTGGTCGATACCATTCTGCAGCTGTTTGCGTCAGGGGGAAACGACAATGAATAGCCGTCCACGCAAACCTGATGTCTGTGAGAAGTGTAAATCGTTCTCATTTGCTCTTTTTATGTCAAGTTTGGAAATGTGTGCCCTGATGTGAAGAAATACTCGTATCTGTGTCCACTCATTAATAAACCAAGGTCAACCTGATTTTCCTGTATCAACATTTATTAAAAGCAAAGCTACTTGATCTAGATCATGAATTAATTTAAAGACAATTTTGAAGCGATCTAAAATTAACAAATTTTATGAAATAACTTATACGATTAGTGAAAAATATTTTTTTCGAATATATTTTTATGAATTTCTTTCGCCCGATCGGTCTCTTTCCGTTTTAGGTAGGAGATGAAAAATACGCATGCAAATACGAATGGCCTAACCTGCACAACCTCAAACTTCGTAGTTAGGTTAGTTTGCCCCTGCTGTATTTCTCTAGTTCTACCAGAGACCAATTATCGGTATACGGTCTCAGTACAGGACATAGGTCTACACTATGCGTAGAACCAGGTGTGCTTGGAGCAATCCCATTCAAACCTTCTCTCTGTTTCTATCTCTGCCTCTGATTCTCTATGTGTTAATCAGTCATCGCCACTGTCTGTCTTTGCCTCGGCAGATCTCTGATGTCTGTCTGTCCGTCTGTATCTGTCTGTTTCTGTGTGTCGCTATCTGTCACTTCCGGCCGCTGTCGATGTACTTGCCTCTCACTGACTTTCCGTCTGTCTCAGTCACTGCGTGTCTAGCTCGGTCTAGGTGTGTTTGCATATCTGCCCCTAGGACTTTTGCACCGATATTGCTGTAATATTGTCCCACCCACCCCACAAAACAAAAAACAACAAAAAACAAAACAACAACAAAACAAACAAATATGCAACAGAAAACAGCAACAAAAACAAAACAAACTCACTCTCTACTGGTGTATTCTTGTAAGGCTGAGTGAGTA